GTGGTGTTTCATACCGAATCCCGGGTAGAGATGTAGGTCTGAAGGTGTTATAGTAAAGGTCATGGCACCTAATGTCGACAACTCGACAAGTATCATATTGGCAAAACGCCTCGAAAGGCTTCAGATGACGAACTACAAATGGCCATGTGGAATATTACTAGGCCTTATATACAGGCTATGTCACTCTTATACAAGCATCTCATGTGAAATAATTCGCTTATTCATCCGGAACAAATCGGATACGCACAACCCAGCACTAAAACACTTAAAGGAGTTATCCCGACGGAGATATTAAGTTACTCAACTGTTGAGATAAACCACTGCTGCACATTTGTTTTGTTCCAACACACATATATATCCCGAAGCAAATGTAATAACCGTCAGAACATGATGAACCAAGTTGAAACAGCGAACAAAATAAGGCGCAGCATACGTAGTAGCTAACCTAGCCCAGCATCTATAGGCACGATACAGGCCACGCGTGTGCACATCCTCCACGACTTAGCTAGAATGAACAACGTCGGCGATACCCTGTAATATCATTGCAACAGAGGTGTGAAAATTTCGAAATCACGGAGGGGAATGAACATGGATAATGACTGGGATGACTAGTAATGTAACTCTCTTTGATCATGATTGATCGTCGTAAGCAAACACTTGACGTGCGTACAGAAGCTCATTATAGTCCTCTAGAGGGTGCCTTGTCTTATGCACTGATTTAATAAATCCCTCAGGAGATTACATGAGGTTATTATAGTCAACGAGCAGCACTGGAAAACTTCCTCGCAGGGGTTATTGATAGCCAGATATGCATAAGAGTGCAGAGGCGGCTTTTTCTTCTTCCTTACACCTCCTTGATCAAGAATCATCAATATCGTTAATCACAACCCTCCCTATAGTATCCAGTATGTAGGTCACTTCCTACACATACAATACAACCCACAGTATCTAGGGGTATATATATGCGCTATACTTTCATATCTTGGTCCGGGTGGCAATACTACTATACTAACATGGTTATTAACCAGTAAAGTCTATAAGCCTCTCTAGGTTAGAAATAAAGATGTAATTAGTGCCGCGTCTCATGTAACAAGCTCCTGTTTTATTAGGTTTTGAGTCACTGGCAAAATAAACGTAGCTGTTCGAGCGAGTGACCGCTTGTGATTCGGTTCGATCAGAACTTTATGTCCTATACCGCCGATATTCTGTCTGAGTTTACCAGGCTTGCTGGAATCAACGATATATACTACCCACCCATGAGTTTCTTTGTTTGCATCTAATCCTATCACATCCTCTCGATCAATAACTTGGTATTTATTTTCAAAGTGTGTATATCTTCTGCCCATGAGCTCTCCGCATATGGGGGTTCTTTTATATTTATATTTCAATAAAATTACCTACTTACGCGTAAATACTGTGAATGTAAAGTTAAAAGAGGTAATGTATGGTTTTATACCCGTAAGATCTATATCTAGCTATATCTATAGTACGTTTAATTCTTAGACTCTCGCCTCAACTTTAGATAACCTGGGGCAGTGCAATCACATTACTCAGTCACCTTGCATATCGAGAGAGTTCCCTACGTACCGAACATTGGGGTCTTACACCATGCAGAAACTGGCCACCAATTCTGCAGCCAATGGATATTAATATTTGCATGTAATTAAACTGGATTATATAAAGAGCTCGTTCGACAGGGAAACCGAGTATGGTGCTTGAAGATTAGATCGGACAGGACTGGTAATTCTGCATATAGCCTGCATATTTCCAAATCCGTCCTGCTCCGAGTAAAGCCCTTCTCTATCATCTACTCGAGAAGAAAGTATTGTTAGAAGGACATTGTTTGGCTGTGGCGTGAGTGTGGTCAGCATGTGGCTTAGCAATTCTTGGCATTTTATTGCATATTGACCCGGACGAGCCGAGCCGTATCTATCGATCTGTGCGGATAGAATTACACAACTGTGCAAGCGAGTGCAGATATTGTTATGTTTACTTTGATCATGATCCGAGGTTATCTTATTATCCTTTGGGGCTCCAAAGGAGGCGCAGGCAAGTGGACTGCATTAGCTAAGTATACTAAAAATAGACGTTGTTGATCAATCATGAGCTGCATGTTTTGCCTCATGCGTCAGTTCTATCAGAATTCGATATTTAATTTGAACTTGGATGCTACTATATATTGGACTAGATATAGACCTACAGGCCTGGCCAGCTGGGTTATATAAGCATATTCGCGATATTCTTCCCATCCCAGCACTACCCATCGAGTGACATCCTGTGATCATGAGTACTTGATTGATTGATTTAAGTTGCATCAGAAAAGTCATCATGCGCACTTGTGATTAATTTTCGCCGGGCGGATTTGATTCAAAGATTCATTTCCGGCCCCATGATACAACGTTTAATGCATCTCCCACGAAGACTGTCCCACGTAAGATCTGATGTCCAACACAGAAAACTTCGATACATTCATAATGAATTTCCAAAGCTAGCTATAATAGAGTCTGTCGGCGGGGTCTTCACCGGCGTCAAGCTTCCCAGTATCTGCTATGTAAGGACAACTTTCGTCCAAGACATCGAAATAACATTAACACATACGAGTTTCTCCGTATCAGCCGACAGCACATAGCTAAACACATAAGGACAACACGGAAAAAGTGAAGGAATAAGGATTCAATATACGTTCATCCAGCGCACTTAGAAAGAGTATAAACCCCCCCCCCCCCCCCCCCTCTTTCCTCGTTGGAGTCTCCTTCTTCTCCACTACGTTCTCTTGATTATCTGTACTCTAGTAAGGTACACTCGCTGATTTCTTTAGTTAATGATGCTTATAGCTATAAAGTGGAAAGGTAATAATAGGAACGACAGCATATGTGTAGAAAAGTACTATGTGGCGAATACTTATCGATCGATACACGCGGCCAGTACTTAAAGATCTATCAGCCATAGTTTGTACCACCCATAAAAACAGAACTTCCTCCCCTATGTACGGTTGTTACAGCAACAACCACAGGTAGTTTTTTTTTTTTTTTTAATTCATTAATTGTATGCAGACCGTAGTCTATGACAATATCACACTGCCCCAGAACTTCCCAATCACTTCCTCCACCTCTCACATAATTAAGAAAAGAAAAGAAATAAGAAATAATGACAAATAGTAAGCTACATGTAGTAACCTGTTACAAATGAAACCCATCGTAGCTTATGAATGTAAGAAATAGTGACTTATTACAACCACAGGTACGGTGGTATGATGCCTCTACGAGATTGGGAAATGCATCGAACTAGACTGTGTGATGCATTTACTGATGCATTTCCCAACTTGTACATGTCATACAATTAATGAAGTAATCAATCAATCAACCGAATCAGTACATGTACTACTGCGCCGCATGATCCCGTCGAGTGATACCTCATGACGTGACTAGTAATATAACGGTCGACCAGTCATAATCTCCCGAGCCCAGCGCAGATCTGGCAGATGCAAAACCCACATTCCAATCTTCCTCACTAAAAATCACAAACACCGGAGCTACTCCAGTCGCGGCGCGGTGCGTCAGGACTCCGAAGACCAACAAAGAGCCAGCGTCCACTTCCGGAGCCTCTTGGGAATCAAGGAGGCCCTTGTTCTTTAATAGGCCGTGGAGATATATATGCGCGTCGAATTTGCCCGCAGGTCTTCTGGGTGGGTGGTTACTCGCTTACTCCTGATAGTTGCACTTCATACATTTGCCCCCGATACTAGTTACGCCCACGGTGGGTGTACCGGAGTCAAACTGGTCATGTAGTGTTTCTTCGGCTCAGAGGTACTTAAACAAACAGAGCTATATAAAGTACCTCACCTGATAGCTACAGAATCGAACCCTCGTTCCCTGTTTCACGATTCCTATTTTCATAGAGGAGCGGATATATCATGATTTTCAAAAAAACACGAATTTCACAGGGGCTTTATCGAACTGAGTGATAATCCGTGACTGCAATAGCCCCAACACCATGCAGCAATAGGAAGGAATAGCACCTCGTATATCCTCCTACTAGGAAATACAGCGCGTGCACTCTATATAGCTCAAATATCGTAACTCGAGGCATCACTGCCCTCCTCCTCCCCCCCTTCCTCTGTCTGTGAAAAACTATTTTAGTTCCACCGAAGGAATCCCCAAAACCTGAATTGGCCTCCCGAGTAGTACTGGCAGGTCATGAGATGCCTCTAGTAACTAGCAGTGGATCTACTCGTTACGTGTATCCAATGCACATGAGCGGCGGGCGACAACGCCCCTTCACCACACCCGCAACCACCACCATGTACGTAACCTGTAAAACCGCCGACAAGCTTTCCGGGCCCCAACCCATGGCATGCGGGGCTACCCCAACCTATGAAAACCCCACAGTAACAATCACGCCCGGGAACCCCGCAAGTGAAGAGCCGCATCTCTCTAGAGTCTAGTTGTGAGTGAGGAATGCCGAGACCAATTTGAGAATCGATAGAGTAACGCATAACAGCGAAAATATCTCGGCGTTAGTAATGGCTCTGTTCCATACTCTAGCGCCGCGGTGCTTCACACTTGGCAGCTAGAGTAGCTTGCTACCAGCAGCAAGGCCCTCTGATTTGATAGGAGCGCAAGACCAGATCCGCGACCACTGGCACTGGTAGTGGTGGGCGGTTCTACAAATATCGAAATGTCAACCAAGCCCAAGTCTGAGAGGTTCCAAGCTCCAACATCTGCGGTTTCTCGTCCCGTCCGCGCCCAGCGCGCCCCCCTTTCCAAGCCGCCCCCCGCATTTTCAATCAAATAAGCTCATCGAGGCTTTCCCAAACCCGCTCGCTCACTTTAGTCGCTTCCCCGTCTCCACAGGTAGAGCAGCAAATTGAGACCGTCTTTCTCTTTTGGTGGCGGAACATGGCGTTCCTAGGTTCCTGGGTAGAGTACTGTAACCCCACACTCATCATCGCCAGCCATGAATTTAAGCCAAGCTGCATATCGCCCTAGAGTAGAGTAGAGTCAGGCTTCCAAGTGTCCTGTTGCTGCTGTGCTCGAGCGCGGCGGCGGCGCCCCACTCTTCACTTCCCGAGCTTGGCGCCCAGCCAGGCTCCAATCCAATCCAAAAGAAGGTGCGCTGTGTGCCGAGGCTTGGGCTTGGGCATGCGCGGGGAGGAAGCTTATTTCGGTGGGAAGCATCGTGTGTTGATATTGTCGGGAGTGAAGAAGGAATGAAAGGGAAAGGAAAAGAGAAAGGAGAAAAGGAGATGAGGAGATGAGAGGGCGAGAGGGCATTTTGGTCTCCACGGAATGAGGAGTCCGCGGAGATATCGTGTTGAATCGAAGAGCGGCATATTGAGAATTGAGTTTCAACGGGTAGAGTCATATGCGCGCACTCGATACAGAAGCAGGCAGTATTCTATGTATCACAGATATCGCCGGTGTCACGGCTGGATGGGAAAATTTAATACAGTTGCAACTCGATATGCCGGATTGCCAAGATTCTAAAGATTTCGTACGGGATAGCAAAAAATCCGGGATAGCAAATTGATTTTGCAGTAGGAAAAATAATCTCAGAGGATCTCGTACGGGACAGCAAGGGATCCGGTGTATTGAGTTCCTGTATTGCCAAGTGAACCTGGTTCTCCAGCCTCTTCATTCGGAATCATTCCTGAGAGTCTTCACGTACTCCTCCACCCTACGAGTCTGTACAGTCTGCTCCAGAACCTACAACCCCGTCCCCCCGCAAATTCCAAAACCATCTCAAAGAAAGAAAGAAAGTCACCATTCCGCCCCCACGAGCCGTTCATGAACCTCTCAGATCAGTGTAACCCCCCAAACCCACAAGCAGGTCCCAACCCAACCCAAACCACAAACCAACCCCCCCCCACATATTCAAAACACGCCCAGTCTAACGAACCAGCGCCCAAAAATAGGGGATACCAAGAGACTCCATCCAAGATATTACATTGAGCACGGGAGGATGATCTACACGCACAGCTGCTCTCTAACGTTAGAGCGGTTACAGGGTACTCTACGCATGTCCAGCTCTATGATTGACGTGTGAACATCTATTCTGCGGCGGTGGTGGTGGTGGTGGATATATCAACTTATGCCAGGTTACTTTTCCCATATTCCCTGCCTACATACGTACTCTACATCTCTACAAGCTGTCCGGCAGAGTAGCTAGCTAGCGGGCTACGTGCGGCATGCCTACTATATCACTCGAAATCGGCGCCGATAAAATCAATCGATCTATGTAGAGAGAACGCCTGTATGTACCTACTCTATGTGATGGGACAAAGATTCCGGGGTTCCTTCACAGGGCAAAACAGGGCTCCACTCGCGCACTCTATCGACGAAGATTAAGGGCCGTGCATCATCTCTCTCTCTCTTCCTTCGTCTGCCCCACCAGGTGCGCAAGCAGAGCCCCAACGGTAACCCATGCTCATGCAGGGTTTGGCCTTTCGCTACGAGGGGCGGGGGTGAGGGGAGAAACCCGGTTGTGATTGCTTGCTTCGGCTGTTTGAGAAACCTAACCCATGCTGTACCTACATTGCACAGAGTACGGTACGGCGCCCGCCCGCTCGCCGAGAGAGAGAAAAAAAAAAGATGGTGTTCTTCGCGGCAGTGGAATTTCGATGTTTCAACTTTATGGCCGGTCCGGGTGAGGCGCACCTTTTTCTTATCCAGGTCAGTCAGACAGACGGACAGACGGATCTAATAATGTGATGTAATGTGATGTGATTTGATGTGAGCGCGCTCTGCTCTTGCGGGTATTGGTTATTTATTTGGCGCTGACTGACTGACTGAGCTGATGTGAGAGGGAGGGTTGACTGAACGGCCGTTGAGTGAACAAGTTGTTGAGTGAACAAGTTGTTGATCAAGCAGGCGCAGGAAGATAAAAAAAGCGGTTTTTTGCACCCACCATCTACTGTGCGTATTACACGTCATGGATTTTCACTCGACCATGAGGAAGCTTTACCACCAAATGAATCCAGCCCGTGGGGGGTGTGAAGGAGCACCTCTCATACATGTATGTACTGGAGGTACGTTGAAGCCACTGCTTCCTGAACGAATAAAAATTAAATAAGGAAAAAAAATCTTCCAAAAAAAATCTTGGGAGCGTAAGCTAAGAACGTGCACTGGAGATACAACGTGCTATTTATTTTTTTCATGTCTTGTTCATGTGCTCAACCCCCCAACGGCACGTTGAGATACCGCAGTTAGATGCGGGGGTAGTTTACTCACCTCAAGTCTACCTACTTTACACGTGCGGTAGTGTTGATCTATACCACCGGCTCGATCCACACCCATACCTACATGGCAGAGGCCGGAGGAGAGACGTAGAGTGTGAATTAAAGAACCAGGAATGTTTTACCCGTTTCTGGTGGTTTCAAGCACTGTAGCTGTCGTAGTGCTGGATCACCTGCAGTAGAAAAAAAAAGGGTTGCCCATCAATCTACGCTTGCACTTGACCTCCCTCTCTCCACCACATTTTGAAAACCGTACAGACAGTTGGTTATGGTAGCCAGCTGGTAGCCAGCGGATGGGAAATACCCGATCCCCCGATCACCGACGGAGACCTCCATGATACAGAGTTTCAAAGCAGGAGAAGTTAAACCTATCCTACTCCCATTTACCTACTCTATCTCACCCTCCGTTTAAATCTCAAGACATATGTGCTCGTTGCAGCGCCAGACCCTGAGTGAGGAGCGCGAAATCTGATAAGGTTCATCTAACTAAATAAGTGAACGATATGAGTGATCGGGTATTATATTTTAGCCCCCTACCCCTCTACCCATACCCATACTGGCATAACTCCCCTCACACAGTAGCCGGGGAGGCGTGTCACGTTGGACCATGATGATCTGCAAAACGCGTATGTATGTAGGAGCAAAGGGTGCGGAGGTGGCGCGCTACCTGGGTAGATGCCCCGCTCATCTATCTTGCTTGCCTGCTTGCTTGCTACATGAGCATGAGCGCTGGCTGTGGTTGCAAAGGGTACTGAAGCTGTCGGTACTACTCTGCGCTGGAATAGGAATATATATGTTCTTTGTTATTGTTGTGTGGGGGGTACGTTGCATGCCCGCTTTTGTCTCCGCTCCCTTGTGAGAGAGAGAGGGAGATATACTTTATCGCTGCTAAAATAGTTGTTGGACCCTTTTACCGCCGGATAAAAACGGGGGTTGGTTTGTGGGCCCTCCAGATATTGACTCTAGCTGCTTTTCTTTCTTTATTTCCTTCACTGATCTGATCTGATTCGATGTTTTGCAGGACGCATAGTTAGTTAATTGGGCCCAAGCTAGCTACTAGAGTGCAATAATACCTTCCGTCTGTAGCTCTCGTTTATAAGTGTGAATAGATAGGTTACTGTCTACTCTACTCTCCATGATAGGTGATCTCAAATATTTAACCCAGATTTCCAGATCCGTCCTGAAAGATCGAAGAAGCAGAAGAGAGGGGTCCCATTTACCGCACACACGCGCGGGCTGCTCCGTACAAAATGTAGAAAGCCGCATCTGCATTGGACCCCCGGGGGTGGGTTGAGTGTAGTTACAGTATCTCATATGTAATCTGCTGTCCTGGCGGGTCCTACCAACCTAAACTTTCAGGCAGGCCCTGTTTTGAACTAGACTTTCACTTTTCGACGGCGTGAGCTGCAAGGGCCAAGACTGAGGTGGGGGAAGAAGCAAAGAAGAGTAGCACTGCTAGTGGAGGGTGGGTACAGTGGTTCTTGGGGTAATGGCGAATGAGCAGCTAGGGTGCAGCGCAAGATCATGCTATGCTGTCTCATCCGGATGGAAATCACCATCTGTTTTTTCTTTACTGGGTGCAGAACGGCTAGATACTATCCGTATTAGGTATTTGTTCTTTTGCCTGTTCTGCTTTAATTCTTTATCCTGTATGGTTGTTTCTTTCTCTAGAAGCTCTTGTTCTGCTTGTTAGTTTTTCTGCTGGTTTATTTTTGGCATGTAAATAATCCCACTATTAAAAACGCACCTCTTTCTGACTTGCTAATGGGCCAGTGCGGGTTTCCTCTGATTGGCCAACAAGTGCGCACTCGCCATTGACGCAGAAGGCGCTGTAGAGCTTTTCTAGCTAGGACCGGGTCAGCCAGACATGATCTGAGAGGGACCGGACCCTTTGCACCACACGTGCTGCTGGACCGGGGAGCGGTTACAGGCAAATTCACTAGCGGGCGCTCGGCATGACATCACGGCTCATTCTTATCTGGACATCAACATCAAAAACCGAAAATCACACTAGCTCCATGGGTTCAAGGGACAGAACCCCTCAAATGACCCATGCCCGGGGGAGGCGACCCTTTCCTTCTTCAACATCCTCCGCATCCTATCATATCATATCCACTGCTGGATCCACGGGGGGCGGTCGTGCGATATGTAATATATTCTTTTATATACCCTTTGCTCTAATACGTCGGTACATAACTTCTTCCTACATAAAGTATATAACAGGCCCTGCTTCCGGTCTCTGTCTACCCTGAACATTCCCAGGAAAGAGGTCCGGATAGTCTTCTACCTGTCCTTTCCCTAGAATCTCATCCCCCGAATCTACCCTCTACCAATATTCCAAGATGGTGAAAAATTGGTCGTTAGGTATCTTGGAGGATCCGGAGACAACAGAGGTTCCAGGTGCGTTGACGATATTCTCCCCCCCTTCTCTTCCTCGGTTTGGAGATATCCATGGACTCCATTTTGCTAATGCAGCTCTATTATCGATCTCACAGGCACCGTTCTGCTGCTCACGTCCACGACACAGGAGCCTCTTGGTCTCGATGAGCTCCCCCGCGAGGAACAGAAGCGCACTCCGGACGGAACTATTATTCTTAATCCCCAGCCGGATGATCACCCTGATGATCCGCTAAACTGGGCCAGCTGGCGAAGAGATGTCGCGCTGCTTTGTTTGGGATGGCACTGCCTTGTTGGTGGTGGCCAGACGCCGGTTCTGGCGGCCGGGTTTAATGATGTTGCGAAGACATTCGACGTCTCGATTCCGGATGTTGCGTTGACGACTGGTGAGCCTTAATTTTTTTTCTCTCTCTTCCTTCATCTGTTTTTACGAGTCGTGGTTCGCGATGCTGCTTCGTGACATCGCGCGCGGAAACTTGTTAGGGAGGTTGTACGAGATCAGTGTTACAACGCCAATCCCGGTACATATGGGTAGCAGCCAAGCTAATGGTTCGTGCCAGGCCTTTTCATGATGGGACTTGGTATTGGTGCCTTGATATCTTCACCCACAGCTATTATTTTCGGCAAACGGCCCGTATATCTACTCGGAGTTCTTATTTTTCTTGCGTCTTCGGTATGGTGCGCTGCGTCGAAATCGTACGGGTCGTTGGTCGCGGGGAGAATCCTGATGGGCATTGGTGTTTCGCCATGCGAGTCGCTTCCTAGCGCTACGATTGCGGAGATCTTCTTCTTGCACGAGAGAGCGTACCGTATCGGTATCTACACGCTGCTTTTGCTTGGTGGGAAGAATTTGGTTCCTTTGGTCAGTGCGGCGATCATTGAGACGATGTCGTGGAGATGGGTGTTCTGGTGAGTCTTCAATTTTATGGATAGTAGGAGGCCAGGCGGAAAGCTGATTTTGGTCTTATATAGGATTGTCGCTATTGTTGTCGGGTTTAATTTGGGTCTCTTGTTCCTCTTCGTCCCGGAGACCTTTTGGGTCCGTACCCCTCGTGGAAAGTCACCCTCCTTCCTGCGCCGGGCTTCATCTAGCATATTTTCGCATTCCGGTTCAAGCAAGAAGAAGGAAAAGTCCAGGTCTCGACGAACTTCAGTAGACGTCCCACCTCCAGATGGCATCGCAAGGCCACCGATCACCAGTGACGCAATCGAAGGTGTTGAGCAAGAGCAAAAGGCTGAAATGAAGCATGCTCATTTCGTTACGCCGGAGAAGCCCAAAGATGAGATCGACGAGGTTTTACCACTAAAGGAAGTGTACAAGTTGGATGGCGGAAAGACCTCGCGCGCATCGCTCGACGCATATGTCCTCAAGGCTGCCGCACAACCGCTACCCTCAAACGCAAACATTGAAACCGCGGAATCTGTCACCCCCAAGACCTTCGTTCAATCATTGACGGTTTACAGCGGTGTTCTCCGTCATGAAAATTGGTTGAAGGTTGCTATTCGCCCTATCATTCTTTTTGCGTACCCTGCGGTTCTCTGGTCGACTGTCGTTTACTCGCTCTCTGTGGGATGGTTGATCGTGCTCTCAGAGACTGTTGCACACATCTACCAGGAGCATCCGTACAACTTTTCTCGTCTCGCGACGGGTTTGGTGTATTTGTCGCCGTTCATTGGTGGTATCATTGGAACAGCAGTTGCTGGAAAGGTATCTGATATCATTGTTAGAGCCATGAGTAGGGCAAACGGAGGAGTTTATGAACCAGAGTTTAGGCTGGTAATGGGAATCCCTGTCGCGATTGCTACTGCGATTGGACTTATGGGGTGTGTACTCCTTTGAATATCCTGCCATGTTGAAATATACTAATAGCTTGCTTAGATTCGGTTGGTCTGCACAGGAGCGCGATAACTGGATGGTCCCGACTTTCTTTTTCGGTTTGATCTCGTTTGGGTGTTCTCTTGGATCCACAACTGCGATTACCTTCTGCGTTGACTCCTACCGCCAATACGCCGGTGAAGCACTTGTCACCCTTAATTTCTCAAAGAGTAAGCGCCCCCTCACCCACTTTGAACGAAATGTGTAGTTACTAATAATCGTGAAACAGACGTTTTCCACGGACTTGTCTTTTCCCTTTTCTTTAACCGGTGGCTCGAGGCAGATGGTTCAAAGACCGTCTTCTTGGCGCTCGGTGGAATCCATATGGCCTGCCTGCTGTTCACCATCCCGCTCTACATCTATGGAAAGCGGTTGAGAATGTGGACCACCAGGGCCAAGTTGATGGAGAAATGGACTTGAGAACCTGGGTTTACCTACTCTACTCAAGCTATTTGCCACCATTCTTGGCATTATGGGGTCACGTGGGAGCTTCTTGGCAAGCACGGGAGTAATGAATGGACTTTTGTTTTTTATGACTAGACAAACGTCGTTATGTATCATGTTTCTATTTTAATCACTGTACTTTTTTTTAACACTATTGGGATTGCATGAGTTATGGAAGAAGGCGTTTATTTTCGTTGTGGTGTTGCTCGGGGCGGGGGGGTTTCTTCTACATTACTTGCATCAGTAGAGTAGAGTAGAGATGTTGCACATAGAGAATTGATTTACATCTTTTCTGGACTTTCTGTATGGAGATTGGTTGTGAGATGATAACTTTGCTGTCATGATCATTGTTCGTTCTCACTCAGCTACATGCTACAATTCCTGTGGTTTGAATCACAGATAATCACTCGCTAGTCTGGAGATAGATAGCGTGAGGAGGAATTATGGCTTAATCTCTGGGGGTTATTATAAGCGTGCCAAATGTTACAGGCTATTTGTTTTCTCTGGACCCAAGGACTTGTCGTGCGGCCGTTAAAGAGAGTAGGCTGGTCTTTCTGATCACATTAAGCTTGTTGAAGTTGTACGTAGACCGTAATCCGGGTTAAAGGCGTTGTAAGTATCACCTGGCCGGTCTCTTTTAATTGGGTGGCTACAGGAAATAGGATGGATAGATTGATGGCTTTTTGGAGAATGAGCGTTGCATGCGATGGTATCAGAACAGGTTGGCTATGTGTGTGTGGAGAACTCGAGTTAATTGTTAGGGAAGCAGAAGATACGGGTGTCTAGCTAAATAGCTTTTGGTAGTGAATGGACTCTTTCAACCGTTAGTGTCGAAGGTAATCGAGTGATATTCTATGATTATTGATTATTTCGGGAGGGGGGGTGTGTGATGGTGGTGGTGATGGTTGTTGGGAAACTACACCCCTCTATTTTACTGATTTGGGCCATAGAGGGCGCTACATCGCGGTGCGAAAAAATGAAATAGTGGATGGTTGGTTATAATATATGCGGTCCTTGTGAGATTTCTCTACGCATGATGCTTAACTTAAGTTCTTGTGTAAAATTAGGTAGCATGTTCAAATCTTACTCGGGCCATGGTATGGAAGAATGGACATGATATAACAGTAATATTCAATCAGAGGCTGGGAAGGACATGCAGAAGAATTGTTTATATAGTATTTGATATTGAAAACTATGACATCTGGTAAAGGGGAGTCACTGTAAGATCGATGTACTAGAGTATGTAAAAGTATTTCCCCTTACGAGAATCTTTCGAAATAATATGACTTAGTAGTGTTTGTATTTTATTATGCCTGTAGCTGCAAACCGTTCAGATTACGTGATAGTGGTTCCGAATTATGAGGGGTTTTGGGGCTTCAATTGGTAATTATACACTGTACGGAGTTTCTTGTTGCAGTATAATGTCGGTATTCCTATTCAATTATGGTCTCGAGGTGAGAAGTAAACAAAGGCCTGTGTTGTATTAACGTCTAGATGTGAAGGCCAGCTTTCCACCGAAAAGTGGAAAACCTAACCCCGTTCACACACTTTGGGGTGGCACCAGTCCGGGAACGAGGCCATGTAGAAACTACAAGCTGAGGAATAAAAATTACAGAATACGTACAGTACTTCCTTATTCAGCACCAATTCCTAGTTTAAACCGTGCATCAATGTTTTGAGTCCTTTTCTATCATAGTTAAGCACCCTTGAAACAGAAACAGCGGTAAATGAAAGGAAAGTTCACTACTAACCTAGTCCTTCAAAACCTTCCCTGGTCCACCTTGGTAAAAGTTCCCCCTTACCCTCTCCGCCAAGTGCTCACCATAAACCTTGGCCTCATACTTCCTCACTCCCCCCGTTTTCTCCAGACAACACTGCAATGGCTCCACTCTACAACGCCTATCAGTCCATCCTCCCGCTTAAAGAAACCAAAACATCGTATCCGGGAAAACCCACCTCGCATTCCAATCCGGCTCAAAGAAGAACGGAACGCTGACCCTAAATCCTGTTCCTCTATGCACAACCCTGTGCACCGTACTCTTCCATAGTCCGTTTGTCCATATCTCCAACATGTCCCCGATATTAACCACGTATGCACCCTTAAACGGGTCTACGCCTATCCATCCGTCTTGCTTATCCCGGACCTCCAGTGCGCCCCGCGTCTCGTCAGCTAACAGGAAGGTTGTACACCCGTAGTCTGTATGTGCGCCGCAGCTGATACCCGGAGAAGTGGCAGGTAGCGGAGGGTATCCGATGGCGCGGAGACACCAGAATGGCGAGGTAAGGTGCGGGGTGAAGAGGTCCTCAGTGGAGGATAGGGCGAGCGACATGGCGCGGAGAAGGGCGTGCCCAACAGTGTGAAGACCCGCGATATAGGTCTCGTAGAGGGAACGGAAATGTGAAGGTTTTTCCGGCCAGGGGTTTGGACCCTGGACAATATCGTAGGGGGGGCCAGAAGGGGTGTCCGAGAGAGGTGGGTGGTAGTAGTCAAGGGCCTAGTTGGTTAGTATTGGGGTTAATCAGCCGGTAGTTGTGAGGAGGAGAAAAAGGAGGGATTAGAGCGTACTTCGTGCCAATCCTGGTGAAGACGTTAGTATCTCTCGAAGCAGATATCTTCTGAGAAAGTTACCCCTGATCCCATAGTGATATTCTCGCCCAGCTTCTGCCAGCCTCTTGCACCATCGCCTCCCTCATCTATCTCCTTTCTCTCAAGAGCCTGCTTCTCCTCCTGAGTGGCGGTCATAAAAAACTCACGGGCTGCTTCCAATACTTCATTTTGTAGTTCTTCTGGAACTCCATGGCCTGTAAGGTAGAAGAAACCGACGTCATGACAGGCAGTATAGAGTGCTTTCGCAATCTCTTGTTTTTCAGAGAGAGTTGAAGTGGGAGTGAGAAAGGGTGTGAGATCTATTATTGGCAACGAAGAGATGGCAGACATTTTGGATGAGCTTTGGAACTATGGTATTGATAGAGAGGAGGTTTTGGTTGATTTAGCTGATAGTAAGTCTACTTCAGAACTACCTCGATAGCGGGGTTTTGGTAGCGGGTAGTTATCGCTTGTTATCGTTATCAGACTTTTGTAACCTTATCGGGTTAATATCTGGTTGTCGGCTTTGAAACCTAATAAATCAATGATCATGGAACATGTTCTACTACTCGCCAAAAAATAAAGTCTGTGGATGAATTAAGTACCGTTGCAACGCAACCATTAGGCCAGGTACTTAATTCATCCACAGACTTTATTTTTTTGCGAGTAGTATGTTCCTGTATGTATGTACTTGAGTAGCGCATACATGTAGTTTATCAGGTGGGGTAACTTCTCGGGCCAATTAAAGATGGTCACACCTTTCTCCGGGGATAAGCCCGGCAGGTAGGCCGAAATGCCAAGCACATACATAAAGTATGTGAGTATCGGATACAGTGGTACCATGGTACTATGTGTCTGTATAACGGCCAGGTACCAGGAACAAAATAACCGTAAATATGGCAGGTAGGATGCATGTCTCAAACCCAACAATTGTTTCTAATGCCTGAGTGGACCTATGAAAACACGCTGCCAGTGGTTATATATCATACCTACCCTATATGTGGCCAGCAGTGTATCCACCAGGCAGGCAACTACATGTGCGTATATACTGGATGAGGGTAAGTACTGAGAACCCCTTTTTGGGGAATTTTAAAAAGTGAGGGTTTGTAAAGGAATCTGATTGGGCTGATATAATTAAAATGACACTTGGCAGCCAAGCAGGTATTTGGACAGTCTGCCCCGCAGCTTTTGCAACGCAACCTCCTCAACCTCTTTTCTACTCCTGTTCTTTTCTACTCCTGTTCTTTTCTACTCCTGTTCTTTTCTACTCCTGTTCTTTTCTACTCCTGTTCTTTTCGAACTTCACCAAAACTTCTTTGATAACTTCGAATCAGTACTCAGATGAACCTGTGAGCAAGGGCTATTCAGTGGTTATTTTTTTGTATTTTTAGGAAAATATTTGAATTTTTAAGTGAAGATAGATAAAACATCTCGGTATTTTTTTCCACCATATAAATTTTGGCTGCTTTTGGTTACCATGGGCGGTTCCCATACAAAATCAACCAATCCTTCAAGGCGTCTCGGTATTTAACGTGCACACCCGGTACATGGAACCACCTTGCGAGAGTTATTACACTGCCTATATATGAATATATTTCTTATGCGAATAGAATTCTGACCTTTCAAGTAGCCAATTAATGGGGGCCTTACGGCCCCCCTCCCCCTCTTTCCCCCAGGTTCGTCGTTTGGTTGGCTACAGTTCAATAGAGAGGTCTTATATAAGAAATATATGCCAAGGAGTGACATACTACTCGTAATTTTTTGACGTTTCCGGACTGAACTGGGTCTGCATATGGGCGAAAATCGTGCATAACCATATTTTGGTGGTATGCAGACCCAGTCCAGTCCGGAAACGCCAAAAAATTACGAGTAGTATACCAGTGACTATGACATAGATACCGGACAAAGCTCCTAGGCTCACAAAAATGAATCTGGCTCGCTGAATAATCATCACTCATAGCGAACTAAACTTAGATAGGCAACTTTGTACAATTTCACAGGCGACCCCTCTGTCTCCGACATTCGGGGCATGCTACAGCTTGCTGAACTAGGAGATCGATACGAAAGCTCAAAATACGGGTTATTTCACTCCATAGTAATAATCCTTGGCTTTTGCACTCGCATTTTCTGGTCTATATGCTGGTAAGCAAGTACATCTAAAGTACAAAAAACCTATGTTCAAGTGTCACAAACTGGATCCACCGGCCCGCTCACCTTGCCACTCCACAGCTCAAAACCAACTACATCTCCGCATACCCCACAATTCTCCGAAAACTCTATTAAATAACATGGGGAACCCTTGATAGAACGATGTTCTCTGCACTCATATAAAAAATTTCCCCGTTCCTTTTGTCCGTAAAGGTTAACTCCACGTGCGATAGATTAGGTGACTGGGAAGGATATCTTCCGGTGTGCATCCACTTTAGCCATGTTGATCAGGAACCAGCTAGGTAGACCTTGATAGCTACTTCCTATTTGCGTCGTGATGAAAGAGAGCTTCCTGAAAAATAGTAGTGCGTCTACTGAAAGGGGCTTTCTGCATCTAGCTGGTCGTTTTATGTGGCACGAATTCCCCTATTGATTGCGTTTACTTGTAGTTTTTATCTTTACTCGGCTCATAATCTCGTTTCTCTGCAGGAAATCAACGGGCCGCTAGGAACGAAGGCACGGAATCCGATACTAAGCTATGAGAATATATCTACGAATCTGCCTTGTAGTCGTCTAAACAAACCTCCGACAATTAACTTAACCTTATATCTCAAAAGCTTTATAAAAGCTCTTTAACTCCCCTATAATGGCTCATCACCACCCACAGCCCAGTACTCAAATCACATAGTCAAAATGAAGTTCAGCACCACTCTTCTCGCCGCTCTCCTCCCGCTGCTCTCCCTCGCTGCACCAACCCCAGAGGCAGAGGCCAAAGTCGAAGAACGCCAGACCGTCACCTGTCCTAGCAACTCTGGGGGTGGATGCGGAGTCTACACCGTCAGTGGCCTTGGAACTCGCAAAAAAGCTGTCATTGCTGCCGGAGGAACCAGTTTGGACCTCGCAATTGCTATGATGGAGACGGAAGGCATGAATACCAACTATGCCTACGGCGACAATAAATCCGGTGATGCTGCCAACTTCGGTATTTTCAAGCAGGTATAATATACTCGTCCAATATCCTGTCTAAAGCTAATAGCGGGAACAGAACTGGTACATGATCCGCTCTACCTCGTCCACCTTCAGTGGGCAGACCGCATCGCAATACAATAACGGTGCCGCCCTCAACTCCAACCTTGCACTCGACGTGACCACACGAAAGAATGCACAGAACTACTATGGGTGGGATAAATGGGCCGGTGGGCATAGAAACGGCCAAACGGGGTTGAACAGCCCGTACACCAGTGATATAAATCTCTACAAGACAGCTGTCTTATGGACACAGAGCCAGATCAACAGTAACTCGGCGTATTTGACTGATGATACCAGGTATAGAACGTCCTTGCCTTCTGACTACTTTGATCTATGTATGCACTTGTATCTGCTGCTAACAATTCTGATCGATAAACTATAGGTTCTGGGTTGATGTCGTAGCTATCTAAATCTGCTATATATTAGCTGGTTAAGGGTCTGAAGATTTGTGTTCTATTTTGTCACATAGCTTGTACATAATGGAATCCAAGAGAGTTGGAAGAGAAATCATACGACTATGTCTAGCTGAAATAGCCAAGGAGCCAATCTGCCTGCGCTTGACAGCTCAATTTCGGCTTATGTTCTGAGTGATCAACGAGTGATCATCTATGATCGATCATGATGTTACTATAATGACTATATTACTACGAATTCCACTTAATGAAGTCTATTTTGTGGAGTTATAACGTTAGGTTGTAATTGGTATAATAAATTTATTGTTTGATTCAATAGAATGAGAAATACATTGTGTACGAGATTATCAAACACTTCACACAAATGACAGACTGTATACAATGACAGATTGTATACATGCCTGTCATGTTTTCCAGAATATTAATATTCAATCTCATAATCGCTTTTCTTGAAAGTCTTTTCTATTTGAGCTAAAGTTGTGATAATTTACTAGCCATTCGTGGATGATACATGTAGTTATGTATATTTATGTTACCTACATGTATTTATATATCCTTGGGTACTTTCTTCCTCAATCTTTAAGGCTAAATATGATTCCATATCTATCATCTCTCAGTTTTTAAAGTTCCTTTGCCCGGATGCACAAGAGTTCCTTTCTATTATAGTTCACCAGGACCTAAAATTCAATTCTGATAGATACAAATTGATGAGGATTATGATTACACTAACAGAACAAATGTAAAGAATAAATTTCCTGGTAAAAGTGATTGTTGATAATGATGTATCGCTCAAACCGGACCCTTTCTAACTTAAACATTTGGCTTCTTCTGTTTTGCATTTGGGAACATTGGGTTCTCGGGGTCCGGGCTCAACTGCCTTTTAAGACTTGTAGGCGACAATAACGATGTTTGGTCGCTGCTGCCACGGGGAAATTTCAGAATCTTCTTGAATCGGTTGGCCCAACCCGGTGTATTCTGATTACCATTGTCCGCCGGAAGACTCTTAGTTGCTTCAAGAGTCAAATCCTCCTTTTGTTGGGGGGAAAAATCTTCTGAGAAGTATCCACGGCTAGGATATTGGTCCGGGTAGTTATAGTTAGGTTCCAATGGCTGAGCTACGGCAGTAGGACCTGTCCCGAAGTTATTAGTACTTAGTTATCAGACCTAGAGAGAGGTTAAATCATAATTTCGGAAGTACCTCTATCAAAAAATGGAATTTCAATATGCTGGAGTTTTGGGGGAATCAAGTTTTGCCCTCCATTGGTGGTATTGGTAGGCTTTTTTCTGGGTTCCTCACTAAGGCTTACTCCGTTACTCTGAGTATTAGATGAACTCTCCTTAGCCGTATCATCATCAGAAGACGAATCATCAGCTTCCCGCTTAGATAACATTAGAATTGATCCATCCTGTTTTTGGAACTTTCCTTTCCGGCGGATGTTACCAGGCCTTTTGACTGCTGCCGCCGGAATTCCGCTTCTAAGTGGCGTTTCATGTCCAACTGTAGCTGCCGGGGACATTTGTCCTTTAGGTGGAGTCGTGATGGTGGAGCCTTCCTCAGTGATGGCATACGAGAGAGGGCGATACAGGTAGGCGGATGGAAGATTGTCCCAATAGCTTGTTTCCATGTCGACAGTATTTTCTTGGACACACTTTCCCTTATCCTGCGGGCTCTCATCGCGCATATGAGAATCGTCGTTATCCTGTTCGATCCTGCTCTTTTTTTGGTTGTTGGAGCTATCCCGGTCCTCTGCCGTGTCTCTGCAGTTTTCTTTATTTAAGGGGTCCTCATCCTCAGAGTCGGTTTCTTCCGGGGTAGTTTTAAGATCTGCCGCAGCTTGAAGATTATTGTTGGATTTCTTGATAGCATTGGAATAGATGGTATCAAGATTAATAATCTCTGAGCTTCTAGAAAGGACTGGCCTTCCATTGGTAACAGACGACAAAGCGTCTCTATTCGCCCTTCCATTTGGATACTTAAAGGAATGAACGCAGCGTTCATTTTTACGACGGACTACTCCATCTGTATCGATTTCAAAAATGCCCGTCTCCTCGCAGAAGCCCGGTTGACACTCGTTATCCCCCAAGGAACAAAGAGTATCAGAGCTATTTGTTCTAGCGCCGAGTTGTTGGGTATTGAAACTCTCATTGGAGCGCTTGTTTTCCAAATGCTCATTATGGGATTCTTTACTCAAAGCAAACTGCCTATCTATCTTAGTTTCAGCAAATACTTTCGCAGTACCGAAAGCTGTGGGGGTCCGATTGATACTCTCCGAATGAGTATTGATAGTAGGCGCTTCTTTAATAACTGGCTCGGGAAGTTTCTTGGTCCAATAGTCAAGTCCACCAACACTAGACCAACCAGCACCCTTTTCATACGCTTCTTTGAAGCTCTCGTGGCTCGTCTTCGTTAGTTTCACAGCAACTGCTCTGATACTATCCACATCGATAGCATCCACCGTGGAACTAGACCCATTCTCGATGGAAGAAGCAAGAACTTTGAGTTTATATAGGTCCTCAATCAGGGAAACTTGGATTTTTGCTTGGATAGCTGCCCACTCCATCCAGAAAACGGCAGCATGATCGAAGCAATTGGCACAGGCCTCATTCATCTCGGCTTGAGTTGAAGAGTTCGTTCGGGAGTGGATTACAGCAGCGTATGTTTCGAGAGAGGAGGCAAGATCGATGCTGGTGAGACGAGATGTATTCATGCTGAGGTTTAAGGCGTTGATTGCAGAAATGACTCCCACAAATGATTTGTCTTTGCCATTGAGACTGTGGCTATATAGTGAAGACCTTGATTAGAGACTGAATTATCAATATAAGCACTGTCAAGAAGGGACGTACCTTGCGTGCCCAGGTGGATCAGGACACAAAGAATGCTCAGTGAACATTTCTCCTTTGTTGATGTATTTTACAGGATGACATCCAGGTACAACACTGCTTTCACAAGCCTGGCTCATAGGGCTGCGATCTGTGTGATTATTTGTAGAGCGTCGACCAGTCTGGAAACCAGGGACTTGCGAAGAACCAATTCTTTCGACACCGAGAATTCCAGATACCGATGACTGGGAAACAGATGAGAATGCATTAAGTTCTCCTGGACCAGCAGTCAAGTTGTTACCGGTAGGGGCTGCTGGTAATGCTTTACTTGTAGTGGATGGTTTGTAAAGGCCCTCCATTTGAAGAGGAATAAAATTTGCTGTGGGTGCGACAGCTTACTTTTACAAAGGGAAAGATGGAAATTAAGGAATGTTGGTAAAGATGAACGAGTGGACAAAAAACGGGCGTACAGGAAAGCGATGGAAACGGGAAGGAAGGGAATATAGCGAAAGGCGGGATGGGAGAGGAAGAAAACGAGAAGATGGAGGGAGATGAGAAGGTTGGAGATGGAGGGGTATCAGAGATGAGAGGTGAGAAGGTAACTAAATTAGAGGTGTGAAGTGACGTACCTCAAAGCTTGACTGATGAGCCGCCAAGGATTCTTAATCTTCTGAAGAACAAAACAAGCACAATGTATCACTCGTTACTGATACTACTTTTACCCGGTAGCCAAAGTAAAAGGTCATTTAGAGTGATCGTCAAGTTCATAGACCTTATCGTAACTATCGTTTTTTTGTGCCTATAGGCTATGCTACTACTCAAGTACAGGAAACTAGCTGATTTTAAAGGCTCTTTAGATCACAATGGGATGGTTACTCGAATCTCGACACGGCATTACAAGCGCTATAACAGAAGTAGCTATATGTACACGGCTATAGCGGTTTCTATTTAGTGCATGTCTGGCAGGCTACGAGACCGGTAATATAGTAAAACGAAAAGAAATCGTGCTTATCAATTAGTAGATATAGCAGATTCATCAGGACACGCTGAAATCTATACCTTTAACCCATGATATGTATACTGTTGCGGACATGTACGTACATGTAGATGCCTCTGATGTGGAGAGCATCGTTGCTGTTTGCAAGGGGATCTATTGACGGCGATCTTGATGGAATGATATCCAGAACAATTTCTTCGTATACTTTTTACACATTGACTTCTAAAGCACAAATGAATTAAGAATAACAACAAATTTTTGAACCAGTATGAATCGAGTGATAATCCATGACTAAATACTAATCTTGGAAGTGTGTATGCATATGTAATCCGTTTGGCCAAGCCACACGTTTCGACAAAGCATGACTAATCTGCATCTTCTTGCACAGCTTTCTTCAAGTGAGATGTGGATAGATAATTCTTTGTTAGGAAAATCGCTCGTCATTACATACATGTTAGGTACATTTATTCACAATGGCAAAGGTAGTAAGTAGTTTTCTAAGAGTTATTCCTCGATATATAACGCCGTTTTCTGGCATATTGCTTCTTCTTGGCATCCAGGGTTCACATTACGAATCCAAAATCCGTCTCCTGAGCTCTATCAAAACCACTAAAGTAACCATTCCCTCAAGTCGGAGTGCCTAAAATTGCACAATCACGCGCCCAAACTCTCGTGATTACTTCGGAAATGTATCGGACACAATCCTCCTCGTCATCGCGATTTTCCGCATTCCGAAAACCCCACGAAATACTCTCCCCATCACCCACTTCACCTAGTCACTCCCGAGAGCGCAACCGAAGCAGCGGTGGAAGCTCTGTCGGCTCTCAGCAAGGGCAACCAAACCTTCTCGTTGATGAATCAGGCGACGAGGCCGACCGAGGCGGCCCTTCGAGGGCGAGATCTGAATCTCCGCCATGGAACGAGCACAATTCAAACCTGATCCCATTGCTACCAATGAATGAGAGCCGTGGCCTATTGAGTAGGACACCAAGCCCGTATCCTCCTACAAGGAGTGATGATTTAGATAAGCTAGGCGATGGGAGTAGTAGGGTGTGGAGGATTGGTATGGGGAGCGAAGGTAGGGCAAAAGAAACGGGATGGAGGAGTTGGATGAGAGATGGGAAGCTGGGAAGGTGGTTATGGAACACACAGAGAGGATGGATGGTATACATCGGGTTCTTGGTGGTATTTTACAGCGCTGCGGGCTTTGGGTTATCAGTTGTGAATAATTTTACCTTACTAAGTAAGCTTCTGGAATCTGCACAGCCCTACAATTATTCTAAATCTAACTCACAACCGCAGTTGGTGTCTATAAATTTGTCTACCCAATTACAACTACCCTTTTCCAACTAGTCTTCACACAAATATTCCTCTACTTCAGCGCATCTATTACGCGGTCCTTCTCTCGCTCCCTTAACTCCCTCGGTCTCGCACACATAATCGCGCCCACTTCTACTCCATCAAAAGGAAAGCGCCGAGCTTCTGGAGGCGGACTACGCGATTTTGCGCGCCGGGTGACCTGCAGTGATCGCGAAGGCGGGGTGTTCGAGTTTAAATGGGTAGAGGCCAAGAAAGTTATTCCGCTCGCTGTGGTCCATAGTCTTAAGGTTGTGTTGAGCAATATATCATTTGCGTAAGCTACCTCACCAATTACCCCCAATAGATCTTTGCAGAGACCTTCGTAGGATTAATGGACATATGTATAATACAGCTATACCCACCCGTCAATCTACCACATCTCCCGCGTCCCATCGCTCATTTTTGTCCTCATGTTCACTGCATGTTTCCTCAGAAACCAAGGTCTTTCTGTCACCACCCTCTCATCATGTATAACCATGACACTCTCACTTGCTATGGCGTGTCTCCGCCCCGGCACCCGCTTTGCAATCGAAGGCTTTCTTGCCGGTATATTCTCCACTATCTTCGTAGCTGCTTACCCAGTTCTTCTATCAAAAACCTACAAATCACTCCTCAAACCTTCCGGCAACGACGACCTTTTGGGCGTAGGTGTCGAAACCGAAGGAAAAGATGAAACCAGGACAGCGTGGAAACTGCTGCACTACACAAATTTTATCAGTATCCTTGTGGTTTTGCCGTGGGTTTTCCTGTCTGGAGATTGGGGCGATATTAGCAGGAATTGCTATATTTTAGATGTTCCGTGGTTTTGGCTATTGGTTGTGTTTAGTGGTATTGGTGCATGGGGCACCTTTGTAGGTGGCTTTTTGCTTGTGAAGGTATCGATCTCTTCAATAATGAAATCTTGTGTGGGACGAATGGCTAATACAGAGCAGGCAACAACACCTTTAACAATGGTAGTATCAACCTACCCACGTACAGCGCTGCAAACACTGTTTATGCCTCCTAATCTTCCCACATGGAGCTGGGTGGGAGTTTTGACATGCTGGGGAAGTTCAATATGGTATCTTCTCGGTAGGAGAAAGGAGTGTGGTGTGAGCTTCTTTAATACTGTGGATGGGGACGAACCAATTCAGGTTACCAGGGGAAGAGCCAGAGGGAACAGTTCATTGTGAGGTGTAAATTTCTGTGTTGAGCCTTCTCACTAGTGGTTTGTGTAAAATATCTTAGATGGAACGGGAGAAATTTTTGGACGATTGGGAAGTGTTAATGTGGTATACTTATGAAATCTGGAGGTTAATGGTAATGAGTTCTTGGGGAGTTTTAAGGGGACACTGCGTCATGGGCTTGTAATTTAGAGTAACTTAATACCCTTAGAAATCTTTATTTATAGATGAGTAGATGTTTAGGGTCTCGTTCATGCAGTGAGACAGTCTGATTCTTGCCGTTTTAGCTGATCTGTTCCGGGCGACTCGCAAATACCCTGGATTCGCCAATGGACTGCTTGCTCCATACATCGGGGACCGGTCCGGTCCATTGGCGAATGGACTGGATAAAGGGTAATGGAATTGGGTCTTTAAATTAACTCGAGAATAATCTGGACTCTACTAGAGCTCATAGGGCCCTAATAAGTGGTTGTAGAGGTCACTGAAGCTGATAGAGACCACAGGATACCACATATCAGGCGTCAATTGTTAATATTGAGGTCTTAAGCTCGCTAAAGATCATGAAGATGCTAATTATTTTTTTAGGTTTGGTCTTTAGGGTCGATGGTTTTTTCAGAGGTTTCTGATGGTTGTAGAGATCATTCAGGATTGATATAAATCATTATTAGCTGTGAGTGATGAACTATTTGTCCTACTAAAACCACAGTATTCCCAGGCCATTCGCGAATAGACTGGTCCAGCCACAGATGTATGAGCCTAGAAGTCCATTCGCGAATACCTCAAGTCCATTCGCGAATCCGTCATATCCGCCAACGGACCGGTTACTACGTGCACGGGCACAGGAAAAGAGTTCATTCATTATGATGATCGCTCAGCCCAAGACGGGAAATCCCCAGTCTACAACCTCGAAACACCAAGACTACTACTCCGGCCTATTGAAGAATCCGACGTAGAAGGTCTTCATGAGATTATGTCGAAAGATGCAGTCATGAAGTATTGGTAACTTAGCATATTCCCTCAGTAACAATTGACCTTGTACTAAGTATTAACGCAGGTACTGCGAACCATATACAAAGCTTGAGCAGACCCAAACCTTCATACGCTCGTCCCTTGATTCTCATTACCACTTCTTCATTCTCCTTAAATTCACCTCTCCACCGAAGTTTATCGGTCGAATAACATTGATTGATGATTTCATCGGCTTTATGCTCCACCCGTCACTTTGGGGGCAAGGCTTTGCATCTGAAGCAATGAAGGTGTATATAGATCATATGTGGAAAGTTCGACCGGAGCTAAAGTTTATAAATGCAGATGTAGACCCTAGAAACCAGCCAGCTTTGACGTTGTTGGAAAGGTCTGGGTTTGTGAGGACGGGTTCTGCGGGAAATACCTTCCTCACACATATGGGATGGTGCGGTTCAGTGTATCTGACATTGGAGAGATTGGATGGTGGAAACAAGGGACGAGACGTTTATTAGTATGAATTTCGAGTTGAATTCAAATAGGCATACTTTGAGAAATTTATTATCGAGTCTAGAGCTACCATTTAAAGTGTATGACTGCAAACTGTCGCACCTAAAATAGTTACTCCTATCTTCTAGAGTGCCAGTTCACAGGGAAAATTCAGACCGAAAAGCAAACCACCCCATGGTATTTCCTGACCAAACCATGCAAGGTCGTGGGTGACGTACCCCATTCACGAAAAAACCCTTTGTTGTAGCTTGAGACCAGGAATCTGCCTCAAGAACAGATGAGGTGTACTATCCACGACGGTTCGTGAATAGGGTACGTTCATAGCGGGGTCAGAACATCTGCCGAGCTCTTTTGGTGACATTTAGAATTTGGTTAGGTTCAAATAGCTTGGAGGGCGTGGATTGTAATCTCTCGAAGCTGTAGTTTGCGGGTTTAACTAAAACAGAGCCCTAGTTTTTGGGGTAAAATGATATTAGGGAATTTTGTTCTTATAACTTGCTTAAATCACAATCCCAGATGATTTGACATACAGCAAGATCAAAACCAAAGGCATACTCACATTTACAAAGTTTTCAGAAACCACAGTCAGTCCAGGACCATGATTTGACCTCTTGCAATCAAGATTTGCGCAACTTTTAAAAAAACAAGATTTTTCAAAACGAAGTTTGGCCAGTCAAACACTTGATGATGTGGAGATTCCGCGTTACTAGATGGCATGAGAGTTACGGGGGAAAAAACCGTTCTATACTAGTGCGGTCGTTTTAATAGATACATGTACCCTACCAAATTAAGTAAATACTATATGTAGATTGATAGATATAGATATAATAACCTCGACTGTCACAGATATTAATTGTTAATTGTCACGCAACCACCTGTTCCCTACCGTCATGACCACATACCATTAACCATAAACCCTGGATACTGGATCTTGACAGTTTCCAACTCGGTAGGTGATAGGAGCACAAGCGTGCGCGCTCTCATGTATGCGAGTGATCATCCATGTCTCGGCGGTGACGCCAAGTGGCTCGGCACCTTGGTATCGGAAGCGCCACCGGAAGACACTAAGAGTGGCAGGAGACAAGCTTTTGCTATCTAGCGGGATTAACTTTCGGGGAGTTCCTAAACCTCCGAGCGGGTCGCGCCGGAAAGTGTGATGCCATTGATGCGGGGCTCTTGGGAGAGTGTTATCTGCCTTGGGCCTTGGGTACGTTGATGGCGAAGAGTAGCGACTGCAAGTGGTGCCTACAACTGAAATCCTTTATAGGCTGATGTTTGAAGTTTGCGGGAGAGGGTCTTTTACCTAAACTCGGGGATAGGGTATGTAAATATCTAGTCTACTGCTCGGGTTTTGGGGCTTAGGATCTCGAACGTGAGGAACCCAGCTGGCAGTATTGGTGCAACTCATGGGATATGGCTGAACTTTACCTTGATACACCACAGCACAATAGAGTATTTGGTCTCAATACCCAGACAATTGTTGTAAAAATATATGTTCATTACACTTGAGTTAACCATATCAACAAAAAAAAAAAAAAATGACTCCAAAGCTCATCTGCTAATATCGACAAAAACATCAACATCAACAATAGCACAGGTCAATTCATGAATTCATATAAACCACCTAAATCTGTGTTTTCTTCTTCCTCTTCGAGATAGCCGTCTCCACCTCTGCCGCCGGCTTCGGCTTAAACTCTGTATTGTTCGCATCTAACATATTCATCTCCTCCTCTGTCTTATTAAGGCCTCTGAATGTAAACCAAAAAGCCGTTCCCGCTAAACATGTAACTCCTGCCAAGCAGGCATAAAAGATGACCATTCTTGGGTTCTTCGACGTCGGAGAGATCGCAATACCGATTGCTGATCCGAATGCATTTTGTAGAAGAAAGAGTGCCATGACGAGGGATTTCATCGATGGGGGTGCTTTAGTGAAGGCGTACTCGAGGCCAGTGATAGATGCAAAGATCTCAGAGAAACCAATGAGGACATAGGCGGGTGTTTGAATCGCGACGTGCACTTTGTTAGGGATGGTACCATCTTCACTAGCGGCGCACTCAAGAGGGCCGTCGTAGCAAGGACCAGCATTGTAGATCATCCTCTGGACTCCTGCGGCATAGGCCATGGCCGCTGAGACGAGGAAGAAGCCGAATGCGATACGGGTGATTGGCTTGAATGGAATCTTCAATTTTCTGAGAAGAGGATAGATGCCTTTTTCCATCAATGGGATAAACAAGATGATAGAAATTGGGTTCAGGTTGAAGAGGAGATCATTTGGGATTCCGTGTGTTTCCATTGTTCCGGCCATGGAGACAAAGTTGGAGTTCATTTGGCCATACAGAAGCCAGTAGACGGGGTAGAAGCAGAAGACTCTGCATGCCACAAGAGCACGCTTGAGCTCACTGACGAACTGTTCACCGTGAACGGGGATGGCGGCATCCATATTGAAGCCAGATTTGGCGGCCAAGGTGAGTGCTTTGATGGCATCGAGGAGGACTGAACCCTTTGGTGGGCGGATAACGTAATACTTACGACCGATAACGAGGGTGAAGAGACCGACAAAGAAGAAACAGAATGGGAGAAGGTAGGCAGCCTGTCACTTTCTGTTAGGCGGGTTTATCACTATTGAAGTCAGGTTTGAACATACCCAAAAGTCGACCTTCAGTTCAAGCCATACTGTAGCAATTGAAGATAGCGATCCCACGTTGATACACCAGTAGAAGATATTGTACAAGCTTTGGATCGTAACAGCTGGGTCAACAATAACTCTTTCGCCAGTCTTAAGAGTCTTAAGAACTGGCTTGGTCTTTGTATATTGCTCAGCGATTAGCGGCGAAACATTACTCTTGATACCGCCAGTACCGAGACCAAGAACAATCATGGCAGCAATAAGACCGCCGAGTCCAGCGCCATTATCGAGAGAATCAGGGAGTGATGTGGTAAATAGAATGATAAGACCACCAATGTATATCAGCGCAAAGAGAACGATGGCATTGTAACGTCCCAGCCAGGCATCAGCAACAATAGCGCCAAAAATAGGTGTAACATAGCACCCTGTTGTAGTTGATCAATCAGTATTGTATCATCCCCCGAACCAGTATAGCCCAATCTGGTAGAATATTAACTTACAAAACTGGAAGAAGTACTGCAAAGCGGTAGCGGAAGACTGCCCCATATCCAGAGCACCCGGTCTAAGGCCACCTCTCTCATTTTGAATATAGTTCTGAAAAGGTCCTGTGATACCGTAATACGTAAAGCGCTCTGCCAGTTCCACGACAGCGACCAACCATGCGCTCATAGGAATCTTGTCGCCCACATGACGGAGACGGAAAAGCTCTTCCTCGGTAGGCTCCTCACCATCTTCAGCGAAGGATCCTTTTTCCTCAACATCGAGAGACTTCCTGGGGTATAAAGGAAGCTCTGTAGTTCCTGCACGCTCTGGTGCACCAACTACAGCTGATGCGTGCTCACTATTCAATTCAAATGTTAGGGTCTATAAAGCATTAATTGATATTGTTTGGTGAACTGTAAACTCACGTTCCCTGTGCACTATCGAAGACGTTCGTCTTCTCGAGGGCATTCTCGACCTTGCTTACTGACATTGTAACTTCCTGGCTTCCGAAGGCAGTTGGGAGACAATATCAGAGACAGCACATAAATCCCAAGCGATGGGGTGCGCTGTCTTTTATAAAGCTACGGGAGTTTATATATTTCCTCATTATTCCATACAAATGATAAGGAAAGCCATATAGGTACTAGCTGATTGGTTCTTTTTCCTGCCGATCTTTCACTACTTTATTTCCTTCTTGTTTCGAGATGGCAGCGGGTCTCAGTCCTTGATGGATCTATACCCGTTCCAACGGCTGAATTTAGGTCGAAGGCCACACAAGACAAGAGCTTTAAATTTATCCTACCCGATTAGTGCTTTCATTACCCACCAGCTAATCGCTATATTTCCGATGCAGTCACATCAGCGTGCAACTAATACTGTACCATTGTTTCCTACCGCCCCGAGAATTGGCATTGTGAGTATTATCTATTGCCACTGGCTAGATGGTAGTGGAGCTGAATTCTCCTTTGATGTGATTTGAAACTTCAGTGGAGTTCTAGGAAACCTATCGTTATACAGGCAGCTGTATACACGCCAAGTCAAAGGTTATGCAACCTTGATAGGAAAATTGAAAGTAGTGTGCGCGTGCTCCAATCAATCTCAAGCAGACAAGCGGTTCTAAGCTGATGCAGATAGGAACTAGAAAAAGATCCATCTCACTACCTTTTTACCTCCTTCCTTTCTAAAGCGTTGTGCTGTACCTTTAGTAGAACTTAAACGTCGGGGCCTGGTTGGTCGCCTCCCGGACATTGTTAGTGTATTGCTGTCACGCATATCGGAGAGTTCCTTCTAAAGTAGATACTTCTCCGGCGTAAATAACGCCGATATCGTTGCTAAGAAGAATAGCAGAACTCCGTAGGGGAAGCTAAAGCATAAGGTTTGCGGGGGTCGGCGTTGCGGCTGATCACCGGGCAACAAATACCACTGGCTGGCGCTCAACCACTTGATGTGATCGATCTTTTCTAATTGGTTCCTCTCGATATCTCTAATTCGAGAGATGTAGGCGCTAGCCTGTTATTGGAAGGCGGGTTGTATTTCTATTCGTCCTGGAGTGTTGATCTCCTCCTTCGACCGATGGAACATACACATTCTAGGTAGCAGCTGCAGATTTGATCCAAACGAAGCGGTAATAATGATGTTTATGGTCTCACCAGATAGATCGGTATTTCAATAATGCAAATACTATCCCTTGTAGGCCTGATAATTTTGACGATAGCTGGTTTGAGATATCCAATGACCTCGGAAACATCTTTCTAGTGAGTTTACCTAAAAGTTGGACTCATTGGTTACATAATTATGGAGAACCTCGTGCGTGCACCTGATGGCCTTTAGCACCATTAACTCTTGAGGGTTCTAGTAATACCAATAATATTATTTCTATCCGAAGGAAGCCGCTCACAGAACAGAAACAAGTAGTGTTGATACCAATATCCCGGTTAACACAACGCCACATACCCGCATACCAAGAGACTTGGAGCATTCGCGCACGACCTGTTCGAAACGTAATATTCAATATTCGGACAACAAGTGGGGATCTCAGAGATATTATCCCAGGGCACCTACCTTCTTCGCAATCCGTCACTTGTCTCGCTATTAGGTAGAATGAAGATAATTTGCCATGTAGGAAGATGTTCCGGCCTTGAGAATAAAAATATAGGTGCTGGTGAAATCGATAGGAGTGGGTAAGCATTCTGTTGATAAGTCCAGAGATCGTCCACAGCTAAACCAAATATGGGAGCGCTAAATACCTGAGGCAGTTTAGATCATAAATCATAGTACAGTGTCCGGTAGAATTATTGCGAAAGTCAGAACTAAAAGGATGGGTTTCTTGGCCCGTGCTCACTGCAAAAATTCCTTTGAGGGCCAATGGGACTATCGGGTCACGGAAAACCCACTTTCGCATTAATTCTACCACAATCTGTACATGTAGGATTAGAGGTAGTAGAAATCTCGGAACCAGATAGACGGGTGGGGTTGATGGACAGGCCCCAAGACCTAGAATTATTCATGCATGATAGATAAGCTTAATGTTCTCGGAAGTTAATCTATAGGCGCACTAATTATAATACGATGTCAGTTATTATGATCATGATATATCACTCGTATACTTGATGATTACTAAAAGTATATGTATATAATCGACACAATACCAACTCACAGTTTGTTGATGAAAGGAGGGTGGTAACAGTCAAGAGAGTTCTTTATATACCTATTTTTTTTGATTACTAGCGGCTGTTAGATGTGACATTCACCCCAACCACTAGCGTGGGGGTGCGCCGGCCCGAGACGAGTGCAATTATTACCACGTACCAACCATAAAGGTAAAGTCGAAATTGTGAGATGCGAGTGTTAAGTTGAGCTCTACATGTAGTTTAAATACATGACCTATGATTTGTAAGGTAACTACATGTAACTACTCAGTATGTGAATCACGGCGCGTCACTCGGTTATTTCCCACCAAAACCATCACGTTTTTTTTTTGTTTAATTCATACCGACTCTCAACGTCTTGAATAAAATTAGGTCAAAACAGAATGTCCAAAGTTTTAAAATGCTTTGATAAAAATATAATACCGTATTGCATCGTTAGAGATAAGTAAATACAAGTATAACTATATGGGGAGTATCATGCATCCTTATAAAAAGGAAACCGCCATGAAAACAGTACATGCAGTATGAGACAAACAACCATAATGTATCATATATAGAGAAGAAAAATCAGGAAAGAAGTACCAGGATAATGGGGATAATATGAAAAACGCCATACAAATGTGATCGTCCAATACCACAAGAAAAGCAGAGGGGAGAACCGGAAATGAAGGAATAAAAATAGAAAACCCTCGCCAAAAGCAGTGACTAGTACATGAATCAATGGGAAACAAATGAGTAATAATAGCTCCCAGAATATATAGAGGCCTGAAAGGAAAGAAAAACGAATCAATCTAAATCCATAATACCCTCCTCCTCCTCCTGTTCTTCGATCTTTACCTTAACCTTACCTTCATCCTCCTCGAGTCCCTTTTTGATTATACCCGCTTCTCTCTCTGCCTTTTTGACTCTCTCCTCCCGCTCATTCTTAATCTCTTCCAACAGCGGCATCCTTGGCTTCTTCTCGTCTTTATGGTTCCTCCACAAATGCTGATACATGTTCGCCTCCCTCTCCGTCCGCATCCCACACAGAGGACACACCAGCCATAATGACTTATCCTTGGTCATCCCTACCATCCGCCGATGCGCACCATCGTCTCCTGCCGGACCCTCTCCATGCACAATCCATGACATTGCGACTTGCGGATCTACTTCCGGGTGCTGTCTTTTGATATGTCCTCTTATGGCATCTCTAGACAAAGAATTATAGGAACACAAGTAGCATTGCAACTGTTTTGTTTTTCCATGATAGTCAATTTCATGAACTGTGCGATCTATTAGAGAGACGAATGCACCTTCACAGCCAGAGAAGCGGCAGAGAAAGCTGCTGGGATGGTAGTTATGATGAAATTGGAGATTGCGGAGCGTCATGTATGAGCGTGAGCAGTTAGGGACGTTGCAGGGGTAGGGTTTACGGCGGTTGTTGAGATTGGCCGGAGGTGGAGGGAAGTATGTCCTTGATTGTTCTTCGGCGTCCAGAATCGATTGAGGGGTCATGGGTGTTGACGGCGTTGGTGAGAGCATTTCTGCATCGGAATGTGAGCCTGTAGAAGATGCGGAAGCGGTCATTGACAATGAGCCGTCGGAGGGTGATGTTGCCATAGAAGAGCCTTTTAGGTTTAATTGGTCTGAAAAAAATTCTTTTGATTTTTTTCGTTTTGATTTTTTTCGTTTTAATTGTTCTCGTTTTATTGTTTAAAATGATTAGCGACAGTGGTAAACGTAAAGAATAAATTCTGCAAGAACGATTGGCGAAACGGAATGATTGACAATGTGCTGAAACATCAGAGAAGACGGGGACGGGAGGAGAGCATTCTTTTGAAGGATTAGGACTCCGAGTCTTCAATAGAATTGATAGAATTGAATATCGAAGGTGACACAGGCGAGTGATGGCTGGTGATGTCTGGTGATATAGCGGCGAAGGAGTTGCACAACAATAGAAGTTGACATGGGATGGGATTAGTATTGTAACGTACATACATGTGAAATTGAATTGATATAGGTCGGTCTAGGGTCGTAGTTCCTACTACATGTCGCTACATACATGTATACATATGTTCATCAAAGGGGGCTGTAATTAACTAGCGCGCCGTGAGATCTCTATAAACATTAGAGATTTTGAGTACAATTAAATACTATAGTTAACACGAAATCTTTTCTGTGAAAGAAATATTTCCGATGGAGGTATAGCGGGTCGATCGAGCTATCTTCTGGCGTAATAAATACTATTTGTTGGCTCACCGGACGTACCTCCTCCGTATCTTTGAAACTTAACACTAGCAGATACTTCAGGCCAGAAAGTGACATCCGAATAGAACATTTGTATACCGACTTGTAAACTTCAGTGTGTCTATGGCCTGTACTCAGTATGGCCCACAAGGACGCTCGAAGCGAGGTCTGAGAGTGTCCTCGAGGTGCCTCGTCCTCGTTGACCTGACCTCGATGTCCAACAACACCGTTGTCCTCGAGCGAGGTGCCTCGAGGAACATCGAGGATGGTTCCGGGAGAGTAATAAGCTGTATATAATTCAATTAAAAAGCATATTTTATCCTTGAGCAATTGACCCCATCTTAATTGGGCAGATTATATAAGTGCATAATATGCCAAGAATTGTCCTAGGGGGTCCTCGAGGCAAGGACAGGTAGTGTCCTCGAGACTCCTTGTCTTTTTAGACCATTGTCCTTGTATGTCATCGAGGACATGTTCTCGAGGCAAGGACACAAGGACGCTCGTCCTCGTGGACCACACTACCTATACTGCATATACTTACCTCCTGACTCACTCCCGAGACTCACTTCTTTTCACGGTATATTTTTGTTTATGTAAAGGGTAAACGAAAGCAGAAGAGCATACGACAAAGGCTATATTAATATTTTCAAGTCGCACTATTACTCATCCCTCATCTCGACCATTTTCCACAACTATATCTATCCTCAAGATAAATTAACAAAATAAGGCTACACACGCTGCTCTAGATATCACCTGATTTTACAAAGTCCACATAATCTCCGACAGCGCCAATAAGTTCTCGTTCAACGAGCGACGGGCCTGCAGTGCCGACGAGGATTCGCGGCGGTTGCTCATTGCCTCGGAAAAGTAAAGTTCAACGAGAACCTTGAGATCGTCGTAGCTAAAATCGAGCTTACCTTCCTTTGCTGTTGCGATGAGGTTTTGCATACCTGCAGTGTAGAGCGCGTAGAACCGAGTCGATCGGTCAAGCTTCACACCTATTTCAATGTTCTTTAAGTTCTGCTGTAGAACTAATATGTTGAGCTGCATCCGTTGGGCACCAGCATTGTTGATGATTTTGATTTGATTCGCGTTGGCAACAAGAATATGGTCCATGAGTGCTCCAAGACCTCTTGTGAGAAACCTGAAGCGAGGACGTTAACACCTTGACACCTTGGCTAGTAACGGGGTTGCTTAGAGCTTACTTTGTCTCTTTCTCCCTGAGGAGATTTGATATATCTTCGTCAAACCATACTAGGTCAACATTGAGGGAAATAACGTTGGAGTCTGGGGTGTTTATAGTGCTGTCAAGGCAATAATTGCCCTCAGTCAGGCATAGATGGAGATAATGCAATACGTGGCATCGTGCCTCTGCACGTAACGTAAATAGAATTGTATTCGCCAATTCTTGGAAGTCGTTTACGACTTTGTCAAAGCCACTGCAATTTCATTAGCCTGTGAAGTAAAAACGGTTTTATCGAGCAATATACCTGACTGTTTCCGTTGTCATTGGGAGGTATACAGCTCTTGCATCGTCATCTTGCGATTTGGCCGACTCGATCAAAGTCCACCTTCGCCTCGGACGCTAAAATCATGTCAATCTTCAATTTTCAGAGGTTCACCCAAGTTGACTACAAACCCCAGCTGAACTGCCATCGTTTCTAGAAAAACTTGGAGCATCTTCAACATGTCGAAGCTGCACCACATTACTGGCAAGCCATTTCTGAAATCGATTGTTAGCAGAATTTATGGGTTATTTCACGTTTGAGGATCACATACCATGCTTGAATATAGAATACATAGAGAGTTGATGACTTTTCGATCAGTGATCAGATCCGGAGAGGTAATTGGGTTGTTTCCTTGCTCTTTGAGCTCTATATCTATTTCCTACATTGCGAGTTGTTAGACTTGTCGAAGCCTCGATCCTTGAAGAATCACAAACCTTTTTTAAAGCCTCTTCATCTTTGATACTGGTCCAAACTTCAAGCATCGCTGAGCGAGTAGTTTCGTGCTTTGCCCACTCGGCACTTTTCTTGGTCTCTAACACAGGACCACCTGCATTCCCAGAAGCAGCTCGGTGTCTTGAAACAAGTTCTATCCGTAAACTTAGTAATCCACTCCTTTAAACATCCGTAAACCACCAAATACAAACCTTTGTACCAATCAAAGCACTTGTCATAGTATGATTTCAACAAATCGATTGTCAGTTGCCCAAAAGCTTGATCAGGTGGTATAGTATCAAGCATTTTGCACAACGCAGTAATCAAGCCGAAGAAAGATATAGCTCCCTTCATGACCGGTTTTTTTGCAACCGCCGCCCATTGTGGATCTTGATGAAATGCATCCAAATCGCTAGTTGTCTGGTTAAAAAGATCGCGAATAGTGTCTTCTAATGATGGGTGAAACACATTGACCAAAAAATCATCTAAAAAGGAAGTCAAGGTGCTCAGGACAATACCCGATCTGATAGAATGTTAGCATATATACGACTATATATGAAGTATATGAATTACCCAGCTGGAACAATTTCTTTGATTCGGTTGAGGAAGGCGAGCGACGGCGGAAGAAGGAAACCCATGTTAAACACACTTGGCTCAATAAGAAGCTTGTGACCGGTTGCGGCACCATCAGACGATGTATGCACATCAGTTGATGTAGTTGCCGGTCGAAGAGACTCAGACACAAGCCCGGGAACAGAGGCTTTCAATATAGACTCGAGGTCATCATGATCAACTTTCATCAGTAAAGAGGTGCTATCTGTGTTGGCCAATTTAAACAACATCTAGTTTCACGTTAGTCGATTGCGGTTGTGACGAAGGGGAGATCTATAACCTTATTTTTATCTCGAGGTGCCCTCGAAGTAATGACATTATTAATGTTCTGGTGACCCAAAGGTGCGCTTGCTACGCTTCGGCTGTCTGTCATAGTAAGGTAGTCGTGAAGCAGAGAACGCATCTATAATCATTAGCATACAACTCTTGTAAAAGAAGAGAATGGGGAAATACTTCGCTCTGTATTAGTTGCCAGACTTCCATAAACCCATTTGTTAGAGTAGCTGCGTCTTCCGAGCCATCCCTTTTGCTGATACCCTTGACGACATCGTATATCACTCTATGTCCCTCCATAACTGCAGCAAACTTCGAGTACAAAGTCCAAAGCAGGTCGTGTATTACCGTAACTCGGACGTCATTCTCATTCAGACCAAGGTCCATGGTTTTACCAAATGAACCAGCTGCCCGGGCTACACCTGTCAGAGAACTTGGATGCCGTTGGTCCACTTCGTTATTTGTCCTATCCACGAGCTTAAAAAGCTCGACTGGCAGACGTTGGTTGACTGTTCCAACAGCATTCGAGAGATGTCCAAGATTGTTGATCGCTTCCAGGAGAAGACGGATATAGTATATGCTATCAGCTTCGGGGTTTTTATTCGTGTTCGCATCTTCGACCATCTAAAAACGTCAGCGAGGACCGGCAAAAGCGCAATTTAGACTCACAGGCTGAGTGAAGTCGCTCGAATCGAGAAACTGGTGAAATGGCCTCTTTCCATTTTTAACTAGAAGTGCTTCTGATTATCAGTAAATAAAGTCCAGATATAATTAAGGTGTTGGTGCCAGACCTGGCATAGAAAATCTATTGTCATTGGCCCCAGGGGCGTCTTCGCCGGATACTAGGCTATGTTAGTAGATACCAAAGCATACTTATAAGTAACCTTACAATCTTTTTGATGTGGAGAATACGGTTTCCATCGGTCCACACAATAGGGGGATTTTAGATACAAATGATTGTGTAACTCTTCAATCAAAATATCGGCCAAAGACTGATCCATGTTAGGGGATTTTCAAATTGATTATGAGGATTTATATTTTACCGATTCTTGGCTGCCCAAGTATATTCTTAGGTCTGACAGAGCGCCAATCTCCATCATTTCTGGTTGGTTTATGACCTTGAGGGCATCTGACAACACTTCAACGGCAGTAAGAAATCTCTTTTCAGATATTCTTGCTTCTAGCCTCTCTGGAACGCCATTGACCTGCTCTCTATAGAAAAAGGTTAGTGTTTATTATGAATTCATTGGACTATGCGATGAGAAGAGAAACGAACATTAAAGATAGTGTTCTCAACATGGTATCATATTTTTGTGAGGTATCGACCATATGCTTCACTTCAGGCTTTGAAGTCGAAAGGTCGGACTTTGCTTGGATTAGAGACTCTCTAAGAGTTCTTACTTTGCCTTGAGATGTGGTGATACTCCTCATTATGCTGTGAAAAGTCCCAATTGAACTATTGAAACCCTGGTGATGATCTAACATTTAATTTAGAATACGTTTTCTATAGTGGAATTATGTATCATGTAGCCCCACCGTTTACAATTGCTTGCAAGGCATATTGAAGTTCGGAATTTGTTTGTCGAAAAGCATCATACTGGTGTGCCCGGCCTAGTGAGCTGGTATCCATCAACTGTAACGCCACTTTCACGGGAACGCAGCTATCAAGGGTCATGAAATCCCAATCTTTCTCGATGACGTTCAAAATATCTGACCCAGAACTAATCTCAGCATTCCTAGCCCCAAATAAGAAAAGAATAAAAAGTCTATTTAATAGCTTCTCACCCTCAAGCTTCCTAGAGCCTGGCCCGTAGGTTTTTACGCCATTCTGTCTCGGTGCGCCCCGAGATGATGGGTCCCTTTCGCGACTTCGACTACGACTGCGATAGCTCTGTTCCATACCACTGGGTGCGAGCTCTCTTTGTTGTGATCTTGGCGGGGGCTGGCGACCATAATCGCTCCCTCCATAGCCAGCATATCCTCCGGATCTTTCTGCTTCACGGTCGTTTCTCCATCTATCTCTTTCACCGTACCCTCCCCTCTCACCGTAATCGTACCCGCCATAGTTGTTGCTAGCACCACCGACCTGACGCGGCCGTTGACCTTGACTGTCCATATCAAGCAATTGCGATGCCCAATTAGATACGCGGCCTAGGTTGAGTTATGTGGGAGCTTAGGTTGGGCTGTTCTGGTCAGTTGGGACAACTCGTTGTACGAAGCTCTAGAGCTTTGGTGATACTGCATAGAGGTGCTCGAGCAATGGCCAGGTGCTCCTTGTCAATTACCCGGCCATGATCTTTTGTGTCACCACCCTATATAGGTAGAAAGGTTCCGAACACGACCGCTATTGCGCGTCACGTCATACAAAAAGATAGATTAGCGCGTTTTTTTATGTATCAATATCTATTATTCGCCTTTCTCCCCAGTCTTAGGTCATTGAGCGGTTGAATATTACGGTCAGGGGGAATAATATTGGAGTTGGCTGCTCAACGTAGGAAAAAATGCCAAGATCCCTTTCAAAAATATAAAGGACAAATAAGGATCGGTAAGAGAAAGTAACAGTAAAACAAAGTGGAAATATCATTTTGTAAGCAATTCAGAAGTATTGTTGAAGTACTTTGTGATCACTTTCAACTCAAGTATTGACTTCAAGCAGATGCATGAGCAGAAGTCAGAAAATGGTAACTTAGACAGTTTCTAGCGGGGGTGGGCCATGAGGAACTTTTCGCCCAGATATTATTGCAACAAATTGCAATTGGAGGTGGTGAGCTTGCCGAAAATTGTTTTTAGCATCGGCAGCGGAACCCTTACACTTCGACCTTTACCAGAAAAGAGGAATGGTATTGGAACCGTACTCGAGATAACTTCTATGCACTCCTTGGTAGTCTCGTTTCAACACAGGTTGGGCACGGGACTAACTCCTTTGATTCAATCAATTAATAGATTTTATGGTACAACAAGTGATAAAGCCACACCGCCAGCAACCTTGATTTTATACAGGTGAGGTACCACAACGGCCACGGTTAAAGGTTCGGTTGCAATGGAATTGCACATAACTTTACTCCGAATCTAGCCATTCACAATTCCCCTTATTCTTGAGTTTCTTCTCTTCTTGGCGCTTTTCCATGGTGTAGGTTTATTACTTGTTGCACCATACCGTGACCACATATCTTCGGTCCCAGGTTCAAAGCGAGAGAGACAATTTAAAGAGTGAGTCATAATGAATCACTCGTGTTAACGTTTTTATTTGCAATCACAGGCCGACACCGCAACCGTGTTATGCTGGTATTTAATTGTATGGGTAATAACCAACTACAAAAAATTGCGTGGATAGGAACTTGAAGTTATAATAACGGATTATGTAGTTGACGAGTTTATATTTCACTACATGTAATTAACGATAGGTTAACCTTAGATGTAAAACACATCTCAAAAAAATTCAATGACTGGCTAGCTAGTGATTTAAACGAAAGACCAAATATTCTTTATAATAATCATGAATAACATTCCTCCTTAGGCATCCGTATCAAAGATTGTTGTGTACATACATACACTGTTCAGTCGGACCCATCTGAATCCAAGAAAACGTATTTACCGTTTATGTGCTAAATATAGTAATTTACATGATAAATAAATCCTTTCACTCTGCCGTAATCCAGTCCCCGAAAAACTTTTGTGCAAGAAATTAACGCCAAAGAAACAACTAATTACACAGAACCGATCATCCGAGGCTGTACAAAAAGAAATCAAATAAGTTACCCTATCCAAGTCTTCCCTTCCTCTGTTCTCTGTGAACAGCACCCTTCTCTTTTCTCGCGATTCGTTTCTTCTCATTTTTCCTGATCTTATCTTTGGCTGCCTTTTCGGGGTCGGTAACCATCTAGGGTGAGGTTAGTACATATAATAAATATTTGATTTAATAGGTTCTCTCATTACCTGAATTGTTCTCTTCGACTTCCTCTCAAGTCGTCTCTCTTTGACCTCGGTACGAACTACATTGTAGGCTTTTCCATACGCAGTGGGGCCCATCTTAGTCTGCATCATACTCAGGATCTCCTGGGCGATATCTTTTAAATCTGTATCTCAAGTTAGATTTAGGAGTATAGATCTAAAAAGAATAAGTCATACCTTTCATAATATAGTTCTCGGGAGAGTCTACCAGACTGTACAGAGGTACGATCAACTTGTTTGACAACGGGACCAAATCCTCGCCTGTAATAATTTGGACCATAGCTGCCATCCACTGTAACCCGTACTTTTTGCCCAGGATTTGTCCCTTGATGATATTTAGCAATCTTGAAAATGCGAAGGGCTGTGAATCTTACCTTCTTGACGTTTCGTTCACTTCGGATAATGCCCGAAATCCTCCCAATTATCCACAAAAGCGCAGTATTAAGCTCATTGTCTTCCTCCACATCCACATCGATAGCAGCCATTTTATTAGCATAGAAACATCTCCCCATGAAGAGAAGATTTTTGACGACCTGTAACCCAAGCTCATCTGATAATTCGGCGTTGTTTAGTTGCGACGACGTCGCTCGCGCAATATTGACCATATCAACACCGTTCATCGACAATCCGCGGCCGTTTTCAAGTGGTATGTTTGCTAGTGATTCAGAAGATTTGGCATACTCGGCCAAAAGAAGACCCATGAGACGCGCCGCGGAAAGCTTAACCCAAGCATGGGGAAACACCAGGCAATCTCGGATTGTCCTCCACATGGTAGCGTTCGCCCCCGAAAAGCTGGTTTCAGGAAAATGCTGTACAATCTTGGCCCAGGTTTGGAGACCGAAGTAGACCAATTCCCACTCTGTAGCGGTCTCGGACTCTTCGTCGCAAGCACCTTTTAGTAGAACTTGAAGTCTCTCGGTTACAAAAACGACTTCCTTCTGACCCTTTGTTTCGTAAACTTCAAAATACAGCCCATAGACCTGGAGTGCCACCCTAACAAGTAACGTTTTCTCGTCTTGTTCTAGCCAGCCTCGAATCAGACCAACAAATGTTTGTAGGCGTTCCTTGTCCGCCCTTTCAAATATTTTCTTGATAATGGCACCCGCCATCTCGCGGCATTCAGTAGAATCGTCATTGATCAAAACCATGACCAACGGGACGAAAAACGTTGCGATGACATCTTGAATAAGATTATCTCCGATTTTAGTGATAAGTAGATTGGCGGCCTCTAGGACTGACTGCCTTCCGGATTGGTGAACATAGTCCAAATTTTTCAACAAGAATGCCAATTGCTTATTCAAACGCTCCTTGCCTTGTGGATATTCCATAAGAAATTGGAAGTAAACTCCTCTTGCCAGATCTCTGACAGTTCTAGTCTGATTTGTCACCATGATTGCCGTTACATTGTCAAGCACCTCGTACACCTCCGTGATAACTATCTTACGAGATAGAACAGCTTTGAGAAAATTGAAGGTTACGCCCTGACGATCTGGCTCCTCCAAGTCAGGCTTGACACGGGTGAGAAGATACGCGATGGTTGTTTCCTTGACTTTGAAGCTGCGCCGTTCTCGCAGTATTGCTGCCAAAAGCTTTAGACTTGCTTGTGCAATTTCCGAATTTGTCGAGGGGGAATTCTTGACAAACGATAATGCTTGCTGCACAAAAACGGGGGCACCATCGTCAATTGCAGGTAAAGGAACCCGAATGATGGTTGTTAGAAGTCGCAGAGCTGATACTTGGATCTCTTCTTGCTTTGAAAGCAATGCATCACCTATGATGGGGATAAAGCCAGCTAAAAGCTCGGGTGTTTTCAGATCCTCGTACTTGTGTAAAACTGTTCGCAAGATATCAAGTGAGAATCGCATAAGCTTATACGTATGAGATGAAGTAGTAACCCCGGATGCCGCCTTTGAAGGAGCTTTGAGGTTAACTATATATCTTAGTGTCGTACTATCCATTTTCTTCTCTGCTGGGGCAACCGATGCAGCCTTGTGGGCTTCCTGGATGACTTGGTAACAGAAAACCAAGAGCTCCTGTGATTTGACAGCTTCATTCCTTAGGAGCCCAACTCCTATCCTCCTCAATAATTCATCAATTTTCTTGGCCATTTTCAAATTCATCTTCTCCTGAAGTAGCGACTGGATTGGTTTGATGAGTTTTCCAAGATGAGGTAACGTAGTCGTAGAGGCCAGAAGATCCATAGAATCATAACTCTTGCTGCTCTTAACCTCCTTCATCTTACTGATATAACCTTCAGCGTCCTTCTCCATTCCCGTGACACCAAAAATATCGTCCATGGCGACGTCGACGATCTGCGAAACACAGTAGTCCAAATCACCGGGGGCATAGCTAGGTACTACAGATACTAATATTGAGTGAACCGTGTACGACAAGACGTGAAGCTGGTAACCACGCAAAAGTGCTCCACGGAGTTCTTTAATGACAAAACCAAAGTATTGAGATCCCAGAAGCGTTGTGATCTCAGTCAATGTCCTTCGAGTCATATCTCGCGAGTCTTGAGCCCTGCTTCGTAGAATATGAGAAACATCCGTCAGAACTGCGGGAAGTCGAAGCTTAAGCATATCCTCTGGCATGACCTTAAGAAGTTTGACGATTGAAACGGCTATAGGAACACGCAAACTGACTGTCGACTCGTCCTTTTTGTGTAGATAGTCGTTCAGAGTTGGAAGGAACCCGTTCGAGATGTCTTTGGCTAATATGTCTTGTTCCGGCAAACTTTCAGCAAGTTGACCAAGACTAGTCACCCCCATCGAAACATCTCCGTCTCCATCGGTGGCTGTAGCAGACTCTGTCGTTTCAGACTTGCTCGGGTTTGTTGGCGCTGTCTCCCAAGTCTTTGAAAGCGATTCGACAATTACACCGATCAAACGAACAACAATCTTTTCTAATTCAACCTTGGTTTTCAAATATCCAGTATACCTCCTGAAGACAGCCCTATACTGTGACCATGAAAGCTGCTGAACGAGTGCACCGACTGTGATAACAGCCTCGCTAGCTAGATTATGTCCGTCCTCGGCCATATCAAATATAAAATGTTCGATGAGAGGCAAAAAGAAATGTGCAATATTAGAACTTTGGATGTGCTCTTTCTCTGCCGCTGCTGCTAGTCGCCGGAGTGCTCTCAACCGTCTATGTTGTTGGATGTGAAGAATATTATTGAAAAAGCTGGCTTCCTCGTCCTCACCAAAAAGTAGTGGCTTCATATCGCTGACCTCCTCCCAAGAACCGCACTCCTTGACGATGTGAGCCATGACACCGACAAACTCGGTCCTGACCAGTTCAGATTTCTCCCGAGTCCCCGCTCTTAATGCAGGCATGACCGTACCAGACAATGTCATCAAATACGCCTCTTCATCAGGTGTACCGAATTTAGTCCCGACGCTCTCAACAAATCTTCTCAAAGCGTACGAAGCATTTGTCCGAATGACTAACTCCTCGTTGTCCTTAATGAAGAATAACATGTTAAATAATAACGGCATCCATTGTCTTGGTGTAAACACCTTGTACCGTTCCTCATTAATTTTCGCATAAGCCTCCAAACGTTGTTCGAAATCAGGTTCATTCATTCGCTCCTCCGACCATGAGTTTAGCTGTTGAGATAGTCTTGCGATTTCAATCATTTCGCCATCCCTTTCTGCAAATACGTTCAAGACTCTAGCGAGGTTCTCCCGACCTTCCCTATCTTTGAAAAAGCCAAAAAGAGAGGATATGCTGCGGAATGTTCGCTCAAATAGATCGTCGCTCTTCTCCATCACACAGAGGGGTAGAAAGTGGACAAGAATCTTCAAAATTTCACTCTTTGCCTTTGGACTGACTCTGCGTGAGGGTTGATCCAACATGAATACCGATATATCGACCAAATGAGTAGTTTCGGTATCGCCAGAAACATATGGTGCAATCGCAGCGATCGTTTCGACAGCTTGTTCGAGAACCTCTTTGCCTGGGCTTTTGTGTAGAATCTCCCCCGTGTTGACGATAAAAAGATCCACATTCGGTCGAATTAGCCGCTCCTTGACCGCCTGTGAATTGTCCTCCACCTCCATATCCTCCTCCGGTTTTACAAATGCGATAATATTTCTCACAAGGTTGAGAATAAATAGAACAACCTCATCCTTAACCTGCTTACTCGCTAAACATTGAGCAATCTTTGGAAGAACTTGGTTATTATAATCTGAAAGAAATAGCACAGTGCTTCTTGCTTTTGTCCAAGTAAATAAGAGCTGTAGTAGCCCGGATAGACCCTGTGATGTCTCCACTGGAAGGTTTTCAAGCCTTGGCTCCACAAGCTCTTGGAAGATTGCTGGTATGTAGGGTGTCCATCTAAAATTTGGGCAGTTTGTGAATAATGCGATCAAGGATTTGAATCCCCCTTGCCGAATCGCCTTCGAAACTTTAAGTGATACCGAATCTTCGTAAGTAGGCTGCTCAACTGTAGCTTTACCAACATTATTTGCCGCAGAAACCAGACAATATAGCAGTGCGTCCATAACTTTCGGTATGTAATCGAACATCGTAGATCCAAGTTGTTTCATCATATCTTCCACCATCCTCACAAAACCAACTTGTTTCCTTGTTGAGACATGAACCGATCCAATTGCATCTGGCCGAAGAGCATATCGCTCTGGGTCCGACTTATCAACGAATTTGGCCTCTGCCAACTCACCGAGCGCGATATCGATATACATATCCCTCTCCTGTGGTTGAAAGTTTGCAAGAGATGCCAAAACCACTGTTCGTTTACTCACCATTCCTTTCTTGCCGCTTGATGCGTTTTTGCGCGACAAACTACGGCCGTAGAGGATCCGAAGTAGCACTGGCATTAGTTCTTTACGGTGATTGGTCTGAATCATTGACTCCTCCTCTTCTACCTGCACAAACTTTGTCACCTCCTCTCTGAAGTGGGTATCATCCAGCAGGTTGTTGAGATTGTCTTCATACGCGCGGATTGCGGGAATTTTCCATGTGAATACACATTTTAGCGCTAATGTTTGAGACGTTACATCACCGGAGGCCAGAAGATTGAGGAGTGCGGAATACACTAGCTCGGATTTGAAGAGGGAACGTGGGTTGACGAATTTGGCGAAAAGTTTAAGCATAGCAGCTCGGTCTTTCCGCGACCATTTCATTGAAAGTTTCTCTCCCGGGACTTCCTCTTCCTCTGCTACGTCTTCGTCATCCATTCGTGTCCATTCCAAGAACATCGGAACTAGCTGTCGGCCCCTCTTTTCGGCGATTCTAGGAATTTCGCAGAGAACCTTCAGAGCCTGAGTTCGAGCTGTAACTGCAGACAGAGGGGCCATATGAAGTTCCTGTCCACAGTTAGTTTAACAATAATCAAAAATAACACTGAATAAATCTTACTTTTTCAAACGCAGAAGCAAGTATAATACTAGCATCTATATTTTCAGTCATACATCTCTTAGAATCCTCCTCCACTACTCTCATGTTACTACACTCATAGCTTGTCCATGGATTTGATGCCACATGAGCCTCTGGCTTCGTATCCTCCCCTTCGCTCTTCAAAGAAAGCCACGAAAACGCCAACTGCGCTACAAGTTCCTCTTCAATCTCAGCAACCTTTGCCAAAACAAGCGCCGAGTCATCCCACGCGGGCGCGAAATGAAGTGTGAGAAGCCCAAAACAATAGTAGGGTACGATTCTCCTCGCCCACGAATCCTTTGGAACAGATGGATATTCAATCCCGAGCCGGCGGATGTACATTGAGATGGTGCGGGCATTGTTTATTGCGAGAGGTGTGTCCTCAATTAACTTTGCTGTGTTTATAATCTCCGACACTTGAGATGTAGGATTCTTGTACGCATAAAGTATCTCTAGACAACGCAATGAAGATGTGCGAACCTCATGGCTAGGTAGTAGAAGATTAGTTATCAACTTTGTCACCATTTCCTTGATATATTCCTCGTCAATAAATTCTTTGAAAGTGGATACCAATGCAAAATCGACAACTCCTTGTAGAAAAGTCATGTTATCACCCAGCTTCGGGAAGGCTTTACAAGTATTTTCCACAAGTGATTTTGTCTTTGTTCCCTTGCCGCGAGAATATATGCTCAGTGCCTTTCCGATCAACGGGGTAAGTGTAACACTTCTTTCCATAGGAAGAATCTTTTGTAGAAGAAGTCCAAGGCTCTCGATTAAGTCTGCCGGTATGGTATGTGGGAGTGACAGAAGCACATCCAGATATTTCCACATGTTAATTACTTCTGGGCTCTTACTGTCAAGAATATCTGATGATTCAATGGCATTGTCGAAGTTCCGGATCGCAGTTTGGGCTGCTATTGTGAGGGGCGATTTTGGTCCGAGGATATCAGGAGCAGAAACCTCTTGGTCTTTAGAGGGTGTGAGGGAACCTGTTGTTGAGAGTCTAGGAATTAGGAGGGAGAGGGCAGAGGAGTGAGAATTCCATTGCGATAAAATAAATCTAGTACAAACTCATCAGTGCCTGGTATGCACTAAGCAAAGGAATGGATGGCATTACCTTTGGAAATATGGTAATAAGAAAATCTTGAACCGTTCTGAACCCATAGCGGAGAAAAAGCCGCAAAACGGCAAGAATAGAATCCCCTTCTGAAAGTCCCTCGCCTTATCTACGACTTTTCCGCATCTCGATATTACAATCTCTAAATCAGCTTGCTGTAAGATCATGGCAGAAGCCTTCAGCGCCTCCCATACAGCTTCCCTCAATTCTTCTGCTTGCTCCTCCTCTTCCAATGAAGTTCCAACCTCTAAAATATAGGCAGCGGCTATAGCAGTCTTTTGCCAGTCCATTATCCTACAACCCTTCCTCACTGTAACTACTGTATATAACAATGTGGCCGCCATTCTAACCCTTTTAGGAGTTACCGAATCCGCATCGAGTAATTCGGCGAGAAATTCGTAAACAACGGTCAGTGCGGGTTGGAAAGTCTCTGGAGTGGTATGATGCATCAATGAGATTAACACGCCTTCGCAAACACTGAAGCAAGGTCCAGATGTGTCTGAGAGCTCCAACGAGATATCGAGCATTGTTCGGAGTATTTGCGGCCCTTTCGAATGGAGTGTTCGATCCACACTCTAGAAACTCATTAGAAACCGAGAACTATCCAAAATAAAGTGGCGAGGATTAACATACTATACAAGACTCTTGAAACATATTCATGAGACCTTGTCTGTAACCCTTCGCTCCATGATTTCCACCACACTTAATCAGATCCTCAAATACATGTCGGATGATCAATCGCAACGGCTCTTCTTTCGCCTTCCTAAGCAGGAAACTCAGTGCCTCTGCTGCAAACCTCGTGATAAAGGTCTTCTGTTGCTCCCTTCCTAGAAGTGGCGCAAGAATGTCAAATAGCGGCCTCAGATCCGGTACTAGTAGCCTCGACAGATACTTGAGCAAGTAAGCGAGACAGTTAAAGGTCCATTCAATAGTAGATACATCCGCGTGCTTCGCAACTAGGCTGCCCAATAACGTGACAGAGCGCGCAAAATAAGGCTCGAATGTTGCGCCCAGGTCGTGTGCGAATTGAGAGAGCAGGCTTAAGAGCGGTTCGAGTGCCAGGACGTCTCTGCGATCGATATATTTGACAAGCAGCTCGAACAACTCGTCCTTATAATGTAGAATATGTGGAAGTGATTCGGAGAGTGGGACGGCCTCTCGGGAGAACTCGGTGAAAGTGGATGAGAAATTGCGATCTACCCATGATTCTAGAGAGCTGTGGAAGAAGGACTTTTCCGTTTCTTCGTCATCAACATGGCGGCGTATTCGTCGAACGGGATCGATTTTTCTAAGAAGAAGCAAATTATCAGTTATTTCTCCAATTGAACCGATTGGATTGACTTTGAGGTGTGGTTTTACAAATTCGCAATTTTTTGCGTGAATGATTGGAACTTTTGCGCGAAGCAGTCAGTAAACTTCTGATTAGCTAGGACACTAAGAACATACCGAATGATTTCTCTTTGACTGAGTCCCGCCCTTCTTCGAGCCCGACGCTTTTGGCTTGCTCGACGACATCGTAGCAACGCTCCGTTACTGATGTTTGGACCTCGTTGGTTTGTATTTCGGAGGTGTCAGATGAACAAAATTTATTGAGGCTCTACACGAAATCTTGGCATAGTGGTGGGGTTTAGCCTCATTCAGGATATGCAGTCGATGTAGTGGCGGTGACCGCCATCTGAGGCTGATACTTCACCCCGCTATTCGAATTTTTCTGCGACAGGACAGAACATGCATGTAGTCTAAAAAAGAAATTACATATACTCTACTTAGGTACATATCCTTCTCAAAGATTCAAATTTGTTTATCTGCATTTGACGCTACTTCGATGAGGTCCTTAAAGTTTTATCAGAAATCTCCGATTGGTTTAACTAGAGCCTTAGCGTCATGAACCTTCACGAGTGATAATCAATGATGTTGGCCACTCAAGACCGATCCTATGTAAACGCCAACTACGTAGGACTTGAAAAGTTTTTTTCTAGACAGAGATCTACCCTGGTTATATGAATAAAGTTTAAAAATGAAACTAAGAAACTATTTTTTATGTTTTACATGTCAATTTTTTTTCCAAATCGAGAACCCCTAAACTCCCTTCCTGCCCTTAGATAAGTTGAGCAAAAGCCCTGTTGATAGGGCTCCTGATGGGGGTGACCTCCTTCCAGAATTCGATGGTTGCAATAGCACGCTTGGAGATTCCCTCGGGAGTGAATTCGAATTTAGCGTACACGTCCTTGTAAGGTCCGGAAGCACCGAAGCGGTTGAGACCGAACTGCTCGTGAGAGTACTTCTCCCATCCCTGTTTTACGTGTTAATTGATATCCCACCAGGAGGTATGAAGAATTCTTACAAGAGTGGTCATCACTTCAACAGACAAGATAGGGATTCCATCGGGAAGGACGGAAAGCTTGTACTCCTTTGACTGGGCATCGAAAACCTCCCAACAAGGAAGGGAGACAACACGGGCGACAACATTGTGTTTCTCCTTCAAGTACTTGACAGCGTCGATACAGATACCAACCTCAGAACCAGTAGAGATCAAAGTAACCTGGGCACCCTCGGACTCGACAGCGACGTACCCTCCCTTGATGGCACGCTCAATGGTGGAGTTTTCAAGCTGAGGAAGGTTCTGCCTGGACAAAGCGATAACGGAGGGGGTGTGCTTCGAGGTCAAAGCAATGTAATAAGCGGCCGAGGTCTCGTTACCATCAGCTGGGCGCCAGACCATGCAGTTAGGTAGGGCACGGAAATGGGCAAGAGTCTCGATAGGCTGGTGAGTGGGACCATCTTCTCCAAGTCCGATGCTATGACCTTATTAGCTTCAAACCCAGCGGTAAGAGATTCAATTGAACTTACGAGTCATGGGTTGAGACGTAGATGACACGGTGGTGAGACAGGGCAGACAGCCTTAAAGCACCAGCGGCGTAGGAAACAAAGTTCAAGAAGGTTCCACCGTAAGGAATAATGGTTCCATAAGCGGCAAGACCGTTCATAATAGCAGCCATACCGTGCTCACGGACACCATAGCGGATGTAGCGTCCAGACCAGTCACCGAGACCAGTAGAGGGAGGTTGGAAGTCAACAGCCTCTTTGGCACGAGTCAGGTTTGAGCCAGTCAAATCTGCGGAACCACCGACCAACTCAGGAATGATAGGGTAGAGTTTCTGAAGGATAGTCTCAGAGAGTTTGCGAGAAGCAATGGCAGGGTCAGTAGATTTGTATCTAATGTAAAGTTAGAATCATAGGCTTGGGCTTTCACAAGAGCGGGACATATACGTAGGTAGGGCCTTCTCCCATCCTTCAGGAAGTTTACCAGCCAATCGCCTAGCAAGATCCTTACCCTCCTCTGGGTACTCCTTCTGGTACTTAGCAAAAAGTTGGTTCCACTCCTCCTCAGCAGCGGCACCCTTTGCGGCGGTCTCGCCATAGTGCTCGTACACTGTTGATGGAACATCAAACTTCTTTTCGGGGTCAAATCCAAACTTCTCCTTGATGCTCTTGATATCATCGGCTTTGAGGGGAGATCCATGGACCTCGTGAGTTCCCTGGAGCTTAGATCCATAACCAATAGTGGTAGTAAGCTTGATAATTGTGGGCTTGTCCTTGACAGTCTTCGCCTCAGCAATAGCGGCATCGATTGCGGCAAGGTCATTGTCACCGTCAGTGACATGGATACAGTGCCAACCGTATGACTCGAATCGCTTCAAGACATCCTCAGTGAATGCACAGTTGGTGTTACCATCCTAAACGAATTTTTAGTAAGATCTATAAGTTTTCTTTTAATCGGGAGAAGCCCCGTACAATAGAGATATGGTTATCATCATAGATACCAATCAAGTTACCCAACTGCAGGTGACCGGCGGTAGAGGCAGCCTCAGCAGCAATACCCTCCATGAGACATCCGTCTCCGAAGAACATGTATGTGTAGTTGTCAATCAAGTCATACCCAGGCTTGTTGTAGATAGCAGCAGTGTGTGCCTGGGCGATGGCAAGACCTACAGCATTGGCGAAACCTTGACCAAGAGGACCAGTGGTAACTTCAATACCGGGGGTATCGGCCTATTGACATTACTAATTGTTTTCAACCTTTTGAGTTACCCGAAGGATATCTTACAGCTTCGGGGTGACCGGGGGTCTTGGATCCAACTTGACGGAACTGCTTCAAATCGTCCAAAGAAAGGGCATATCCGAATAAGTGCAACAATGAGTACTGGAGCATGCACCCGTGACCGTTTCTTTATTGCATATATTAAGTCAGCACCATTAAGTACCTTAAGAGAACTCAAAAAGAACCACACAAAATAATAAAAATAAATAAAAGGAACCAGTAACCGCGTAAAACATCGGAGGAACTGTGTACAAGGAGAACTTACGAAAGGACAAATCGGTCTCTGTTAATCCAGTCAGGGTTCTTAGGGTTGAATCTCATGAACCTATTGAAAAGAACATGAGAAACCGGTGCCATTCCCATAGGAGCACCAGGGTGCCCTGAGTTTGCGTTTGCAACAGCATCGGCCTATTCAAACGTAATTATTAGTATCCTGGAATTGGTCGTTGATTTTTCTACTTGAGAAGTTTTGTTCATGGAGTTTGTTTCAAGCCAAACACAGTATAAACATTGTATTAGAGGGCTAAGGTGGGGTAAAACAATTACAATAAAGTATCAACTTACAGACAAAACACGAATCGTGTTGATGCAAAGATTGTCGAGCTCTCCGTAAGACATCGTGAAAAAAAATGGGTATAAGCTGGGTATCTCAAAAGTATATCAAAGGTATCCGCTGAGGTCGAGCAGAATGAGATGCGTCGGGCAAGATAAAACAGAGGGGTTGCGGAATCTGGTGCGGTACAAATGGGAACAAGCCCCACTACCGGTAAAATTCGAATTGAGGGGAGTTTACGCTACCCGCGTTTAAACTAGGCAAGGATGTCAACCCTATACCCTAGTTGAGTGAATTCAACCAGTCCGGTATTAAAGAAATTAATTTCTATCAAAGTATGTACAAAAATACTTTGAAACATTGTATTTAACCTATAAAATTATATTATTTGAATCGAGTGATCTTTCATGAACCGGATAAATGCTCGAAAGCCCCACGCGGAATAAAAAGCAAATCCCAACAAGATTCCATGCACACGTGGGATGGGCCCGGGAATTATTCCGAGGGGCCTAATTCCGCTTTTCACAACTCCGGTGGCCTTTCGTGACAGATTTTCAAATTTCCATGACAGACAAGCGCCTGTGGCCATCTAACAAAGCCTCTCCGCATCTTTGACAAATACCGATGAGAGTAGTGATAAAAAAGTTATTCCGGTGGGATTTTTAAATTCTCTAGATGAAATGCCCTTGAGAGGATTTCAGTTTGGTGCTTAATCATAAACCCTTCAGCGGAGAAAAGATTTGATATCCAACTATTGGGCCAAATCCTGGGTGCCTAATCTGCAGCTAGAGGGGTCTAATCTGGCAACACTCTTTTGCCTTTCGCATGGCATCGTGTTCCTGGACGTAGCATCTACTTTGTGCAAGTGGTAGGATGTGACGTTCTCGAATGCTTCTACCTCATGCTATAATACTAGACTAATGGTGCTAATTTACAGCATGTTGTCTAGAGTATGTCAAAAGCAAAACATAATCCCCATAGTGTTCCCGGTAATTATAAAGTGATGACTTCTTTCACCAGACACCCAAACAGAAAACGAAAAAAAAGTTGTGATTAAAGTCATACAACAAAGAGAAAGAAAGAGAAAAAAAGTTCCAGCACAAAAACTGGATAATACAACGCGTCTGACAAACAATGAAGTACGACTAAATATAGAGTGATTGCAAGCAACACTCCCACCCATCTCCCCCCAATAATGTCATGGGAGACTGTTAGTTGCTTCCAATTGACCCTCCGCCTATATAAAAGCATGGTATATCCTTCCAGCAATCAATGCCCAGAGGTCGTGGAGTTTAGAAATGCTGCCCTCTTGGATGCTCTTGGGTGTATTGCCTGCACTCTCCCCGTGGTATGAGAAGTGGCGAGTTGAAAACGAAGGGTATTTCTCAAAAATAAAAAAATAAAAAGAAAGAAAAAACAATGAAAAGTTCAAGATTTTGTAGCTGGTGTTGCTCATGTGAATTTTTTTTGATAGGAATGGTGAAGTTATGATCTTGTTAGCTGCCTTACCAGGATTCGAAAGAGCGATGGAAACCCGATCGCGAGGAATGGAAAATCCAAGATCGCAGGCATCAATAATTGTGCACTGCTCCAACCAAAAACGATTTTGTTTTGAGAAACGTTCCAGAATCTACGATGAATCCAAAGGAAGGTTATATTGCATGACTCAAAACAGCACCTGTATTGGTAGAAGTTTGGGTGGTGTGCCGTTGATGATGATGGAACTGTCCAAACACCAAGTAGTGATCCCGGGAAACAGAATAAAGGTATAAGAGGGGAAATGAAAGAAAATGATATGGTTATCGAGGATATCCACAGCCTAATGTGTCACTGAACAGCAATGCCGAATAATCAGAACCTATATGTCCACGAGCGGCATTGTCGTGGGCAAACTAAGCCACCATGCAGGAAATCCCAACCATGCAAAACCGCCTTTAGAAGTACCGTGCAAAGGCAATACAATACAGCCCCCCAAGAATGTGAAAGGATGTGAGAAATGTGGGTATTGAAAAAAGGAAAATCAAAAGAACGACGGGGTGAGGAATCTCGCACGATATTAACCAACAAGCATTAAGCTTGTACGACAGTTTGCTGGTGCTGTAATTGTTGCCTTTTTCCGTCGTGGCCAATCGATTCCTAGATATGCGGCGAAGAAGCTTAGCAAATCCTATCATAAAACCAGTGCCGCCATTTGTCATTTCATCCGCGTTAGGGGAGGAGTTCTTGCGCGATATTTTCAGCGTAATAGTCTTTGGATTCTGACAAGGATTTCGTAGCTTCGGTAGCTTTTGTCCCGTAGAGCCTCATTTTAATATGACCGCCTTCGCTAAGCTCAAAGCCGACGCCTTTCTACCCCCGTGATATTTTCTTTTCTTTCTCCTCCCCTTTCTCGCGGAAAGGCAAAAGCAAACACAATATTTTAGCCGGTTCATACGTACCTCGTCGGCATTTCTTTTCTTTCCGTTGCCATTAGCCACAGTGTTGACTTTCTTCTTCATCATCTTCTTTTTAGTTTGCTTCACGGGTTTCGTATCTCCAGCTTGGAAGACATCATCAGGCAACTCATAGCTACACAGTGAATTTAATTAGCATCGGTCATCAAATATTTAATATTATTACACAAGAAGATAGTTGTGCACTTACTTGCGTGTCAAGGCAATACTGATACTCTGTTCCTCAACATTGTAGTGCTCCGAGCTCTTGCACATGTCGTAAAATTCCTGACTAGCCCAAGAGATATCGATCTGCTTAGAAATTTCTGCAAGAAATGAGTACTGCCCCCTGCAAATAGTAATTTCTATAAATATAGACTTACCACTGTTGATTTCTAGGCCGATGTAGTAAGTAGTTGTGTAGACCTTTACTTTTGAATCGTCTTCTTCCTTTGACTCGCTATCCCCATTTTGGTCCTTGAGGTCAGTCTCGGCCGTCTTTACACCATCATGGATTCCCACGCTCCGGATTTCTCCGTGAGCAACACTAATTGCTTCCTCTTCAGTGGCACAGAAGTGAACTTTGTCAAATCCTCTATTGAATGGATGGGCAAGTTTGATTGTTTCAATCTGTTCAAGTTTCATCACAAGATGACGTAGTTTGGATTCCACAAGTCCGGACCTGCCTAAGATTAATTCGTGTTTTTAGAAAGACTTTTAGTTGTATCATACCATCCTAGCAGTTGCTCTTTGCCCTTAGCCGAGGCGATGACGCTCAAATAGTAACGATAGCCATTGGTGAAAAAACTATGACGTTCGAATAGGCTGTCCCAGCTAGCAGTACCTACCATGATCCTATTTACGACTTCATTTGCCCTGGCCATCTCGCGTATTATGATCGTTTTAGTGGATTTAGTGATATTATGTGTCGCGCACATGCTAGGATACGCAGGTGTAATGATAGGCATCAGATGACTACGGTCTGAAGCGTAGATCTAGTAGCACACTACTTAAAGACTGCGCACTTTTCTAGAGAAGAGATAGGCATACCTTTGGATTCCATACTCGCACATTCAAAGGTCCATCTTCAATACCTTTCAAAAGAACAGGTTGCGGCCAGGTCCAGCTGCCCATGATCTTGAAGAATTTACTTATAATGACTGAGCTGACGGCCATCGGATAAAGCTGACAGATTCTGGCGACCAACATTGCCCAAGCAACACCCCCGGGGAAGCCAATCACATTGCCATAGATGGCACGTCCTGTACATAATTAGATGTATTCTTTTTATGGTAAAGGAAGAATCTCACTTTTCGCCCACAGCTTAATAGCTCTTAAAGCCATTTTAAACACTCCTGTTTTAGGCACCAAAGCAAGAATTTCATCGGTAACTCTGCATCCGTTCAGACAGCGCAAATTAACTTCGTCACATCCTCTCAGGAGCTCCTTGTCATTCAAAACCATATCCCGCGGTACTGAATTGATGTTTGGCAGGCGGGCAAAAATTAGATCTATTGAGATCCCCTGGAGTTCGAATTTGATGATGGGGACATAGGCATCGGGGACTATTGAGAGGTCTTCTGGCGGCGGATTCAGCTCCTGCAGCATAGGCGGCAGAGTGGTGAAGAAGTCATGTCGGCTGATATGGGCAGGCGTAACAAGAAGTGTGTCAATATCAGATCCTGTATTAAAGCAACAGGATTAATGACATTCAAAATGTGTATAAAAGAATAACCCCGGAACTTGAAAGGAGTTACCTGGCCCATATACCCCCAAACGGTAACTCCCATAAGTAAAAATCTTTCCACCAGAATTCTTCACGATATGCTCCGGCATGCCCTTCCCGACGCATACTTTCCTCACAAAATTTTCGGTTAATGACTGAAGTGCAACCAAAACTTGCGTTCTATATTTGTGTTTAGCTAGACGTAAATCTCGGGCTGGCAGGCGCGCTTTTAACGTACCTTTTCGCGCTCTCTTCTTGGCTCTCGAAACTGTCCTGCTTTTTAAGTTCTTCGATAAGTGTCTGGTTGCGCTCGATCTCTTTGTCTGTAGGTCCAGCCACAGTGATGGGCGGCGTAACTCCGTACTGTTTCGGTTGTCTGCGCACGAAAGTCAGAGTAGTTATAATAAAAGCACCTCAATGGGCCCACCCATCTGTCGGCAGGGGTTGCATACTCGGACATGTTGATTCACCGAGGCCAATAAAGGTATCGCTGGGTGAGAACTTGGAAAAGAAAGCTGTAAAGCGCGTTCAAGAGCGAATCGCACACGTTTGAATACTGTTGTGGTTGTTGATATTACGTAGCTGCGTGTTTGGAGAGGATGGGATCAGTGAGGTTCAAGATCTATCAACGAGTCGATCCAGAAGGAGATACATGCTAGTTAATCATTGTTCAAGCCACGTAGTCTTTGTCAGCAGCCACCGCCACACCGGGTAGCTTACATGTGCTCACCACCCAACGACACGATAGCTCCTAGGAAACAATCATTCACTTCATCAATTCACCTACGTTCAACACAATACCCCTTCCCAACCCAAACTTTCGACATCACCCACAGGATCCTTAAAATATGTCTCACTTCCCTGCCCTTGAAGACTTCGACGAAACCCCTGTTGGCCAGCCCGGAGCCACCCCTATAGATCTGGGTCTCGGCGACGACGCTGATGATTTCATTAGCCGCGAAAATAAACTCCTAGGAGATGAAGCCAGAAACTTCGCTACTGCTGATGATGACAATTTGCTTGGTGGTGGAGAAGCCGATCCTGCGAATCAGTTTACAAGGAACTTTCCGGACATGGCAACATTCGATAATAACGAGGTGCGACCCATAGTCTTCTGTTATGCTGTTTGGCACATATGAGCTAATGATAGTTTTCATAAAGATGATTGGGCCCGGAGGTGTCATTACTGGAACATCCGAACCGTACCTTCCTGGCCATAACACATATTCCGGGATGACCATGGAGACAGAAGAAGAACCCGAAGTCATTAGGTTATTCCTCTCTCTTGCGTTACTTTGATGAACAAAACGACTGATTTAAATCGAGCGAAACTTAGACAATGGCGCGAACGCCAAACTCTTGAGATCCAGCGCCGCGATGAGCAGTCAGAGGCCCGCAAGCGTGAAACCATAGAGAAAGCCCAGGGCGCTGTAGATGATTTCTACGAGAACTATAATTCCAAGCGCGACAAAGCTATCGAGCAGACCCGGTTTGTCAAGTGCCATGCTAGAATATATACTTTTTTTCCTTGGCCATAGACTGACTGTTCGTCCGATGAATAGCAAAGAAGCACAGGAATTCTTGGACTCCCGTGAAAATATGACTTCCGGTGGTACCGCTTGGGAAAGAATTGCTAAGCTGGTCGATTTGACTGAAAAGGGTGCCCGTTCTGGAAAGAGCGACAAGTCAAGGTTTCGGGAGATGCTTCTAAGCTTGAAAAAGGATGAGAAGGCGAGATATTCCCCACCTTCCCTTGATATAAACCTAACTAATATATTTATGTATAGGCGCCTGGTGCTAGTGGATTTTAAATGGCTTTTGTTTTATATAAAAAGTAGAATGGAATAATATGGCTGATTCCCATAGTTTAGTGAAATTTCGGTAGCTTTGGGTCTTACGTGCAGCTCGATGGAGAGGGCAAAAGTAATCTTGCTAGGCGTTGATGCATTATTTGTGTACACACTTCTTTCTTGTTGTCTTGGCGCTAGTGCGACACACCTACTTCGCTCCCCACTTCAAAGCTTTTTCTCGCTAAGATATCTCGAGCTTACAACGGCAATTGTGGATTCCGGATTCTTTGATGGACTTGTTCGATTCTATACTTGAATCAAACCAAAGCCTGGTACCATGATCTGCAGAGTTAGCAACCAACCGAAACTTTTGTCTGGAATCTTTGTAGGTTTGGATAATTTAGGGGTGCATGCCATTTTTTTCTTCTCGAAATTTGGCTTGTTCATGAATTCTCACTCGAGACCTCTACAAGCTGGATTGTAGACTAAAAAACTTCATTTGAGGATAGGTATCAAGCTGATACTATATGTAATCCTAGATACCCATATGATTTCGAACATGATGTCATCTTAAAATATACGTATTCAATTTGCTATCAACATCTCGGCTGTATGATATTCTCTCTCCGTTTATTAAGATCAATAATATTATGCAATGCAGGGTAACTCTACATCTCTGGTTACCCTGTACGACTACACGTCATACACACGTGTAATGCGCTTGAAGTCGGTGAAGCTACCAGAATACTTAGGTGCATACTCTTGAAGCTTCCCCATGTCTCTTGAACCCGGATCTCGAATACCGTCCCCCTTGAGCTCCGGCCGCTCTTCGCCACAGCCACGATCACGGCTCCGGAACGATGATGGTTAGTATTCTAGCAAATAAGTGCTAGCAATACAGGTATACAGCTAATAAGCCCAATTCGGTACAGATATTACCAAGAAAGATCCGAAATACAAACGGTATTCTGCAAATATCGACCGTGCACTTTCGTTATTTGAGAGCTATACTTTACAAGAATGGGCAGATTACATATCATTTTTAGGGCGGCTACTAAAGGTTACCTCCAGAAGACATATATTAAATTCATTTGTTTCTGAAAACCGGAAACTGACAATATAGATGAAAATAACAGGCGTTACAATCATATCCTTCGCTGCCACTCATACCCTCAAAGAATCTTATCGCAAAGCGACTTGCTCAATGTCTTAACCCTCAATTACCATCTGGAGTTCACCAAAAAACAATCGAGGTCTATTCGTACATCTTCAACATGATCGGGCGCGAAGGATTGGCGCAAGATTTGTCTTTATGGACGCCTGGATTAACACCAGTACTTTCTTATGCATCTTTGACTCTCAAGCCTCATTATCTCACCCTTTTGGAAAGGTTTTACCTGCCACTTTCCACCTCATTACGTCCGGCGCTCAAGAGCCTTATTTTATCATTACTTCCAGGAATAGATGAGGAAGGAGGTGAATACTTTGATAGAACTCTGGCTTTAATGGATGGAATCAGGAATGGGGTTGGGGATGATGCCTATTTTTGGCAGTGTTTTTTATTGGCTACTATTACTAGCCCAGGAAGGCGCCAGGGAGCGTTAGCATTTTTGGGTAGAAGACTCCCGACACTAGACGAGGCAAAGAAAATGGAAGCTCCGGAAGACACTCATGACATAGCTTTGGACGATGGTAAAGGTAGTGAGGCAGAGGCTTTGGTAAACCCCGAGCCAGGCCTCCTGGTACGAGCATTCTGTGCTGGATTAGGTGACGAGCAGCTATTAGTTCAACGTGGATTCCTTGATTTGCTGGTTGGATCTTTGCCTCTTTCTTGTAGGATTCTCCAAGAGAGGGTGAGCAAGCCTGATCTCGAGTTACTGGTGACTTTAGCAGCCGGAGTAGTGTTAAGGAAGGACATGGGCCTGAATCGAAGACTTTGGGCGTGGTTTCTGGGGCCAGACGGCCAGGACCAAAGAGACAAAGGTTATTTACATAAATATGGCCTCAATTCACTTGTTGGAGGATTGATCAAGATGTTGGATTGTGCGGAAGATACTAGCGCGGCAGAACGCGCAAAGCCTTACAGGATATGTCTGTCGCTGATGGACAGGTGGGAGGTTGGTTCTTTGGTAGTTCCGAAGCTCTTCTTACCAGTTGTCGAAAGTGTCCGGCAGTATGAAAAATCTGCACCCAGCAAGGAGGTTTATGTCGAGGTTCTGAGGAGTGCGAGGATGTTTTTCGATGGAGTCGAGGCTTCGCTTATTTGGGAGCAGATCCTAGAGAAAGTCGTATCGGCATTTTCTGTTGAGAATGGAGGCGATGGAGAGGAAATGCTGGAGAGTGTAAGTTTTGTCATAAGAACGTTCAATGTTAGCGAAGAAGAGATGGTATTGGTGCACGCTCCTTTGCTAGTATTGGCTGTTCTAGTTGAATTGAGGGCAAGTGCCACGGGAAGGAGAGGACTGAAAGCAAGAGGATTTCAGATCACAGAGGAGCTGTGGCAGCTGATTCCTGAACGAGCTTTTAAGAGTACAGTCTCTGATGAGATATCAGATGAAGATACAGAGATTGAGGAAATACGGAAGAAAATCCAAAAGTTCTACAGAAAAGGACAAACAAACAACAATTCAGAATCTACTCCACCGTTTTCTATGAAAACAATTGGACGGCTAATATTACGGGAGACGGCCATAGCCGTAGAAACTGCCTTGGACGAACCCGATGTCGGTGTCCGCTGCCAGCTCTTAGTCAACGTCATCCAGAAAACGCCCAAGTTTCCAGAATCACACGAATCCTCCCATTTCATCGAGTCTTTCTTGAAAACTCTTTCTTCAGAAGGCATTTCCTTTGCAGCCCTTCAGGGGATTGCTAATGTGGTAGCTGCTATGTATGTTAAGGGTTATCTCTCACCGCAGACAATCGACTCATTAATTCTACCGATCGTGAAAAATATCTGGGATTATCTTTCACCAGATACACCAAAGTTTCATGTAGAAGCTGTAAAGGCCCTGTGGAATCTTCAGAACGTTCTTGGGGATAGAAGAATTGAAGCTGCTGTTGCAACCGTTATGACTGAAGGGGATGTTGGGGGTATTTATTCTTTCAGGAGCGCTGAGCAGGGTCGGAAGTTTGGGGTTTTGTGGACACATAGCATGGGCTACACAGGCGGGGGTGGGCCTGAGATGGTTTTGACTAGACCACTATTTTTGTTCCTGGACTCACTAGTAGATGACGGCTTGGAAATGGCTGTGTTTGCCAGGGGATGGCTACAGAATTTAGGAAGTCTAAACAGGTATATCATTTGAATATCATCTTTGGGGGGGGGGGGGGGGGACTGCGGTCACTTACGAAGTTCTGGGACGGCAGGTTATTCAGCGTTTTTGTTTCGAAGCTTCTCGGACTGGATTTCTTGAAAGACCCCGGGCAACGAGATGCGAACGGCGCACCGCTCAAGAGGCATGTTTACAGTGAAAATCACGATCTCGAAGTGGCTACATACTATTTTCAAACTTTATCAAATGTTCTACAATATTCGACACCTAGCGTTATGGCAGCGTTGGCAACCGAATCAGCTATTGGTACCGATGAAACACGGTTAAGAACCTTGGCGGAAAGTGAGCAAGCCACTTTCATCTTCTTATTTCGTATTCTTAAGATCTAATGTCTTGGTTAGATGGTTACGGAGAGGAAGACATGCCTCTACAAACATTTTTTGTGAAGGTTGCAATTAGGGCTATTGATGGTGACGCGAATGACAGAGATGGCAATCAAAGTGTCTCTCGGCTCCACCGAACGGCGTTAAAAGTGCTTCACCGCTTACTTCTTAGCGTTTATGCAAAACCACTTGCAGAATTGGAGCTGGAGAACATGCTTACTGCTCGATTGATATCTGCAATAGAAACCAAGGACACCTTTGTACAGGTTTCTTTACTTGATGTTCTGTTTGCGGCCTTGAAGCTATCTCTTATGCGGCCAACGAGTCAATTAGGCCAGTTGAAGATGCACTCCGGAAGTATTAAGGGAGGCCGTTCAGTCACGTCTATACAGGACCCAGAAAAAGCAAATCCTCCACCACCTCAGGCCAAACCCCCACAGCAACTAGTTAGGTGTCTCGTGGGTGGATTTTCAAGCCCAAGTGGTAGGCCAGTGCTGGATAGCTGGATTAACTTCTTGACTGAGTGTTTACCATTGCTGGAGAATGTAATATTTCAGATTCTAATACCACTGGTGGAGTGTCTGTGCGAGCAAATCAGGCAAACCTTTGAGGCGCTCAAACAAGTGTTCAAGGAAGCGGAGCATCGTGGTGTAGCATCCAAGGCGAGGAGCCCCGAGGGAACTTTAGTGGCGTTACTCAATGGCCTAGAGCAGATTCTGGCAGCAGCTCATGATAAGCTTCTTACAGAAGAGATCAAAGTTGCGGGTCCAAAAAGCCCTGATGCACAGACAACGGGTGGATTCTTCGGAAACATGGTTAGCGGTGTTTTCGCTGTGGAAAGCCCGCAGAACAGGAGCGCGGCTGCAAACAACCGCCTTACTGTGCTCTTATGTTTCCAGGACACTGTCAAGAGCTGTTACGCCATTTGGAGCTGGGGCGATGCCAACTCTGGTGCTGGAGAGAGCGAAGCAATGCTTGACTCTGGGAGCAGGGAGAGTTGGTTATACACTAGTGTCCGAATGAGAGGCCGTGCCAGAAGGATTTTGGAGCATCTTTTTGCAGCGGAAACACTGGAGTGTCTGGAAACGTTGATTGAGCTGTGGCCCGCAAAGGATTCCGTGGGAATTGACACTGGAAATAAGAAGATGGCGAGCATCTTCAAGCTTATTAATGTTCTTGATGGCTCGAGGCCTAAACATACGATTCCAGCAATATTCAACGCAATTTACTCGAGGACGAATCCAGGAGCTTTAGATCCGAATAGAAAGTCTACATTGACTGCCGAACTTAGCGATTTAGAGGTGGTTGTATTTTTAGTGGAGTACGCTCGAAGTTTAGAGGATGATGCGATGGACGAGATCTGGGCGGATTGCATGGTCTTTTTGAGGGATGTCCTGACAAACCCATTTCCCCACAGGCAGACCTTGCCGAGTCTGCTGAGCTTTACCGCGATATTGGGAGAGAAGGTTGACAACACGAATTTCGGAGAACAGAAAAGAATGAGAAAGGAATTAGGAGTATGTGGTCCCCCATCTGTGCTCCCCTTCCCCTGCATAAAAGCTCTTCTGATTTCGATTTGAATTAGGACTTGTTTCTGCGACTCTTGACTGCTGCATTTACTGCACGACCAATGGGGCAGAATCTCTTGGAAGCCCCAGCACCTGTTGCAGGTTCCACTGGGGAGAAACAAGTCGACAATGAGGGCAACAGCGAAAAGATTGGTCGAGGAAGAGCTTCTCCGGATGATATCGTGGCAATCCTAGCAACGATCGTTCCTGAGCTTCGCAAGGTATTGGTTGAGCATGACCGGGTTGTCGCCGCGTCGGTCACAATATCCACAAGCGTGATTGGGCCGACCTTCAGGTCAAAAGCATTTCCCCAGAATATATCCCCTGGGATATTGGATCTTTTGTATCAACTTACGCGGTTACAAAACAATCAGAAGGCCTGGAAGAAGGAGCTTTCTGATGCCCTGCTAGATGCAAAATTCTTCTCCTCGTCGATACCACTAGTGAAGGAAGGATGGGTGCCTCTTGTGAGGCAATATCTCCTCAGTGACCGTGAACGCATGGTTGATCTACTAGGAAGAATCACCCCGCCCACAACCGCAGGCGTACTATTCGGAGTAGGCGCCACATCAGCCCGCCAAGAGGCCGACAAAAAGACGCAGCTGAACCTCCGGCGCATCGCATTCCTCATTCTCGCCGCCGAAAAAGACACATTCGTCATCAACCTCAAAGAGCTCGAAGAGAAGCTCGTCGAGCTCCTCTCCGCCACCGCGGTCACCTCGCCGTCATCGGTAACAAGGGGCGAGGTATACATGGTCTTCCGCGCGCTCGCGCTCCGAACCTCCCCCGTGCACCTCGCCTCCTTCTGGCCCCTCATCAACACCGAGCTGCAGTCCGCCCTCTCCGCTCTCTTCCCCGACGACGAAAACAACGGCACCTACACCGACGCTACAATCCTGCAGGCCTGTAAGCTCCTCGACACGCTGCTCGTCATCGCGCCCGACGAGTTCCAGCTCCACGAATGGCTCTTTGTCACGGACACCATCGAGGCCGTGTACCGCCCCAGCGGCTGGGTGCCCGCCGCGCTCGTGGACCAGGTGGCGAACGAGCTGCCGTCGTTGTCGCTGCAGAGCGATACGGCGGTGGGGAACAGGAGGAGGCCGTGGCTGACGGGGGAGAGGGTCAGGGAGTTTGAGAGGAACGGCGCGGATGTAAAGACGGAGATATTGAGGCCGTTCTTTAATAATTTGAGCATCTTTGTGTATGAGGGGACGTATGGGATGAAGCCGCCGGACCTGGACAGCTGTGAGGACGCGCTGATGAGGGATATGTTTGTGGAGGAGGTGGTGTAGGGGGTGTAGGGTAGAGGGGTAGAGGGGTGGAGGGGACTGGGTGGTTTGTGGTTCTGTAGACCTTTCTTGGGCTGATGTGGTGTGGGGGTGGTTGTTGTTTTGACTAGCTTGTAACTTGGAGAGAGAGAGCGCAGCGAATGCTTGTAATGTCGTCTTGGTAAACTCTTGTCCTTTTTAGAATATCCATTGATCAATCATCAGAATCCAAGTGGTAGAAAAGCATCACACATGCAATGTAGTAGAGCATACGGGAGAGAGTCAACTCCCCGGCCACTGCGCAATTGACCAAGGCAACTACATGTATTACTACACCACACCACACCAGCACCCGCGCGGGTTGCACATGCGATCGGCGGCTAGCATGCGTGGCCAAGCATTGCAAACACAACCGCATGACGCTCAAACCGACAGACGCTAAGAGAGGAGAGACGTCTGCCCGGGATTGGAGACAGCGCAACACAGCACAGCGCGGAAAGACGCAGACGCAGACACAGGCAATCGGCACTCACAGACTCACAGATACAGACAGACACACACTGACAGCTCACATCCCACATCCCACCAAGCAGGTGTTGGAGAAAGAAGAATCGACGCTTCCAGACAGACAACCACCCCCCCGGGCAGAAGAGAGAGAGAGAGAGAGAGAGATACTCACCTCCTCCACGGCATAGACACTTCAAGCAAGCAGAGAGATACCCGCAAACACCCAGTTCCTTTCCCGTCAAGCCAGAGAGAGAGAGAGAGAGAGAGAGAGAGATCCAATCGATACAGAGAGAGTACCCCCACTCACCTCCCTCCAGCCACCGCACACAATGTCCATAGACCTCAACTGGGAAACCCTCACCTCCGGCCCCGACGGCGCCCGCTACGCCGAACGAGTCCGCGACTTCGTCCACACAAAGTTCCAGACCATCCCCTTCCCCAAATTCATCAAGTCCGTCCACGTGCACTCCTTCACCTTCGGCACAATCCCGCCCGACATCGAGATCAAGGAGATCTGCGACCCCTACCCCGAGTTCTACGAGGAGGACGAGGACGACTACGCCGAGACCGACTCGGACCCGGAAGACGACGCCGCCTACTCCCTCAAGCTCGAACGCGAGCGCCGCCGCCGGGAGCGGCGCAACGACGACTCTGGCAGCGCCCCCAGCACACCGAGCGTCCAGCCGCCGCCATACTCGCTCGACGGCGGCCGCGCCAGCGGGCCCGGCGCAATCGCGGGCTTCCGCGGCGCCTTCTCCCCGGGCATCCCAGACACCTTCCCTGGGCGCGTGGGTGTGACGGGCGTATCGACGCCGCTGTTTAACCGCGCGGGCAGCAACTCAAATCTTCACTACTTCCACTCCGCACTGTCGACGGGGTTCACTACCGCGGGCGGCACCAGCACCCCCACACTCTCTGCGTTCGTCTCGCCCCCGCCTTCGGTCATTCCCGCGCGCGCTTCAACAGCAGCATCGACGGGCTCTGTCCCCTCGCCGCCGTCCACCGCCGACTCGGCCGACCACGAGCGCGACCCGACCACGCCGCCGCCGCTGCCGCAGGCAGCTGCGTCTGACTCGCCGCTGCAAAGGTCCTCGGCGCCGTCGATAATGCCGAGGCTACGTGAGCCGCGGGATGAGGACACGCAGATTATATCGCGCGTGCGATATGCGGGTGATGTGAGACTGGAGCTAACGGCAGAGCTGCTGCTGGAGTATCCGGTGAGCGCGTTTGCGGCGCTGCCGGTACGGCTTGTTGTGACGGGGTGTCGGTTCGACGGGTTGGCGTGTCTGGCGTATATCAGGCGGCGGGCGCATTTCTGTTTTCTGGATGAGGAGCGAGGCGGTGGCGAGGGCGGGGCAGGGGGCGGGGGCAGTGGGAGTCTGTTGAAGGAGATCAAGGTGGAGAGCGAGATTGGGGAGAAGGGGAGGGGGAAGCAGGTGTTGAAGAATGTGGGCAAGGTGGAGAGGTTTGTATTAGAGCAGGTGCGGAGGATCTTTGAGGAGGAGTTTGTGTTTCCGAGTAGTTGGACGTTTTTGGTGTAGGTAATGATTTTAATGCACGGATTTGGAGTATGGGCTTAATGCTTGTGAGATGTAGAGCAGGTGAATGTTGACATCAGCTTTTATGCTTAATCATAATCTCTGGCCTTGGGATAACCAGCTGCCCTTAAATTCCCCTCCCCCCCAAAAAAAGAGTAAATTATCTTTCATGATCCGCAACTTGTTACCTGCGGAGTTCTATCGTGTTATACTACAGTGCCACAAGCGACTGAACCTCGAGCTACATGTAGTTGCTACGTCTGTCTGAGCAACCAATCCCCAGTTCGGCACCAGGTAAACGCTACAGTCTCTACGGGGAATAGAATCAATTCGAAGTGTATCATATCATAAAGTCGTTGATGAATGTGTTAAATCAAAGGGTTAGGGGTCCTGCTTCATCTCGGCACACCGCTAAGCTCAAGTATCACTTGCAGCGCAGCATCCATCAACTACGGAGGTCTTCATTCTTTTTAGTCACTTGAGTAGATTCGCGGAGCTGCAAAGCCATATATCTATTATACTATAAAAGAATATGGTCTGAAAAAGTTTCGCTGAACCGGCCTAATCCTACATCCGGCCCTGACCATTGGGAAGGCTAATTGGCCAAAGATTGAGTGAGAAGCTAAGATACATGTAGTTCAATCTGCGATTGTAGGCCGGCCAGAGAGAGCCCTGATCGATATCACACATACATACCCCACTAAGAAAGGCCCTCAGGCCCCTCAAAAAAAAAAAAAGAAATACACAAAAAGTGATACTCTAGCCATACACCCCTCACGCTCACGGGCCATGGGTCCTAGTTCGCGAAAGGATCTGAGATCAACTTCCGGTATATCGGACTCCACTCCTCGTTACATGATATGTACCGCACAGTATCACTCCCACCCCCGGAGTTGAACCCATGACCCACTGATGGTCATGGGGACTCAACCCACCCGGTGTAGCAAGACGAGGCCGTCTACCACTAGACTACGCTCGCCCACACAACTGTCAAAGGCCGGGAAGTAATACTTAAGGGAGTGAGGGCAAAGTGAGTCTACAATATGTAATATCTATAAAAAAAAACTATCTGCAGAGAAAGAAATCCTAACCAACCGTGGGTCACGAGAAGAATCAATTGAGTACTGTAACTTGCATATTATATAGTTATTCCCCAGATCCTATAAGCCTACTAATCCATCGGTGTATTGATGACTCTACCCACACACTGTGTTTAACGGCCATGGGTGCTCCATGTTGAGATAAAAGCTTCACCGGAAAAGCGATTCTTTTCCGGCGGAAAAGGAAAGTCGTATGTCGGAGCTGATCTGGGAGGGGAGTGTCGTCGGAAAAATAGTTTTAACACAAGGTCTGTCAGGTAATACATCATTTTGTTATGTACCTGTTATGTCGGTGTTGCGTTGAATCATAGATGATCACTCGTCGCAATAGACGGGCACGCAGAAAAAAGGGCTTAGGTCAGTCAATGACTTTGCGGAATACCGCTTGTGGAGCTAACACGACTGCTTCCGTGTCCTCCAGCTTACAATCTCTCCTGTATTTCTTCTCTTTCTTCGCTCTTACCCTCTTCTTTCCCTTTGGCTCATTTAAGTCGACAAGCCCTTCTCTGGTTATCGTTGCTCACCCCACACTCCTCACCCATTTTCGGAATTCCAGCTACGTTTTCACACTCCCTCAAACCATTTTAAGTAGCTACAATCAATAATATAAAGATAAAAATATTAGAGCAGGACAAGGCACCTATATACTAACGAATATCCGTATCTATCATTGGTCCTACTGCACCTAGGAGAATCTGGACAGGGAAGCCTTATCGTTATCGGGCCCCTGTCACATGCAAATGGGTTACCCTGCCTGTTGAACATTTTGCAGACTCGGCGTTTCAGTTCTTTCTCTCTGCGTCACAGGAAACCTCAAAAGCCCGAGTCACCCCTACACCGTCCGCAAAAACTCTCCACTCATTCTCTAATTCCAAAAATCACAACCTCAGCAATGGCCGCTCAAGTCCCCCAGAGCACTATCGACACGCTCGCCGCTTCCGTCTACGAACAATGTCTCCAAGCGCCCACTGGCTTTCTCTTCTCCATCTCGCAACTCCAGGAGATGGTCCCGGGAAAGAGCAATCTTGAGGTGACGCAGCGTGTGCTCAATGAGCTCCTGCGCACCCGCTCCCTCAGCGCCATGACGCAGGGCAACCAGACGCTGTTCAAGGCAGCGGCGAGGGACTATGCGGACAAGTAAGTTCCTTCCTGGTGGATCTCTTGAGTTACTCCGTCGCTGACGGTGGTGGTGGCGCGGTGTAGGGTCAAGAACATGTCGGGCGATGAGGAGATTTTGTACGGATATATCCAGGAAGCGGCCAGAGAGGGCATCTGGACCAAGACACTCAAGGCAAAGACGAACATGCACACAACCACCATGAACAAAGCTCTCAAGGGCCTTGAGGGAAAGCGCTTTGTGAAGGCGATCAAGTCTGTAAAGGTAAGCTTCTGAGTGCGCGCTCTAACCTTCCCTGGAACTTGACTTGAGCAAGCACCACCCACTGCCACCGCTACCATTATGCTATGAGCTGCCATTGAAACGCAAGACTACGTGTCTTGGAACTCGAAACGAGTTTCTCTTTCAATTTCTCCACTTAAGTATGTTGCATAGACAGATAGCATATTCCCCATCCACCTATAACACCTACGTCCCGCCCACCTGCAATCTCACTGGCTGACACCCGTCCCCCCACTAGTACCCGGCCCGTAAAATCTACATGCTCTATGAGCTCACGCCGTCCATCGACGTGACCGGTGGGCCCTGGTTCACCGATGCCGAGCTCGATAACGAGTTTATCAACGAGCTCCTGACGGCAATCACAAAGTTCATCACCTCCAAGTCTTTCCCGCGGATTGTGCGCGGCAGCAGCATCGCCTCTTTCCCACCGGGTTACACTGGTTATCCCTCGCAGAACGAGATCTACCGCTGGGTCAAGAGCAGCAACCTCACAGAGGTAGATCTGGCAGAGGCTGATATCAGGAATCTGCTTGATGTGTTGGTATATGATGGCAAGATTGAGAGGGTTGTGGGCGGGACGGCATATAGAGCGGTCAGGAAGCCCGAGAGTATTAATGGGTTTACAGAGAGTCCTTGTGGGAGGTGCCCGGTTTTCTCGCTTTGCAGGGAGGGCGGGCCGGTCAGTGCGAGCAATTGCGTGTATTTTGAGGACTGGCTCAACTTTTGAGGCGGGTCTACTAATGTCTAGCATCGTGTACCATTATTATTATTATACCCATACACACTCTGTGGGAAACGTTTCTAGCTCGCTGTTTGGATGGCAGTTCTTTTTTTTTTTTTTTTTCTTTTTTCACTATTTCTTCTAGGGTTCGATTGAGCTAATTTGCTGTGTATGTATATATACCTTTCTTTTTCTTTTGTGGGTGTTTTGTGGGATTCGAATTATTGCGCGGAAAGGATTAATAAAAGTAAATACTCGCGGTAAAAAAAGAACTTTATTCAAGAAAGCGGCCAAGTATAACATTTACTATCTAATACTATCTATCCTTAACGATCTCAGCGGAAAAGGAAACAGATTGACAGTTCAATCCTCTTGCATACATGTTAGGTTAGTATTGTTATTGCCGCTAGGTTTTTGGGTATCTCTCATTTTTTATGGTTGGTGGTTGTTGGTTTGTAACACTGTCAATGGACCACCGGCCTGCACAACTATCGACAGGTCAGCAACGACAGCTATTCAGAGACTCCTCGACCAAACACAACACATACCTCCAAATGCTCCAATTACTTCTTCTCGGAAGCCTGCTGCTCCTGCTGCTCCTGAATAGAGCCAACGCCCAGCCCCGAAAAGTCTTCCCAGATATTCGGAAAGATCCCGGTGCCGCGAAACCTGTCATCAAACCAATTATCCCTCCCCACCCAGCAGCCCCTATGATCCATCTCCACGGCCGCTTCCCCCTCCCCATCATCTTCACACCCGCAGTCCGCGAGCCCAACATCAAACAACAAGCGCTGCGCAGCGGTCACCTCCATCCCAATCGCCATCTTGGTCAGCACTGCCCTGACATAGACCAACCCCGGATCGGGCAGCGGATCATCATCAGTGCCCGCCTTGAGAGTGATAATCTTTCCTTCCTTCATCTGCTCATACACCAGCCCTCCGCCGAGGTCGATATCAACCTGTGGCTTACTCTTGTAGTTTCTGAGGCTGCGCTTGGTGCCGTTCCAGTGGAAGCTCACCCTGAGCCTATCATATGTGCCCGACAGCGGGAGGAGGTAGAACTCCATGGCGTCCCAGGCACGGCGGCACTCGGCGGACATGACGATGCTGTTGCCCAGCGTGGCCTCGTCGGCGCAGTGCGCTTGGATGATGTCCACAACGCTGTGCGGCCAGATGAGCGCAAGGAAGCGCCAGAAGGCCTTGCTGCCGGCGCTAGTCGAGAGCATGGGGAGGATGGGAACGGGCTGCGGGTCCTGGAGGGGGCCCTGGGCGTGGGTGATCTCGCAGGTGGGGCGCGGGGTGAGCATGGTTGGGTGGACGGCCGTGACTGGGATAACGCATGACTGTTAGCAGAGGGAATCAGAGGAAAGCAGAGGAAGGAAGAGCGGGTATATATGGTATGATACGTACCGACGGCAGTGTCGTTCTTCAGCTCACCCAGATAGGTCATGGCCTGCATATACGTATCGATGAACATGGCCACCAGCCGCTCCTTCCTCTCAAACGTCAGGGGAATGATCATGTCTCCACCCGGCTGAACGCCCTGGAAGACGATGCTCTCGGCGGTGTAGGGGACGTTGGGGACAATGATGCGGCCGAGGATCACTTCGAGGATGGTCGCCTTGATAGACGGATCGACGAACGGTGACTTCATGAACATGTCCCGAACGATGGAGACGAGGAGTGCATCGGCCTCCTCGGTCGGCTTGTTGTGGGTGAAGATGGCGGGGATGAGTGTCTTGAAACGACGACGCACTCGGGGTGGAGGGGAGGCGGGAATGGGGAGGGGGGGAGAAAGTTGTTGGAGGGCGGAGGAGGAGGCCATTGTTGCTAGGTGGGCTTGTAGGGGTTTGGGAATTGTCTTGATGGTTCTTGGATGGATGGAGGATGGATGTCACGGAGGAGTGACCGATAGATGGATGGATGGAAATTGTGGGTTGAGTAAAGAGAAGGTGAGTGGGAAGCACGGCTCAGTTGGGTGGGAGCGATATCGTACTTCTGCTAGGGGAACTGCCCGAAAGCCCTAATCGCTTAAACACTCTCCCCTCCGCAGTGAAATGGCGCCCCCGTGAAAATATCCGCTTTTATATGGCGAGTGATGGCTTATGATGAGGGTTCTCTACGTGTGGTTGGGGGTACTTGCGTGAACAGCCTACTTGTACTCTATCGTGGGTGCAGAACTGACACTCGAACTAAGAAAACAGCATAAACAGTACTGGCAATTGCCCGCTTTCTCGGGAAAATAGGTTGTTGACGAGAGTACCTTGGTCTCCTATATATCTGCTGTTTTTGTGGTGTAAACAGCAACAGTGAGACTGGGTAAGTATGAATAATAAAACCAATACTAGCTACAGGCAGAGTGTGGCCTTTGTAAATAAATATAAGCATATATTTAAGCTGGGCTAGGTACTTCTTCACAAGCAAGTATGGTTGAAAAGGGCAATGAGTGATTTATTGTGACGCCGAGGTGTGTGAGTGATCCTCGATGATTGTGAAAGACCTGTAAATTGAATCATTTCTGTTCTACCTCTCTGGCGGGTAACCTTTTGTTGAGGTTAGCGTAATAACAGGATCAATTGGACTATTCTATGGTTATTGAGGTCGACACTTCAAAAAGAAAAAAAAAAAGCCAAAAAAGAATTGTTGCAGATATGTTCTCTAAATTTGAATGGACTGCTTTCTTTTTACTTTCACCAGGTCCAAGCGGCCGGTCAACTGGGCTATTGTACTGACTACAGTGCTGGCGCAAAAGAAAGAGCTTAAGAGTACTCCCAGGCTCCGAAAGCAGCTAGATATAATGCAGAAGTGCACTCGCCTATAGCCCAACATCGGGACATGTCAATTGCAAAGTCATGAAGGTTCGTAACCACACGCCATAACCCCCATTAATCTAGAAGCCAATCTGGACCCTTTCTCACCAAGACCCTTTATTTGACCTGGTCAGTTATGAGGTTCTAGTTCAGTGATTTGGCTGTGTATACGTACGGAAACCTGTGCAATGACCCGATCGGCTTCCGTATATATGTGGCTGCAGCTGGGTGAGTATCAAGTTCACGATATTGTGGGGATAAGAATGTGACTACTTTTGATAACTGCAACCTCGAGTACAACGTATGTATCTACGTTGTGCCAGGAAATCTAATTATTAGCAAGACTTGGGACTTCGGATGTACCGAAGCCCGTTTTTAGGCCTGGATTGGGCTCTGCATCAGAACCTAATTTATCAAGGCATCTTTTAAAAAGCGCCATGCATGATAATACCATCAACACTCTGAGGCTCACTCTCGCTCACGTGCCTACCGTACAAGTATCTCACCCGAACAGCTCGAGAATTTTATCGTCAGGATAAAAAGTAAAAATGGAAAAATTTGGAAGTTACCCATCAGGGACTATTGATTCTGAATCAGCCGGGAATCGAACCCGGGTCGGGCGCAATCATCGTGAGATGGCAAGCGCCCGTGATACCCCTACACCACTGAATCATGTTTACTGCAGGGTTTGTAGCTTTTTTGATTGTTTTTTTTTTGGTTGCTAGACGCTGCGGCTCCACTGCACATTTGGTTAGATCACGGAGCTAGCTTCAATATTGAAAGCAACACCAAGCAGAAGGGGATAAACAGATTCACTGTGCTTTAAACCGTTTTCTTTCTGTTAGAATACTGAAACTGTTTGGGGAGTAGTGTGCGGTCACTTTGAGGAACCGTTTTTATGTGCAGTCTTGTAGCGGAAATCGGGATTCGGGGTGCCAACCTTTATGAATACTTGGCACTTAAATTAACACTGTATTTTGAATTTTAAGTAAGTAAGTACATGCAGCTATAATATAAAACTCCTCAATTATTTTGATACTTGTTTTCAAGAGATAAAAGTCGGGAGTTTGAATCGCCGTCACATCACATACCATCACTCGGTCTTGGCATGGCTCGGGATCTACTGGCCCCGGCTCCATCAACCAAAATCAATAATATGTGCATGTAGAATCTAGTCCCGGGAATCAATTGCTTCTAGTAAAGAAAACGAGAATAGGTCTTGCCCGGCTACAGCTAGGTCGGCGAGATTAATTCATCGGCCAGGTTGACGAGTAGCAAGCCATGCACGAGGATGTGCCAAAGTCCGGGTTGTGTTAAGTGGAAAACACCATGCAGGTGGCACAATTTCCTAAACGTGAGAGATTAAAGATGGGCTGAATACATCTATACTAAGTAGTACAATCTCCCGTCCTCTGTATACCTGTAGCTCGTACTCAGACTGGCTCTGATCTTTCGAGGGCATAACTACGTGTACATACATGTAGTTCACTGCCCATTCAATTCACTATAATTCCATACCACTAACGTCTATACTACACGCATGAAATACAGTCAATTTGTTACTTTTAAATCTCTGTATGCGGGAGATTGATGGTTGAATGTGGTTTATATACGGATGTCTTTTTCTTCCAACCGGCTATTAACCCAAGCGGCAAGCCGCGGCGGACCTTCAACACCAAATTGCATGCATTTAAATTCCCACGCACAAGAGTACTGGCAAAAAAATCTCGCTTTTATGTTCATTATTTAATTTACAGTAGAAAAAAAAGGAAAGTGAACAGTACAGAAAAGCCCCGGATCCATGTGACTGATTGATAAGAATGCTTGCCCACCCACGCGCTGTAACTTTTAGGTTGAAATCTGATGTTGGAGGTTTAGGTTTAGAGAGCCAGTTCGCGTTCTTGAGGGAGTGTGTTCTCGTATTCGATTTCGATATGAGCACCGCCTTTATAATATGTTAGCTTGACCAGAGTAGGAGTAGGTAAGGTAATAAAGTGGAGCTTACGTTTCCTTGGGTTTTGAGGAGTTGGTCCTCTTTTCCTCTTGATGGGTGCGGGTGCTTTCTTTGTAGTTGGTAGAGGAGCTTTCTTCTTGTCTTCTGGCTCCTCATCCTCACTATCATCGTCCTCACTATCGGTCTCGTCGTCCTCGTCGTCTTCTTCAAAGTCACTGGCACCGCTCCCGTCAAGCCAGTCCTCTAGATCACCGAGCTCCTCTTCTTCCAGGTCCTCATCTCCCGAAACATACTCGACCTCGTCAAGACCCTCCTCCTCCTCTTCGAGCTCTTCTTCATCCTCCTCCTCCTCGTCCTCGTCATCATGATCCACATCTCTCTCTGCTGCTCCTTCCCTCTCAAGTCCTCGGAGGACCTTCTTCCAGATGTTCTCCTCGACATTAAGGGGTTTGTCGCCATATGCACCACTTCTCAGCCTCTCCACCAGCTCCTTCTCAATGGCCTTTTCAAGCTTCGCCGCCGCGAGCGCCTTCCTTTCTCTAGTAGCCTCACGTCTAACGATCTTTGGTTTCACACCAACAAGCTTCTCGCCCATACGCTCTTCTTCCTTCGCCAGGCGCCGAGAGGTGATTGCCACTTGGGTCAATCGAGTGAGACGCTGCTTGCATTTATGTAGTAGAAATTTGGGCCAGTAAATTAAACGCTCGTCGATCTGTGTGAGGGCAGTTGCATAGTTCTGGGAGAGCTTGATCCGTTCCCACAGTTTTGACGGCATGTGCGCCCGCTCGATGGTCTTCATGTAGAGGTAGAGAACGCCATTGTCGCTGCGGATTGTGGCGTATCGCGAGTTGGCGAGGGGACAGGATTGACGATTACAGAGCCCAGTTACCTGCGAAGGTTAGTTAGAAGGAAGCGGGATATGAGGGGTGGTGGGAGTACGGACATTGTACTCGTTTCTGCAGAAGTTCTGACCTTTCGTAGTTCTACGGTAATATCAGTATACAGAGGATCCAAATATCTCAGGGTTGAAGAGGAAGCTTACTTTAGCTTGAAGGCGCAGAACTGCTGGTTGATAACCTGCCAGACAATCTCGTCAGAAGACATCTTCGGTGATTGATATGTAAGATGTTAAAGTTGCGTGCGGTTGGTTGAACAGAATTAGTTTTGGTCGAAGAGAAAATTTGGTGTGCGTTGCCAAGATTTCGCTGCAGGGTAGGGTAATGATCGATTAAACGGAAGCCAAGACATGAGGCTGAGAATGTTAAATGCCCCCCACATGCACATGCGATAACAAGGAAGGCAGCTCTTGATACAGAATACAGCAATAACATGGCGCATATACCTCGGAAATCGCTGATAGGAGGCCGCTGGAGCGAGGATGGTGAAGGGGAGGAAGACGACTACCAATTAGAGGAATTTGAGGAGGACGGGGGTGAATTGTATGTTCCCTCTTCAATTTCTGTAGCCGCTGCTCGCATAAGCTGTACTAACCCTGCGTCTAGCGACGGTTTCTTCGGCGAAGACGATGAAGACGATCCCGACTACTCCGGCAGCGAACGGGGTGGCCGAGATGATATCCCCATCGATCCAGCCCTCTCAGACGGTGAAGAAGATGAGCCTACCGAAGATGAGTCGGAAGAGGACCTCTCTATGGACCTCTTCAATAACGAGATGGAAGACTTCCATCAGGACCTGAAAGCCGCTCATGGCTTCCGACGTCGGCGCCCCAATGGAGGTCGCCGCGCAGTCGGCGACGAAAATTACTCCTTCGAAGTCCGTTCCCTTCTTGGCCAGGCTAACCAAGCTTATGCCTTCGGCAAACTCGACGAAGCGCTCAAGGCCGTGAAGCAAATCATCCAGATCGAGCCTGGCGTATATGCGGCGTGGAAGATCCTTGGTGAAATTTTCAGCGAGAAGGGCGATAAGAATAAGTGTCTTCTGGCCTGGCTGACTGCGGCGCATGCTCGGCCTAAGGACTGGGAGCTCTGGCTCATGTGTGCTAAGATGAGTTTAGACCAATACGGACCTGATAAACAGAGCTACAGGGACCAGGCGATCTACTGCTATAATAGGGCGATCAGAGCAAACCCGGATAATATTGATGCGATCTACGATCGTTCATTGCTGCTGAAAGATTCGGGACAGCTTACAAAGGCAGCGGAAGGGTTTGTTATGCTGAATAGACTCTTACCGAATGATATGGGAATATTAAAGGAGCTCGCCGGATTGTATATCGAACTCGGAAGAATTCCGGAGGCCATTGATTTTTACAACAGGAGTGTAGAGTTTTTTAAGAGCACAGGGAACGCGGATATGGCGTTTGGATGGAGTGAACTCAATATATTTGCCGAGCTTTACTGCATGGAAAAAGAATGGGCCGTTGCTATTCAGACAATCAAGAGCTTGGGGAGATGGTTGTATGGGCGAGCAGAAGAAAAATACTGGGATCAAATTAACGGAGATGATAGGGAATGGGATGAGGAAGATAGACCCCGGAGATGTTTGGTGAGAGAATTTGAAGCGGACAGGTTCCCGAAGGAAAGCTATTCGCTCCCGCTGGAGTTGCGAGTTAAACTAGGGCTGTGCAGGTTACGGATGGGAAATAAAGACGAAGCTATTGTATGTGAATTTCAAGATGAATTCACATTGCTCCATTTTTCACTTCTCAAGTATAGTAAATGTGACTTTTCTAACAAGGGTACTCAATATAGTCCCACTTCCAATACCTACAAAAGACCGCCAATTCAAACTACAATGATTTATTCCAAGAGGTTGGCGACGCCCTCTATGAATGCCGAGCATACGAGGATGCAATAGGCTACTACAGCGTAGTCGTCGAGGCCGCTGAGTATCTCGACCGCAAGTTATGGTTTAATATGGCTGAGTGTTACCGGGGCATCGACAACATTGAAGATTCGGAAGACGCCTATATGACAATTCTCGAGGCCTACCCCACTGACGAGGCTGCCATGATGCAGCTAGCTGGAATTTATGAAGTGACCAATCGCAAAGCCGAAGCCCTTGAGCTTGTCAACGAAATCATCCGAATCCGGCGAGAAAGAGACGCTGCAGAAAAAGCCCGCAAGGAGGCTTTAGCTAGTGGTGTGGTACTTTCTGGAGCGGAGGGAAGTGAGGCGGCCAATGAGAATAACACGGCCATGGCTTTCTTTCCAAACCAGCCTGTCAGAGAGAGAGCGAAAAGAAAGAAGGCTGGGATGCTAACAGAGGCGGAGAGGGCGGAGATGGACGCAAAGAAGACAGAGCAGACGACGGTGAAGTTTAAAAAATTAGAATTTCTGAGACCGGCCGCAGAGGCCGAGGACCAACTTGCCATCAAGGACTGGCTTGATACGGCAGGTGATTTAGTAGATGACTTTAGGAATACGAGAGCGTTATACCCGCAAGATCGGAATCTTAAGTTCAAGGGCTTTATGACAACTGCACAACGAAGAGCGATGGCACAGGGCCAAGCTAAACGGATTGAAAAGATGCAGAGTCGTTTGCAGGAGACATTGAGTATGCATAACGCTCTTTATATTTTCAAGGACGAACTGTGATACTAATCCTAATAATAATAAAGCTTTCCAGGACGATGAAATCACGACTGAGCATTTAACAAAATTCCGAGGACTAGATTTTGACACTTGGCTATATATCTTCATGCAATACGCCATCTACCTTGCCAAATACGACAATTTCCAGGACGCATACGACGTCTGCAACGCTGCAAAAGAAGCGAATGTCTTCTTCCAAGACAAGCGTCGGACCTTCACAATATGGATAACCTGGCTGTCCTGTGCCATCTTGGTTGGCGACTCAGAGTCCTGTTCCACCATTTGCCGTTGGTTCATGACAAGCTTTCAGTTCACGACAGAAACCTACTCCCTCTTTACTGCCTCTATCACTGCCTCCAAGAATGGCCTGGAAGTTTTCCACAATAATGCCAACCAAAAATACCTCCTCCGTCAAATAAAAGCCATGGACCAGGCGATCACGGGGAAGATTAGAGTTGGTGCGGCAACGCTAACGGCCGTAGATGATGATGGAAATAAGTATGTCCCTGAGGATGTAGACGTGGGATTGCTCATGCTTTACGGTCATATTCTTGCCTCAGGGAGGAGTTATATATCGGCACTGAATTACTATACGAGGGCATTCGCGGTACTACCTGATAATCCGATGATTACATTCTGTATCGGGCTTGCATATCTGCACAGGAGTATGCAGAGGCAGAGTGAAAACCGACATATGCAAGCATTACAGGGCATGACCTTTCTCTTTGAGTACTATGATATGAGGACTGATGGGAAGAGAAAAAGCGAAGAAAAAGCGAAGGGGCCAGATCATATTGAAGGAGAACTAGCAGGAGATGTGGATGCAATGGAGATTGATTCAGAACCCGCACAGCAAGGAAAGGCAAGGGAGGATAACACGAATTGGGAGGAGCGACAAGAGGCCGAATACAATATCGGCAGAGCTTTCCACCATATCGGTAAGCTAGTTTTTTCTACCAATTCATCACTTATTTTACTCACGCTATACATCTAGGCCTCACCCACCTGGCAATTCCGTATTATCAACGAGTACTAGAAATTTCAGACGAGCAGGCACAATCTGGGAAGCCCCTGATGGGGGACATGAAATGGGAGGCAGCTTACAACTTACAGATGATCTATGTCACCAGCGGAAGTCCTGGCTTGGCAAAAAGCGTCACAGTAAAATACCTGGTGTTATAGTTTCGAGTTGCAATGCAGTAGCTAAAGTTTAATTAACTTCTGAAATCCTTATTCAGATAGCTTTGGTTTCTCATATATCTCTTCTTGTGTACTTTACATAGATTCATATTCTTGGAGTTTTAGGCTTTGCTCAACGGTATCTCAATAAACTCCCGTACTGTCACGAGTGAGCCGGGGATACGCATACCCTGACAGGCATACTTACCTCAAGGGAGCAGTATAGAGAATAACTGCTCCTTGTATTCATAAGAGCACTCGTGGTGCATTTGGTTTTAGAACAGTGCAATTCCTTTCCTCTTGGTTGTTGCGAACACAGGTTGTGGATCCGCGGCTATACAGTGAGCGTGACTTGGAGCTTGAGATCTATATACACACCACTAACACTTTTGCAGGATACAAGTAACGAGTTGCTATATCTATGTAGAGTACTACTACATGTGATATGCACTCCATCCTGCATCAACGTGCAGCTACAGCACAATACCATCACGGGACACAATATCCTTTGTGTTTCTTGATTCATTTTCTTTAATCCAAACAATCACTGTTTGTACGTATTGGATCTTGTTATTTAGATTTAATAGATCATAGCTAACAAGCATGAAGTATCACTCGATAGCCCAGCATGTGGTTTGTCCTGCTTCATGCAACTAGGCAGCCACTTAAAAGAGCAATTGAGCATTACGTTTGGTTCTAGATGTAAATATAGGTACATATCACCTACATGTACTCAAGTGAGAAGCTAAGGGATTGTAATATTTTCTTCTATAGAAAGCCCTAACTTAGCTCCATTCTACGCTAAACCATGGAGCCGCCGCGGTGGATACATTCATGCGGTATTTCCCGTCCGTCCCGTCCGCCCAGCCAAAGAATTCATCTCCTTCTTCCTTCTTCCTGTTATATTTCAAAAAAGACAAATTACCTCTAAAATCCGTCAAAATCCATTAAGATACGCATAAATATCATCACCGTAACCATTCCAGAGATGCCTCCACCTCATCCTCCCTTTCATCTTCTACCTCTTTCTCCACCTCGTCCTCCTCCTCCACCACCACCAAATAAAGTCCTCTACGTTGGCAGTCTCCTTTCCGATACCAATTCTGCCGGCTTAAACAAGTATTTCTCTGAAGTTTACAACCTTCTCGACTCACAGCCAGGCTTGATACGTGTGAAGATTCTTCTCAACCACAACCAAACAGAAGCCTACGCCCTTGCCTACTACGAGACCGTAGAGAACGCTACCGCTGCAATGAAAGATCTCAAGAACGCAAAGACTCCGGGAACCCAGAGGCCTCTCCAAGTGACATATGCAACATCTCCCAAGACCAGTCTTACTACTGAGCTCCCTGGTGTGGCTCAAAACCTCGCAGGGAACAGACCTTCCAACACAAGATCTCAGACTTCCAGGAGAGGTGGGCCTCAATCTGATATTTCTCTACCAGAATGGACTCCGAATACTAGAGGTCCCGGATTGCTTGGTGATAGACCACTATCCGTTATCGCCCCACCAGAGCAGACTCCGAATGTTAGAGGTCCCGGGTTGCTTGGTGATAGAGAGTTTGTCCCCGGTAACTATAACATCACTGGAGATAGGCCGCTCGCTCATTCTGCCACCACGCTTGGAGATAGCAAATATGCTCCTGTCATGCATGAAATGCCAGGATTTTCTTCTGGTCCTGTGGACGACAAGAAGGTGATCGAGTTCAAAAGAAAGAAACCCGAACAGGAAGAGGAGCTCAAGAAGAAGGAACTCTGGGAGAACGAACTCAGGCAGAAGGAGCAGGAGCTCAAGAAGAACGAGCTTAGGCAGGAGGAGCTCAGGCAGAAGGAGAAAGAGTTCATGCAGAAGGAGCTCAGGCAGAAGGAGCTCAGGCAGAAGGAACTCAGGCAGAAGGATGAGGAGCTCAAGCAAGAGGAGCTCAAGGGGAAGGAGCTCAGGCAGAAGGAGCTTAAGGAGAAGGAGCTCAGGGTGAAGAGAAATGAGTCTAAGAAACTTCAGGAGCTTATCAAGGAGAAGCAAAACGACGCATTGCTTAATAAACAAATACTGGAAAGCCTTGGAAAAAGCGAATCAAAGAAAGAGCTCGGGGAGGCCACACGCAAGGAGGGAGGACTACTTAAGACAGAACTTACAACAAACAGTATCCAAGGGCTCAGAGAAAAGGAACTTAAGCAGAATCCCCTCCAAGAAGAGTTGAAAAAAAAGCACCAAGTACTCATTGATAAGAAGTGTGCAGCGCTAGTGATTGCAGGGGAGAAGGCCGCTAATGAGGTTGATGCTGGGAGAAAGACGCGCAAGGAAATCAATGAGATGGTGCTCAGAGAAAAGCCTGCTTATGAGGAACGTAAGCAGAAACCTAAAGCAAAGTACCAGGCCGAGGGCCCCGTCCTTGAACAGGAGGGTCTTATGAAGAGAATCGGTGATATCGAACGTATACAGGGAAACATTCGACATGAGCTGAGCGGAAACATCAGTCTCACGGATAGATTGATGCTACTTAGTGCGAAAGGGCCCAAGCAGATGACGGTTGAAAAGAATCCGCACGTTCAAGAAGAAATCCAAGTCAAAGAAATAACCAACATCGCAATTACCCCCAACACTAGCACCTCAAATTTTATGCGCCCCGCAACAACTTTGACAGACGGAGAAACGGGAAAAATGCTTGAGATATCGATGGGCATGGAGGAGTTTGGTATAACTGAGGAGGAGTGGGATGATGCGTTCTAGTTGGTTCTTTGGCCTCCTAAATCGATACACGAGTAAGTAGTCTATAAGTTGAGAAGATTCCTACCTAACGCCCTAGAACAAAACAAAATATACTTCTTTCTCTTCTTCAACTTCTCTATAATTATAGTATTAGTGAGTACGTAGACAGTATTGAGTAGGATGGAATCACCACAATAGCAGTACGGGGTTACAAGTAGGCGGGGAATGTTATGCCAAAGCAGCACTAGAAAGGAAAGGGTTAATTCGATATCCTTAGTGCATGAATAGTCCAACTAAATGAAGTAGCAATTCCACTCCCGTCTTTGGTCCTTCTGTTGTAGGAACAAGAACGAGTGCGAGAAGTAAGAACTTGCGTATTAAGTGGTTCTATATATGTGTACAACTACATTTATAGCAGAGCTTCTAATGCTAGTGTAGTCAGCGCCTTTAAACACATTGTACTCATAAAATATCATTTAACAAAGAACAAAAGTGTAGAATACCCTGGAAAGCGGGTATCCTTTATACACATAGGCCGTCAATTTCCGACCCAAAATTATATGTATTCATTGCCAGGCCCCTAACGACATAGCCAGCTCCTGGGCGACCCCCAACTACAAGCTATGTATGCCTCATACGTACATTTCTATATTATTCCACGCCATATCTAACACTAGTATCGGTACCAGTCATCGGAGAGCTCAAAAAAAATAAAAGGTGACCAGCTAAGTATGTAGTGGGCCATGATGTACGTCGTGATAGATTGTCATGGCAGGGTAAGGTTTCCTAGTTCCTCTTACCTTTGACCCTTTAAATATTACCTCCGGGCCACTGACAATTGTGTGGGGGAGCGTGGTCTAATGGTAGACGCCTCATCAACGGAGGACACCGAGTGGGTTGAGTCCCCATGACCATTAGTAGGTCATGGGTCCAATCCCGGGGGTGGGAGTCTATACTGGGGTGTATATGCAATATATCGGGATTAACCGCCGTGAAAAGTATACACCTCAGCAAGACTTTTTGTAAATTATTGACATTTTTCTGGAGATTACTGGCCCCCTGGTAGGTTAAGTGTGATATCGGTCAGATCTCTGGCCCGTAACCGCAACTTGAACAATTATCTTCGCTTCTCGCTCATTATTTGGTCTCCCTTCTCTCCTCCCTCCATGGTTAGGGTTGGATGTAGGATTAGGGTTTAGCGAAACCTTTTCAGACCATATTCTTTTATAGTATAGTAGATTATAGTATAGTAGATAGAATAGTGGATTTGAATAACGGGAACAAGCAGCACCTGGAAAACCCCACCCTGCAAACATCCTGCTGGGCTTGGCTCACAGTTACTCACTCGACGTCTCAAGTCTTCTCGAGATGAGCGAAACGAGACAAGATCAAGGCCCATATTCGCGGGGAGCACTGCTAATACATAGCATTAACAAGTCTGGCCATGAGTTCTTCAGCCTCTTTGCCTATGAAGCCACCATTGGTGGTCTTTTGGGTCTAGAAGTCTCACCTAATCACTGGATATTACCGCGCCGTTGTGAACCTGGTACGTTATCGGATCTGGAACAGTCGAGGGGGGTATTCGCTACGTCTACTCTGCCAGACGTACTGCAGATATCTCACGGGGACTCCAGGTGGGCGCAATGATAAGATTTCACCACTGAGAGCATCAAATATAGTATTCACCACTCAGCACGTACGTGCAAGGTCCAACCTCACTAAAAATCCACGCCGCCAATTTCTCGAGAAGTTCAGGACAGAGATATGTCTCCCAATTGACGTTCGGGGCGTCGGTCCCGCCAATTGTGGAAGCTGGATTACCCCACTAAATTGATTGAGGTGAATGGTCATGGTTGTGATCCAAGGCTGAAACGAGCGGGAAGTCCCGTTAGAGCAAACTGCACTTTAGAGTTGTAGCCGTTGAGCTGATCTAATACATGTTGTGGCGTCCACTAGTAAGCCAACTATTTCAATGGGGCGATGGACTGTTAACTAGTGAGGCTGAAATGATCACTCTAGAACTCTAATACAACCTTAGCAATTGATAGGATCCTAGGACATTGTACATATATGATACTAAGTACCTGATAGAATCTTTATTACGTGGATAATATTCCTCCAAGGTCTGATACTCACTTCCATCCTATCATAAGTCCTTTCTCGGCCGGCCCCGACCATATTCAGATATTTTAGAAAATCTAACGTTTATGATGGGAGTAATGCTGGATAGGGTGCCCGACAACACTATTCATGAATGCTTACCTGTTTCCGCGGTAGATGCAGGGTCGTATAGCTACCTACCTTGATAAGCTTGCGAACACTATAAGTCCAACAGAAATCAAAGCCTTATATTTGTTTCCTCTCGATATATCAGATTCTCCACTATTAAACGCTCGGCGTGGACCGCATGCGGCATGGTAACAGTAACAACTCCAGATTTGGTAGGTCCCTAACATTCCATCCCAACCAATGGCAGGATTCCTCAACTTCACATGGCCATTATCGGCGCCGATGCCGAGCAGGGAGAAAAGCTTATCGACCATGTTCCTGCGTTTCTTCACGATGATCATCATCCTTCGAGGAAATTTCCCCCGCCGAAACAAGAGGAGGTTGAGATCAGTTGCCACCCTAGGAGGCATCCGAATGATAGGGCAACCCAGTGTGCCTTCCCGTTTCGTAATAAATTATTCAATGCAATTTTTTTATCGTTCGTATCCAATGGTGCGAACACTCCCACCATCTCCACGTAGGGTTGGTAGGGTGTATTGAACCTCATCCTAGTCCCACGGCCAATGGAGTAATTATGTGGAGATGAGCTACGCAGCTGCACCTCCGGGCTCTCAATTGCAAGTGCAATAATTTTACTACAAAATGCGCTTGCCCGCACCGCCCATTACAAAAGTGTGACAATTCCATACTCGCCCTAAATGTCTTTCTCACGATTTGCAAAAGTTGCTCTTGGCTCGGTGTTAGTCGCTCTTGGTGTCAATGCAGGAACTCCATTGAGTTGCACAAACACCCAAATAAGCTGCAAAAACACCACCGCAGTTGCGGATTCATGTTGTTTTAATTCTCCAGGTGGACAGTTACTACTGACGCAGTTTTGGGACACGGATCCGGTGACTGGTTAGTGATCCCCCCCGGTTTGACTGCTATTTTGCGCAGTTGATAGCTAAAATAATAAGCTAGGTCCGGTTGACTCTTGGACTATTCACGGCCTTTGGTAAGTCAATGATATATAGACGGTTTATTCCTGCAACTGCCCTTAACTAACCAACGTGCAACCAACCGATTAACCAGGCCCGACAAATGCGATGGAACATATGACGCAAACTGTGACAGCAGTCGAGCCTACACCGACATAGCTGGCATCCTTACTGCGGCAGGCCAGACTTCGCTGCTGAGCTATATGCAGACCTACTGGAAAGACTATAACGGCAACGACGAGTCCTTCTGGGAACATGAGTGGAGTAAACACGGGACTTGCATCAACACGCTCAATCCAAGCTGTTATACAGGGTATACAGCTAAGGAAGAACTTCTCGACTTTTTCGAGGTTACGGTACAGCTCTTTAAAGGGTTAGATACTTATAAGGTTTGTTTTTCTAGATTTGGCGGAGGGAGTTGGATCAAGAGATATGACTGACATATGGGATCTCTAGACGCTTGCAGCAGCCGGGATTACTCCTTCTACCTCGAAGACCTACACCTCCGCCGAAATTCAGGCCGCCCTCAAGGCCGCAACAGGCCACACAGTGACACTAGGCTGCTCCAACGGCGCTCTCAACGAAGTCTGGTACCACTTCAACGTTAAAGGCAGTGTCTCCACTGGCGAGTTCATTGCCACGGAGCCAGGTATGTGCTCCCTATCCCAATTCTTTCAGTCACAGCACATACTAAAGGTCCCCTACAGATGGCACCAAATCCACCTGTGCCACTTCAGGCGTGAAATATCTCCCCAAGAGCGGCGCCACAACCTCTCCAACAACCTCTGCAACAAAAACATCATCCGCCGCAGTGCCAACAGGCACAGGCGTCTTCTCTGGCAGCGGGTATCTCAACGCCATAACTGGCGGGGCTACAAAGGGATGTATCATCAGTGCCGGGACATGGTACACGACTGGTACTTGCGCGACCTTTACAGCAGCGGCTTCAGGATCAGGATTTACTCTATCGTCAAGTAAGGGAGCATGCGCTATCGTGAGTGGAGCATTGAGTTGCGCCTCGGGAAATACTGCTACTGTCTTTACCGTATGTTAACATTCATTCCGAGCTTCTTTAATTGTGAACTTACTGACTTTTTGATTGAAGGCGAGCGACGGTCTACTGGCTTCGAGTGGGAGCACGGCATTCTATGTGGCCAGTGTTCCGAGCGGATCGACACAGGCAACGGTTTATACGTCAAGCACGAGTGCACATTCGACGGCATTGACGATATCGTGGAAATCGGTCTAGATATGGTTTATTTAACCCTGTGCATATATATGGGCACTTTGAACGAATGTCTTTTTTGTTGTCATGTAAATCGTGTCTAATACATTGGACGAAATATGTCTTTGTTAGTTTATCCTCTATGCTCGCCATTTGTACGCCGGCCTGTATGACGAAAATGAATGAAAACGCCACTCTTGACGCATATTTCCTCCCACGCACACCATCAAATTGTAGCTAACCGGCAGAATTTGCTCGCGAGTGATACTTTGTGATGTAACTGTAAGGATAGTTGGCAACGCAAGGCGCCCAATTTGAGCAATTGGCCCGAAACCCACGGTTGGAGATCGATTCTTACATCTAATCTAATAAGTATATAATTATAACCTGCATATGCATGTGCATTTAAAAGCTTCTGATTGGCTCATTGAGAGAGGTTTTGTTTCATTTGAAACATGTTGTGATGGATATGAACATAGGGTATTGTGCTGAGTGGTGTTAGATTGTTAATAGGTTTTCTACTGGTTCTGGGAACCGATCAGCAGTCCGATTTTAGCGGCTTGGTGGCTGCTAAAGGGATATACTTACAGCTTGAACTAGAGAATTTGTCTGACCTGTCCACTGATATATAGAGGATATCAGAAAAGGCGCATATCGACTAGAGTAGATATAGTGATGGACTTTGCCTGTCAGGAGGGGTCGAGGGCTGCGCAGCGGCCTGAGAGCCCCGACCGACAGGTAAATAGAGAAAATAAGCCGCAAGCGGCTTGCCTGTATATTGGACTGATTGATATACATGTAGTACCGGCCGAAGGCCGGAAACCACTTGTACATATGTATAAATACTATAGTCTTCTCCGTCGTCGTCGTCAGAAGGCCTTAAAGCTTAGGATTTTGTTCGTACGTGCAGCTCTCTTTTTGTTCTTTGATGGTTTGTATCACGTGTGGCATATTGAAGCGTGCCAAAAAAGAGATTCAGGGCTTTGCCTTTAATGACGATTGCTTGAAACTATGGGAGAGGCCGCATTGCGTTTATATACCATAGACTTGTACTATATTTAAAACTTTAAAACAAAAAAAGAGCAAAATGTGGCATATGAATGAAAGAGAGAAACTAAAATGAAAGTGCCAAAAGAATGAAAATCGCGAAATTTTACAACAAGAATCATAAATTAGATAGAAGTGGTATACTGCTCAGCCGCAAAAGATACACATCTTCATTCTGGTCAGATCCCTGGCCCAACAACCTGGATACCCTATCTAGACTGGCACCAGAGTCTTCCAGGAGACTGGAGATTTTATCATACCCAAGCATTACTGAATAATGGAAGGCTGTCAGTCCTTCGTTGTCCGCAACTGAGATATCGACTCCTCCTTGAATCAACTCAACGACGACAGCGTAATTACAGTTGTATACTGCTCGGTGCAATGCCGTCCATCCGTTTTTGTCCCTGGCATTTATATCAACCCCACAGTCCATCACTAGTCTTAGCCGTTCACGGGAAACACCCCCAATTATTGCCCAGTGTAATAATGTATTTCCATCATTGTCTACAGCCAATATTTCAGCACCATTGTTGATTTGAACAATCATTTCGCCCCCACTTTTTACGCAATCGCAGTGTAGAGCTGTAAATCCATCGTTACTTATAGATGCAACACTAGCTCCTCTGCTCAATAACATATCCACTATTAAAGTGTTCCCGTTATTGGCTGCTATGTGAAGTGCTGTCCACCCATATACGTCTTTGGCTGATATATCACTGCCACTGTCAAGTAACATCTTAACAATTGAATTGGGCCCTTTCTTGGCAGCCACGTGAAGGGCTGTCCGACCCTTCTTATCTTGAGTCAACGTGTCTGCGCCCCGATCAAGCAAAAATCGAACGGCATCCTCTCTTTCACCATACAAGGCGTAATATAGTGGTGTTCTCGAGTTACTATCTCGAGCATTGATATTCGTATAGTAGTTGATATTATCCAACAAAGTTTGGAGTAAAGGGAAGTGATTCCAGGTAATTGCTACGTGCAGAGGGGTCTCCAGAAATAATAGCCCGGGTTTATACCCCCAGCGCAAGGCCTGGAGATATGAGGATAGATTTCCTGGATTACTTACTAATGTAAGTAATGCCTGAATAGTCGAGAGTTGATCACAACTATCAAGGTGAAGTCTCAAACATCTCGCAGCATATTTTAGAAAAGGATATGAAATGTGCCTGAAATTTAACGAAATTGATGATGTTGCAAAACCCCGGGAGAACACGTCGAGAGAGAGGTAAGTTGCGCAGGCAATGGCGAGTTGAACACGAAGGTCTGTGGAGAGGGCGTTGGTCCTTAAAAGGTACTCGGCTACGGTTCGATGAACGAATCTGATGGTATCGTCCTCCTCATTGATTGTAACCAAGCTAGCACAAACATCAAGTAGTGTCTTTCGATCAGGTATGTTTGTATCATCGAAAATTGTGCAACCTTGTTCTATAGATACTGCATGTTGTAGCTCCCGAGCCTTGAGTGGTCTCATGCCTCCGTAAAGCCATGAAAATATTTTAAATGCCAGCCTTTTACAGCTCGGGGCTTGCTGCTGAACAATCTCCATTGCTCTGTCATAAGTAGGGTCCATAGGGTAGAGTTCACTCGACGAGCTTTCAAAAGTTTCAAGCTCCTTAATGATCTCTTTGACGGTAGTCTGTTGGCAGAGGTGTTCGATCTGGAAGTGTACAAGTAAAAACCTAGGCTCTTCTTATTAGAATTTTAATTATGCCAGAGACTTTCTCTAGGATGAGGAAGTTGCCTTACATTTTATTAGCGCATCTTTTGATACCAGAGATGATCAAGTCTTTGCACTTGCCCTCGTTTACAAGGCGTTTAGCTCGGGGATTCTCCTCAATCTTTTGCTCAATGTAACTAGTAATATCATCGTCCCTTGCCGACAGCCTTACTTTCGCTGAATTTTCGAAGAAACATTGTATGTCTTCCGGATAATCCCGACTTGTCAGGAAAAGGTTAATTTTCTGCAGCCCGATCCGGAGAAAGAAGGGTAGGAGCTCCCTTCGTTGACTTTGTGGACACTCGTCGAGGGCGTCACATACAATGTAGGTTTGGGGAAATAACTTGGAAATGGCAACCAAAATACTCTCAAGGTCGCGAAATGAAGGGCGTCGCTTAAGTGGTGCCAGCCTTCCGTACAGGTCTTGAACTACTTTGGGCAAGTTCAATAGTTGAGACGAAAGTTGTTTGATTATGCTGGCAAGTATAGCTGCCGGCTTTTGTTCCAAGTGTTCTTTATAGTTAAAGTAGATGTAGGCTAATCCGCACCCTGTTTCCGATGAATATTCCTGAAGATAATCTATCATCATAGAACTTATATAAAGTTAGCTCTCAAAGATCACGTAAGTTGTTTAAGGGAGTGTTTAGCAACAAGGCAAAAGGGAATCTCCAAGAGTGAAATCCTAGAAAAAGGTTATTCAAACAGAGTTTTCACCCTATAAACTCCGTTTTGGCCTGTTGCTGAACAGGCCCTAATTCCGCGATCAATTGTACGGGATTGTATCGTACCTCAGGAAGGTTTTTCCTACACCGGCTAGAAAGAATACACGTTTAGTATATTATTATAAAGATAATAGCACCAAAAAAGCCGGAACTTACGAATACCATAGCCCCAAAGCAGTCTTGAACCCGAGGGATTATTCATCCAACTCGTAACCTCAGGAGATACTATGATCCACTGGGCAGTGTTCTTCTGTCTTCTATTACTAATTTCTCTATGCTTCGTATCAAAGGCTCCCGCATATAACCACTCCAGTATCCTGTCACGCTCCTCTTCTAAATATTCCATTACATGCATTAGCAGATAATTACGCGTACGGGTGATCAAGTGCTAGAAAGCATTTGTCATGATTCTTACCACTCTGACGAGTAATTATCTCTTTTACACCCCCATCAACTTCATTTACACGCCTCTCTATAGCCTTTGAACGAGACCTTCCCTTGAGTTAGTATATAGTAAAACGAAGTCAATTCCTTAGAGTACGTCTACTCACAGCTGATAGACTTCCAACGTGATCATGAATCCAGATTTACGCCTCTCTATCAGTGATATATATTCTAAATTATCCTGCTCCTTCAAAGGCCAATTATATCTAAACAGCCTCTTTCGCCACTTGAACCGTGTTGTGCTAGGAGGAGTTTTCAGACTCTGTTGGAACCTCTCCAAGACCGTAGTGCAATCTCGAATCTGGCTCCTCAGACCCCGTAGCACAACTGATTCTGGATCTTCTTTTGCAATGTTATGCAAATCAAGAAGAACCTGGTTAAGCGATTCAAGTTCTTGACTGAGCTTCACTATGTCTTCTGGAGCCTTGTTAACTTTGCCGACATATTCGTGGGTCCATGCGGACACCTGGGTTGCAATTTGAATAAGCGCGAAGATGCCGGATACTAGGCCCACAAGCTCAGCCATTTGTTTAGCTGAAAACGTTGCCCGTTGGGCGAGATTTTCGAATGAGTTTTCGTGGTCTCTGTATAATATACTGGCGTCCTAGATAGCTAACTTGTAAATGAGGGGTTGAGGGTTGCTCGTGTAACATCATAAGATCCGGCGCTTACCGGGCCTGGTAAGCGCATATTTGTGGGTATCGAGTAAGTAAAAGGACAAGCTGGTAATTGAATTGATATCGTCACTACCACAATATCTAGCCCCTCATCATCATCCCTAGCCTTCGAACTGCACGAACCAGTGACAGGATTTGGAATTTACCAACATACATACATTGGTTTTGAACCAAGGCCGCTCCGCTATAACCCGCTCTTTAATTAAGGTCAAAACGGAGTTATAATCCTCAGTACATACATGATTGTATTCAGATTTTCATACATACAAGGGGGATGTAGATTCCTCCAGTGACCACTGGAAAAATCACATCGTGGGGAGCACCGAACATGTTTACACACCCCTTTATCCTCTCCCATAAATAAAATACCCGGCAGATTTGTACGTACCACTCTCTTCCGTTCTTTAGACACATCTCACTCACAAATAGCATAGCATTACTGACTATGTAGATGATAGCCACATCCCCTCCATGTCCCCTGCGGGGAATGGTTAAGCTTCGCCTCACTATATCGCCAGCGCCGCCAACAAGTGAGCCCATAATACACTGCTACGGAAGCTCACCGGGGAATAGTTCCTTCGACGCCAGAAACTAATATGAAGGATTATATCTATAACACCCAAATACCGGCCCGGACGGTCTGTTTAATTCCGCATGTACGGGGAGGCTATGTGCGTGGTCCATGGACCAGCACCAACCAAACCCAAGTAACACCCCTACAGCGAAGTGGCTCCCCCTCGAGCCCTTAAATTAAGACTTCATTCTTTTCCCGCGCCTAAAACTCCACAAAAGGAAGGGGCGCAGCTCCACCAAAAAGCATAGCCACATCGAGTGATACCTCATGATTATTCCATCATAGTTTGTCACTCGGTGATCTGGGAGGTGGGAGAATTAGACGTTGAGACGGCGGCGGAGGTTCTATCCACCATTCTGCTCCTCTGTCAACATAAACTGCTGCCCTGCATAAATACCCCTTTTATCTATGGCTATATATATGCCTGGGCGAAGCGGTGGTCTTGAAAGCTACACAAATACCAGCCATGTCAGAGTACTGGTTGAAGATAGTTCCCCAGGCCGTCGTGGTAGATTACTGGGTTTTCAAGTTTACCTTGCCTATAGGGATTAAATTCGGGCAGCTTATAATATATCACCAACCCCACGGCTATTTTTCCAAGTGAGAGGCCCACAAGAACGATCAAAGGTTAATGTCTATATTCATGGTTTGAATTCTACTAGCTAATGCAATGGATACTAATGTATAGTGGTGTGAGGTAAGCAAGAAAGCCCGTACTTCTCACCTTATCAAGTGCCCTAAACCATAAGCTCATTAATAGATGCTACTTTACTAAATATATACAAAGGCCCGACTCACTCCCAACGTCGACCAATGACTCCCCACCCAGCCAAGGCCAGCCCCGTCTCCACCATCTTCACCACCCTCACCGGCCCGCCCCTACAGAACCTCGTCAGCACCCTCACCGCACCCCCACACCACTCCTCACACTCCCCCCCACACACATGGTCCCCGCCGCCGCCCCCACCCCTCCCCAACACCCTCTCCACCGCCCTCCCAAACAGCTCCTCATCCGTCCACGCTCCCATCCCCTCCCACGCAAACACCGCGCCCCCACCCAGCGCCTTCGCCGCCCTCACCCTCTGCCCCCTCACCGCCGGGTCCAGCTCCACCACAAACAGATGATACATCCTCGACCTCTTCTCCGCCGCGCCAAACGCAACCGTACACACCCTCGCCAGCCTCTGGCGCTCCCCCGCCGCAAACCGCACCGGCCGCCGCACACCCAGAAACGTACTATGGCAGCGCGAGAACTCGGGCGTCCCGCCCTTCAACACGGCCTTGAGATGGCGCGCCGCAATGTCTGCCAGCGACACGATTGTCACCCGCGGCTGATACAGCTGCCGGTACGCCGGGTCGTGCGGCGGCGTCTCTGGCGCCGTGCTCCACGACGGGGCCGTGGCAGCGGCGGGGAGGGTCGGCGTGCCGCCGAACGGCTCGTAGAAGAAGAGGGTCTGTGGAAAGAGGGCGCGCACGGCGACGCCCTGCTGGTCGCCGGGGAGGCCCGCGAAGCAGACTTGTGGGTCGCGGCTGCTGCTGTGGCCGCAGAAGTGGTCGACGAGGCAGGTCTGGGCGCCGTAGCGGAACTCGAGCTTCTGGTAGGTGGTTGCGGGGTCGGCGAGGTCGGAGGGGGACGAGGGGTCGGCGACGGAGTATTCCCAGACGAGGAGCTGGGCAATTAGGTCGCGGTCAATGTCCCATGCTGTGCAGGAGGAGCTGATGTAGTAGTCTGACAGGCGGGCTGTGGACGGGGTGTAGTCGACGGAGTGCGAGGGCATGATGGTGCTGGCGGCGGCGTCGAGCACCCAGTATGTTAGTGAGCCTGGGGCGGGGTCTTCGGGCTCGTCTTCGTCCTCGGCGGAGGCACGGGGGGTGAGGATGTTGCTCTCGGGGGTGCGGCGGATAGTCACGAGGTGGTGCGGGAAGGTGGGCTTCTCGCCGAGGATCTACGAGTTGTGTAAATATATATCAGAGCTATATTCCAATAACATAACAAGCTAAATACACTAGAGCTACAACAACTACTAGTACTACTGGTGGTATAGGTATAGATATAGGTTCCCCTTACAATGTATTTCCGCAGTTTCCTCTGGCCCACCAGAGACGCAATGCGGACCAGCTTCAGCGCCTTCCCCGGGCCCGCCCAGTACACAAGCTCGCTCCTACCGGGCGCCGCAGCACCACTACGGTCGCCGCAATTGCTACTGCGCGTGATGGTCGGATCGGCGAAAAGGTCGCCGCAGCCAAGCTCGCGGTAGAGCCTGCGCACGGCCTTCCCGTCGGCGAAGGCGCGGCGTGGCGGCGGTCGAAGAGTGCATTCCTCCTCTTCCTCCTCCTCTACTTCTTCTTCTTCGTCCTCCACGGCTTCTTCTTCTTCTTCTTGCTGTTGGTCAGAGACATTGGTGGCGTCCTCATCATCACCGTCCATGGGATCAGGGGGGTGGTTGGTTGGTTGTTTCGTTCGTCGTTGATATCCGTGCTAGCTAGCTAGCTCGTCAGTCAGTCAGTCAGGCAAGTCGCGTTTGTTGTCGTGGCGGTGCTGATCCTCTCTGGAGCGAGTTGGGTGGCGCCTGGGGAACGGGGGAAGCCAATGATCGCTTTGCGGCAAGCTACTCGATCCACGCGCCATCACTGCAGCCAGTTGGGTGAGTGAGTGAAGAGAGACAGACAGACCCCCCATGATAAAAATAAAATTAATAAATAGTAAACTGCCAACTGGCCGTGCTACTCTACCCACCCCAGCTAGAGGGCCCTAGAGGAGAGCGTAATAGTATGTTGTAGAAACTCCGCAGGAGCTAGGAGGGATGGGCGCTGCTCTGGAATCTCGCTGTCCAGCTGCACAAGCAGCGGGGTGAACTACGGGCCATGAGATATCACTCGAAGCACATGTCTGGCAGCCGTGGCTACAGCCTTGCCTACTCTACACCCACACAACATACCGGTACCTACACACAGACACCCCCCCCCCCCCCCCCCCACTCTCTCTCTACAACCCCGTTTGCACATGCAGCCCTTCTAGTTTGTTTCTCCCCCAAATCTGAGAAACATCTCCCTCTCCCCGGGCCCCTCCTACCCCCATTGCCTGGCATCTACCCCTCCACCACCACTCACTCACCCCACGCCGTATCGGGCTACCGCATGCGTTATCGTGCCTCTGCTTAACCGAAGCCTCTTTTTCTTTTCTGCCGTTTGTCAACTTTGCGGGGTCGCAATTGTGGTTGAAATTATTAATCTATTGCGATCTGGTAATGCATATTGTAGGCATGTATGAGGTAGAGTAGGGTAGGTATCATGTAGGCATCCGTCCCGGCTGCAGCAAGAGCAATAAATACATGTAACTTGCAAGATCTAGCGCCGCCCCGAATCGAGCACGAAACAGCTGGAACCCCTCTCGATGACATCTTCCCCCCGATGTATCTGATCAGATACTCTGCCTACATACTTACCCAGTCTACTTTACATACATGCAGCCTCTGCTCTACTTGGAAACCGGGCGGGCTGCCCTTCACTTCACACACACCACTGCGACGCGCGAACAAACGAAAAGGAAAAAAAAAAAAAAAAAACAATACGAAAGGAGATGAAACAGAGTCGATGACGTTTGGTGTAGATATGCCGAAGGTGGAATTGAGATAACGACGAACGCGTAGGGCCGAGTAAAAAGTAAAAAAAAAAAAAAAAAAAAAAAAGTATAGTATAATAGCATAGTTTTTTAATAACGTACTGGTGAAATGATCCAACTTTCCAGACTCCCACTCCCATGTTCCCAAAACAAAACAAAAGAAATAAACGAGATGGCAAAACAAAAGACAAAAAAGAAAAAAAAAAACAAGGAGAGAAAGAGAAGAAAAAAGCGCCTGCCCCCAAATTAACAAAAGAAATCCCCAAATTATAACACAAATCGCTGTAGTATGTTAGTATGCTTTATATGTCACTTCCCATTCCAAAAAAAAACCCCAGATCACGGCTACACAAAAACAAACCAATCAGAGCCATCGCCATCGTACCCCAACTAAAAAAATAAAAAAATAAAAGTCCGCTACATCGAGAGCATCTGTTGCACCTCTCCCAGGCTATCTCTCAACAAATCCTCATCCACGTATCCCGTCAACACACTTGGCTTGCTAATAACCGTCTTGCCACCAATGCGAACGCTCCCACCAGAACTCGTAAGCCCAGAGTCGGAGCTAGCTGATGTTGTCGCAGCCTCATTTGCGGTAGCCGTAACTGTATCTTTCTGCGCTGCGTCCATTGCTGGGGTCGGGGCTACAGCAGCCCCACCACCGCCTCCCCAGCGCCAGAACCAACTTGCTCCCAGGCTGGTTTTCGCAGAGTTCTTTCGCGAAAGAGTAGCTTTTGGATTTGCAGGCGGGCTAGATCCGGCGATAGTGCCTTCTTGTAGTCCGAGGAGACGGCTATATGCCGAGGAGGTGTTTCCGGTACTGGGTGTACGAGTTACCATTCCTCGTGTGACAAATGCTTGCGCCGGGTTTGGAGTAACAGATGCCGCGAACGAAGGGGTGCGCTTTCCTTGGGAGGTCTCCGAGTTTCCTGATGAAATTGCTGGCGAGACAGCGAATGATGTCGTGGTTAGGTTGAGATCCATGATGGATAGCATCGACTCGTGAGAAGCCGCACGTCGTAGTTTCGTCGCGGGGATGATTGGAGATGAAGGCGCAGAGTAGTCATGGTCCGACGGGACTTCCTCGGTAGTATGGAGGATCGAAAACGGCGGTATTCCGAATGAACTGTCGCTTCTGCGGGCGTATTTTGAGGACGACGACGAGGCTTGCTTCTTGTGTCCCGGAATAAGAGCTGCTTGGTAATTGGAGTCTGCGCTCGAAGGACGCGATGATTCAGGACCGTTGAAGTTGTGGTCGAAGATTGAGGACTCGCGGAATTCCGATGCTGGGGATGTTAATACCGACGAAGTAGTAGCCCGCGACCCCAATGACCACCTCTTTGATCCTCTTTGACTAAACGTTGAGGGTGGGCTGGCTCCGTTTACATCCAGAGGAAGGAAGTGCTCCCCGCTGGCATGACTTCTCCGCTTCTTCGCGCGCCGGACCGTGGGTTTAGAGACGCCCTTGCCTCCAGTTGACGGGGGTGGGTGGTAATGGTGGTGGTGAACGATCGTCTGCATGGAAGGGCTTCTACCTAGCTCCTGGCTCAGCGGGGATGGGCCCATCTCTACCTTGTGCATGTTTATCTCTTGTAGCTGTTCCCTTAATCTGTTCACCTCCTCCTGTGATGCCAGCAACATATCCCTCAACTCCGTGATCCCGACCTGGAGGTGTCCATTCTCCGCCAGGATCTCCTTCATGAATCGACTGAGTTGTGTTCGATCCGCGAGTGCTGTCAATGTAGAAACCCCGGTCTTTGGATCCACGATTCTCTTTTGATCCAACCTTTCGAGCAGGTTCTTGGATCTAACCTTCTCCATCCTATTCTCCATCTCTATCCTTTCCACCTGCTGCTCCAGTTCCTCCAATGTGCGCTGTGCCTTCTTCCACCGTGCCACAGCGGCCCGTTCCTCGGCCCTCGTGGTGGTGACTGTATTCCTGAGTTCCTCCTGCTCGCTCTCCAGAACAGCCAACTGTGCCTCCAAAACCTCGGTTCGCGCAGCCGTAGCAGAAATCCGTGTGAGTTCCTCCTGTTTAACGTGTGAGCAACGATTACCCAACCTCCCATACTCAACAATTTACGAAAACGTGCAAAAGTACTTGTACATAGTCACTCACATGCATAGCGTCGAGTTCTTCCTGGAGCTCCTGAACCCGGCTCTCGCTCAGGCACATGCTAATGTTCACATCCTCCAAATTGCTGAGCAGAAACTTGTTCTCGTCCGTAGTGCGTGAGTTCTCGTCCTCAAGATCATTGACCTTTATCTCCATGTTGCGTATCTCTTGGTTCATCTTCTCGCGTTCTCGTTGAGCCTCTGCCATGGAGCTCTCGTGTCGTCGCAACAGAGCCTATTCCGCACCCCGCCGATTAGGTTCGCGCCCAAGAGGCAAGGAGGGTTCTACCTGTGAAAATAACATACCTGACCCAATGTAGCGGCAGTCTGGACATCCTGCTCCAATGAGGCAAGCATGGCTTGGGCACGCCTGGTGAAAGAGCAGTCCTCGCGGCCGCAACAACACTTTGTAGCCTCCGGATCGTTTAGGGCGGCGGACTGGTACTTTTGGCGGGCGAGGTTCTGAGTGAGGGACTCGAGAGACTGTTCATCTTCAGAGTCGGAGTATGACATCTCTAATGTAGGTTGTGAACAAAGTGGAAGATCGCGTTCTTCCAAGGATGCAGGAGACGTGTACGTGTGTGGGTGGCTAGATGTAAAGATCGGTTTTCTTTTCTTTGTTAAAAATGTGACGTCCCGGGTGCAGTAGTAGTAGTATGTAGAAACAGAAGATTGATTAACCGCTGTACCGGGCAAGGAATAGATAGAATGTAAAGTAGTGAATTTTCTTCTTTGCCTTCAAGAACAGTACATTAGGGATTATGTAGGGGACGGGAAGGAGGAAGATAAGGTAAACAGGAGACGGGGGGTGGGAAGAAGCCGTTCAATTGAAAGTCTCTCAAGACTGACGAAAGAGGTTTAGATACACCTATCCTAAGGATGATCTCTTTGATAGGTTGAAGACACATGCAAGAAGGAATTTAGAGTGTAGTGTTTATGCTTGAGTGGAGTGGTGTGTAGCAGGTACTCTAGAGTAGAAATCATGCAGTGCAATCAGAGCAAGATACTGCCTGCATCTGAGAGGGGGGTTTCTTCTTTTCTGAGGCGGTGTAAGCAATATGATACCAATCTCTCTCTCGATTTCATTTCACTGAAAGAGAACCATACTACCGGAACAGAAGATCGGTTTTTTCGTTCCCCCGTATGGGTGTGTGACACTGCACACTGCACAGGTACAGGGTGGGTGTTTCTGTTCCTTGATTCGTGAGCTGTGATAGGTCGAAGCTGACTGGTGAACCGGGGGTTGTCTCCTGCCAGCCACACCACCCCAAAGCCCGCAAACAAACTTCGGCTCTACAAACGTGGACGGAGATCTAAAAGGGGTAAGGTGTGTCGACAACAGGACTGCCAGCCCTGTCAATTCCAAAATGGTTCCTGAATTCGCATAAAGGTGTGTGGGTTGCCAGAAAGCCCAGGCGGAGTGTGCCTGAAGCCTAAGCCCGTTCCCATGTCTTAGTAGCAAAAATGCGCGGGAAGCTGTTTGTTCCTGGGCTAAGAAAAAAACGGCTTCTAAAGCATTTCGACCTTCGGCCCTGGATCGCTCCAACTCCGAGTGTCCGAGAAGAGGCAGAAACCCCACACACTCGTCAATCGCGCCTTGACTCTCCGGTATTAGTCTTCACTGCTATCACGAGACAAGGTGCCTAAGTAGGCATCAATAGCAGCTCGTGTATTTTCTTTGGGTTAGGCGGAAGGGATTCAAGCACTCAAGTGGAGCAGAACCAGGCAAATCTAGACTATAAAGGTACGAAACAGTACATGACATCCCCTGCTAACCAACGAAGAGATTCTCCGACTTGCTTTGCTTCGTTGTCAAATATCGACGGGCCTTCGCGCATGAACAAGCAGTCCTAGGCGAATTTGTTCCGAGTTGCTAGGCCGTGGTTCTTCCTTCTACTCTACCGTGGATAACCTGATATGTGCGTGGGGGGCTCCGGCGTCTGGTTTTACTATCGAGTGGACGATAGGTAGAAGTCACTCTAGATGTTCCTCCCCTATTTGCCGAGTTGCTGGTTAAGAAGAGCCTCTAAATTCGGGTTAAGGGGGTTAGGATCCTGAGATGATCATCGGATCTAGCGCAGCATGGGCGATCACGGGGAGGGAGGGTCTTCGGGATGCACAGACCGCCTCATGTCGTCATGAAAAAGCACTCGCAAGTCTGTCTCGGCCTAGGTAGTTAGGAAGGAAATATCGCGAGAAACAGCACAGCAAGGATCATTCGATGGCAGCTCAGACGTCAAAGTCGTCATTCTTAACCCAAGTCTAAACCCTGGGTCTCTGAGGTTCTGGGGTTCTGGGGTGCATAAAGACTTGTCTTCACGTAATACTTTCGGTTAACATGAGCCTTATGCGTTATGATAGCACGGCCTTGCGGCTGTGGTAGAATGTCGGAGAAACTTAATTGTATGGGAGTCTTTAGGGCATGACGCTATATATGATCTGCAGATATCCCATGGGCTAGTAAACGTTGGTACGAATGTAGCCTACCTTTCTCTATAATACTAGTTGCCGTTAAGCTGGCCAGGCCCTGAATGTCTATGTAGTACTACTTTCCAACCGAATCATAATCCATGATTAGTGCTTGAAATCAGGCTCTAGAAAGTACTAAGTCAGATTCTATGAAGTAGCGAACCAGAATTGATGAAGCAGTGGCAGTGAAGTACTGAATTAGAATGCATGAAGCAGTAAAGTTGTCACTAAGCCTACTGAAATTATGCTGACTACATGTATGTACCCCTTCTTGTAGAGAGTGTGCTGAGAGCTCGTTTGTTGGACGCAACTTGATTGATCTAGTAACTTCAGGCCTTCCTTTGTGAGGGTTCACTATATCCATTGATTCTTTCAACAGGCTGCTAGCTGCAGCCGGCCACGCATATCCCTTCATGAGCAAACTCTGGAACGTACGTGCGTACATGTAGGAAAATGTGCATTTGTGTTTCCCCTTCCATACTTGTAAGTATACAAGTAGGACAAGAGGTTGGTGGGCCATGATGTAGATTGTCATGGCAGGGTTGGGTTTCCCTAGATATAAGCACACTTTACCCTCGCCCTCCTTAGGTATTACTTCTGGGCTACTGAAACTTGTGTGGGCGAGTGTGGTCTAGAAGTAGACGCCTCGTCATGGAGGAACACCGAGTAGGTTGAGTCCCCATGATCATCTGTAGGTCATGGGTACGCGTTCAATCCCGGGGGTGGGAGTGTAGCTGTGTTGTATATTTTTCACGGCGTTCATCTCCGATTTATTGCATATACACCTTAGCATGACTCCCGCGAATTTATCGACATTTTTTTAGAGCTTATTGGACCCTCCCTCCTCATGGGTTAGCTGTAATACCAATCAGATCTCTGGTCTCGTGATCGTAGCTTGAAATATCTTAGCTCCTCGCCATTATTTGGTCCTTGGAACTTTTTCAGATCATATTATTTTATAGTATAGTAGATAGTAGATTTCCTCCAGCCCTGCCCTGTTCGATCCTGTTCTAACAAATTGCAGCACAAAATCCCATTGATTTATGAAACTGTTCACCTCGAAGCATAGTCCGTCTTCCAGGTTAAGGTAGAACCAACCACAAGCTCGATTGATAACTCATGACTCAATCATTCAAGATTTCTTGTTTCTATAACAGATACGAATCCAAGATATTTCAAAATATCAAATGGTTTATCTAGCAACATGAAAATTTTTATTATCAATAAATTCCCATGCGTTTCTCTCAATCCACAACTTATAAAACCACTCCCAATAACTTAACTTCGCCAACACTCCCAATTCAAATAATTATAAGCCGGCATGACATCCTTAAACACCACCCTGAATGATATAATCATTCAACTACAGTCTCAAATCTGCTTTCTTGAAGATTTCATCTCGGAACGCAACGAGCTCATTACTTACCTTGAAGTACTATACTCAGATATTCTCGCGCGAAAGATCCGCTTCGAAGCACTGATGGGGACTAGACATGCACATGAGCCCGATGATATTGTGAGGTACCAGAGTATATGTTTCATGCTTCTGGATATAGAGGCATGTATTGAGGAAATGCGGGACCGCCTTCTGGATTATGATATGGAATTTGATGGTCTCTGGAGACAGCTGCGTGCAGCAGTTTTGGCGGAACAATGAGGAATTTGGGTTCGGCCTCGCGGTGGGCTGGTAGGTGCATTTATTTGGAGGCTTTCACTGGAGTTTGGGATTATGCAGGTGCTGATATGCGATCATCCGTTTCGATATTTGCCAACTTTCTAGTAGTTCTTGATAAGTAATGCTATAACCAGCTAAGATATAATCTAGGCAGTTTAGAAAACACCCGATCAATATAAACAAGCCCTGAGCAGCAGAAACAAATGTGCCAATTTTCGATGAGATCTGTGAGCCAAGATCGCACGCTCTTGGCACCAACTTTAGGTGGGCAGCACCTTTGACAGACGAAGCTGGGATAACTAATGTGGAAAGATGGGCTATGACAAGCCCAGGGCCAGCTGCTGTGAAAACTTATAATCATGAGCAGTCACTCGGTTATGGTGTGGTTAGGGTTATTTATGGCCGCCAGCTTAGGCACCAGAGTTGCGTAATAACGCTAGCGTCAGAGCACCTCGCCCACTTTCCACTCTCTCCACTCACACACATGCTCCTCTAGTACTTCTTTAACCGGGGCCTCAACAGTCAAGAGGAACACCAGGTTGATGTAGCCGCACATTCCTCACAGGTTTGTAATTGGTATAAGCGGTTTCTGGTTAACCCTGCATTGGTAATATAAAGCTACGAGCCATCGATCACGATCCCGTATCTTGAAAGTCAGTTCTGGCATACGGAGACCCAATGATTCTTCTAAGGCGTTTCATTTATGACCATTCCCGGACCTCATCAAAATCCTGACAAAACATTTTTTTTTTTGAACAGGCCTGGCCTTTCCGGTTCCTGAAATTCCCATTTACCGGAACAGTATCTGAGATTTGGATTCTTCCAGGTTGTTGTATAGTTCCAGTTGATCCCAGCGCTCTTCAGATTGTAGCAGACTTCAGAAACAAGCTTTGTTTGCACATGAAAGATATTCTGAATGTTTGGAGATAAGAGATGTAATATAATATATAGCCCCAGTTCCCATTTATAAAGATACAATAAAAAACAAAACTCCTTAAAACTTCATTAATAAGCCCGTTACTCTGCACAGTACATCTGGCTAGCCTATGTATGTTTTGAAAGAGTTTAGAAAACCATCTTCGAAGGAAAGTTTACTGTTCTGGTCCTATTCAGCTCATTCTAGCTTGTCGTTTTACATCATTTCCAAAGTTCGTTGTTTGCTTATTCAAATTTGTCCCTGCAGCATCTCCAAGTGTGGGTCTAAAGTCATTGCTACACATGTTAGAAACCAAATAAAAATTCCAGGAGATACTGAGTCACTAACCCTGCATCTGTCACGTCTGCGGGCCTTTTTACTCCTGCTGATGGGCCTGGCTGCCGAAAAGACCCTGACCCTCGAGCTTGTGGGGGCATTCCAATCTGTCTGTTCGTATTGAGACTCGGATTCTCAAAATTTGGACGAACATACGCTCCTCCTGCAGGTCCCTGTGGCCCGGTCAATCCTTTTCTAGCGATAGGCGAGGACTTGGAATGGTCGATGCCAAGCGAACGAGGGATTGATGTTTGGTGATGGGGGTTGAACGCCAATGCTTGATCGGGAATCAGTTTATTTTCTCCGTCAGCGTCTATGACAGCTCTTCCACTGAAGAACCCAACCGGTTGATTCTGGGATGGATTCTTTGGGGTTTCTGGTCCACCATTTAACTGAGGAGCCGCGAGAGTTGGTACCGATGGACTATGCTGTTGTGGCTGCTGTTGCTGCGGTGGTTGGGGTGGCTGGCCTCTCTGGTTAATGCCTTGCTGGATATTCTTAAAATTAGTATTGTTGTTTGCTTGTGGCTGCGCTCGTATTGGTGTTGGCGACACGTTAAAACCACTTTGGGGAGTGGGCGCACGGGGTACTTGAGGTGCATTGGATTGAGGCCGCTGCATGGGCTGGTACTGGTTAGCTGGGGGATGCATTTGATGCTGTTGTTGGAATTGAGGTTGTCGAAGCGCTTGAGGTCGTTGTGGTTGATTTGTAGTGCTATTACTTACCTGCTGGGCACGCTGCGGTTGTGGTGTTTGTATAGTTTGGCGATTGGTTTGTGGGATTGGATTTCTATAATTGGTGGCAGATTTTTGGCCGCCAGTTATAGCGTTGATGGGGCTTTGATCCTTAATGCTGCCGCCGTCACTAAATCATAATTAACAGAGTGAGACCAAAACGATATTCGATACCACTAACTCAAAGTCCAAGGCTGCATCATCAGCCATGAGATCAAGATCACCGCCGCTCCCAAATATTCCCAATTCTTCAAATTCATCCCCTAAAAATTTAAATATGATTGTTATAACCAAATGTCACCTTCCATTATCGAATAGGAGTACAAACCTCCATATTCATCATATGCTTCTGCTTCTGGTGATCCTAGATGGAGTAAGCTAATATGTCGGGTTTCGGAAATAAATTTACGGACCTTGTCTTTCCTCACTTGGGGATGAGATCATTGGGTCGTTATTTAAATTTCCTAAATCCACTAATGATTCTTTTTTGACCTGAGGCATGAATTCACTGTGCCTATGTAATTTTCTCTCATCAAAGCGTGGCTAAACCCAGGATTAGTAAATTCGACAACTGATGAGCGGTTACAAGTCCGACATACGGCTGGTACTTTCATCCTATTAACCTTCGCTAGATAATCCTTATCGTGCAAACAGTTTCCGAGAACATTCCCAAAACTGCGGAGTGTTCGTTTGAGAGCATCCGTGGCCCCCTCCTTTTTAGCCTTATCAAATATCTGTGCCTTTTTGCCATTTTCCATTTGACCGTATCCAATATCCTAGTAAGTATTAGTTTGATCTCTTCGTGGCCTATTTATAGCCGCTGTCTGGTCGAGTAATATAGTAGTAGTACCTCATGGTAAGTCCCATCCTTCAATGTCACCCGTACGACAACTGATACTCCAACACTCCATTTTCCGTCCTTGCCTTCGTCCAACTATGCAACGGATATCAGCAAACCTTCTACTATGGTGTAAGAAGTTATCGTAGGGTGGTGTACAAAGTCAACTTCAACACTTCTAACTGAAGAGGACCATCCGTTAAAGCCAAAGACTTGGTTTGCAAGACTGATACATTTATCTGCCTGGAGATAATAAAGTTTTCTCCCGCCTGGGCCTGGCCTTGAAGACACAAATTCTGGTCCAAGCTGCTGGTCAAGCTTGGCCTGAAGCGTAGCAATTTCTATAGCTGTATATGATGATATTTTGGGCTCTTCAGAGGGAAGACCGAGATTTTTATGCTGTTCGCCTAGCTTCATCGTCGGTCGGTGGCGGGGAGGTTAAAAGTATGTATTTCGAAATCGGATCCCTTTATTTGATATTTGGGATAGAAACTAGGTTAGATGTAGTGAAGGAACGGCGTGGGTTAATCTGGCGAGAACTCAAGGTTTTAATTAGAACAAACTTGGGAATAAAGTCACTTAAAGCTATAGCTGGAGCGGACGGGGCGACGTGATGGAGAAACGCGCTCTACGCGCCAAGATATCTTGGCTGATTTAGCGCGTTTTTTTCCAGCAGTTATGACGCACACCGGAAATGATTGATTACACAGGACTGCAGTTGCTGCATATTCTCGAATAATTCATTGAGAGTGACTCTAGGAGAATTCTAGTATGTAAAATACCAAAAAAATGCCTAATAGTACAAGTAGAGTGCGTGTTTACGGAAAACTAAAGGCTGTAACTGCACCACTCTTAACTCATCACACATCCATAATCTTTTAGAGCTCATGGGTAATCATTCAGACTCAGAACGCTGACGCTTTACTCGGGGTGGACTCATTCCCATTTTTTCCCAAGTCCCGTTCAATTTTGGACAGACCCTCGTATTTGTACCTATGAGAGTGCGTAAGTCAAAAATACATCTGATCGTGAGAGATAAAGGATAAGGATCCTTACGTATATGTCCTGCTTGCCCGCAATTGGCGCATTTTCTGTTGGTTGTTGCTTTTCCTGAGGTTGATTTTGGTGTTCCATCCCCAGATTCCTGGCGGGATTTAGGAGTTGCACCACGCACCCCGCGCATAGCCTGACGCTCTCGAAGTTCACGGCGCTCTTTATTTAACTGGAGGCGAGCTAGTTCTTCAAGCAATCTACAACGATTGTTTATAAACACGTTCTAGATTAAAGGAATATGTATAAACTTGGGACAAACCTTCTTTTGTTGATCTCATCCTGTTCCTTGATGCCAGTGCGGACGATTTCTGCAATACTGCAAATTGTTAGTAAGCCTGGTATCTTTAATTTTTGGTTCTGCGTACTTCGTTTTCTCTGCATCAAGCTCTCTCCGCCTTCGAACGTATTGTTTGATAACCTGAGGGTCCGTGATGGTCACTACGGTAGTTTCCTTTTCACCCTTGTTGTTAATGGTAGTCCTCTTAATCTTCAAAATCTTGTTGCCCTGGTTGATCGTGCTGGCTCTAGTAAATTGACTAGCAGTTTCATCTCCTGCAGTCGATATTTTACCCTCGTCAGGCGTTTGCATGTCATACTCGTCATCTCTTTGTGCATCTTCACTCTCCAATTCTGGTGGTTCAGTGCAGCTGAGACTACGCTTTTGGGCTTGCCAAATTCGATGTATGGCGTCTGCATACTCTCTCTCCTGACGGGCCACATTATACTTATGACCTCCCAACTCTTTAAGACGCTGGTCCATGTTCTCCTCGATACTTTTCCCAACTGCTTTAAACCCACCTTTCATGCTTGTCTTAACAAAACTGAATGCTTCACCACGACCTGTCGGATCACCTTCCCCGTAAAGTTCCAACATGGCCTTTCCTTGAGTCGCTTCGAGAAAGTTTTTTGATAGATCCCATGGCTCCAGTTGTTGTTTGACTCTCCCGTCTTCCACAATTTCATCATCGAAGATTTTTGAGTATCCCGTATCTGCTATATTTCTCATCCCAACTTGCATCGCCTCCAATAAGCATAAATCTTCTGGTTTGATCAGGCTCCTAATTGATTCCTCGGTTGGAAAGTGTTCATCAGGCTTCATAGCCCAAAAACCTCCACCAATCCGTTCCAATACATCTTTCAACTTTTGACGATTCTGCATTTCATTGCCTTCAGGGTAATGCTTGGCAAGGTCCTTTGGACTCATATATTTAGAGTCTTTGCGTTTGTGCTTTAGGATACGATAGCATATCATCCGAAGCCTATTCTTTACGGTTGTGGTGACTTTCCTAGAATGAGGGCTTGGGATTTCCGTGACAGGTAGGAGCTGACCAACAGCAAAAATACGTGGAATAGTCCTCAGAAAGTGATGGACTCGGTTTTCGTTTGTATTTCTGACAACCAAAAAATCTGTCGGTTTCACAGATTGTTGGAAGATAGGTGCACGGAACATTCCATTATAAAGTGTAGGAACCACCTCCCCTGGATCTACAGTGCCAAAGTTCCAAAATGGCGATTTATCTTCAGAAAGTAACACTTGAGTTTCTCCAATGTCACGCTTGGGGCGTGCAACATCTTGAGTACTAACTCGGCGGTAGTAATTTATAATCCTACTACCCATGCCGAAGTTTGATAAAACAGTGGGGTGCTCCTCTGAATATTCCAACAAGACAAAGGGAAGATCGTCTTGAAGAGAAAGATCCTTGGCAGTTGAGAGGGAGACCGTTGCTGGAAGCCTATGATAAGTCTTCCGTTTACGGTGTTCAAGCCGCTCAAACCGATACTCTTGGTTGGTGTCAAAAGCAAACGTAGGACGATGATATGCCCTTTGCTCCGCTAACGAAAGTTTCTCTTTGTACTAAATTTATGTTCAGTGGTAGAAATAATTGAGATAGGAAGAAATAACTCACAAATGGGGTCTGAAACTTCAAGGCTGGCAGACTATGTTCAATCTCCAGCTGCCCTAAAGTACTCCGGACCCGTCTTTGGGTAATTTTGTTCAGTAGATCGTAGGCCTCGTCGTTACTAATGTTGTATTTTTGTGTGAAATCTTTTTTGACACGACGCCTAAATTCACCCCCAATACGACGAGCATGAGAAGTATCATTAGGTTGGTAAATATCAACTAAAAGGCGAGGGTCATTAAGATCAAGAGTAACTTTGGCACAAATTGAGGTAAGATTCCCCTCAAAAATGGCATTCTCGTCGAGCCATGAGTCCGGGAGATTATCGATAAAATTATTTTTTAAACTTTTCATCAAGCGCTGCGAAAATTGGCATCTTAGCTGAGGCAGCTTATTATAAGTGGCTTTACCAATTGACAAACCTTAGGCTGATGAGAGTCACAACTTCCGGATTCGCTATCTTCCACTTCATCATTGCTGGGCCTCTTCAAATTTGGAGACGGCGGAGGCGTAGTCATCATGGCATCCAATTTGCTTTCCCAGTCATCGCAGGCAAGTATAAGATCCCTATCAAATACTGGATTCTGCGGTCCATCCGCTGTGCTTTCTTCCTCTACATCCGCCTCTTCAGGTTCTTGATGGATAGTGACAATTCTTTTACTCCCTCTCGGCCCAGAGTCCACCAGAGCTATCGATTTTATAAAATGTGCCTGCCCATCTGGAGCCATCTCTAAATTTACCTTTGTTGGCACGCATACCCTTGGCGGATTGAAAGAGGGGACCGACAAAGTAGTATATTTGGGCCTGAATAGTGAGTTAAAAGACAGAATTTTATGAGGCTCAAAGTCCGGGAAGTATTGTTTAACAAGGTCTTCTTGACGGGGCTGGGTTGATATTTCCACTTCGGAACCCTCGCTTGAAGAGTTACCGTCAGAAAAAAATCCAAGCATTTCTTCGTCCATATCTGCATCCGCCATGATCGAATCTTCGCAATCGTGAAGCCCATCCGCGGGTGAATTGATGTTAAGAGTCTTAGTAGTGGATAGTGCTGATTCATCTACAAGCTCTGAATCTCCGAATAGGTCGTCGAAGTCAAGCTCTGCTTGACAATCCTCAATGCCTTCCTTGTCTTCGTCCACCATATCCTCCTCGTCCACAACACCCTCCTCCACCATGCCGAACAAATCATTGTCACTCGACGGGGTAGAGTTCAAAGTAGTATCAAATGCGTTAGAAGGTTCTTCTTCTGGAAGGAGGTCATCGTCTGATATGTCTTCGTAGTCTACAGCGTCGTCCACCTTGCCGACAGTGTCGCCAAAACTGAAATCTTCTGGGACCTCGCCTTCTCCATTCAGGAGCTTGTTGATTAGAGCATCGTCCTCGCCGTCATCAGGTTCAATTAAGCCCGAGTTTTTGTGTGACATGTTCTTGGTGGTCATTTTGGCCCTTCCTGGTTGAGAGTTGAAGTTTATTTTTTTTATTTTTTTTTTCTGGGGGGGGGTTGAGTTTGTAGTTTGACAAGCTGCCTTGTTCGGTGCCAAGAGGCACGCTAAGGAAAGCTAAGGTTAGGGTCACAGAAGAACAATTGCAATTCGCAAGACGACACCGCTCCTTGATTAAATACTTCTAGTGCTATCAGGGAGGCTCAAACTTCAAAAGTCCTCCAATATGCCTAAGGCAAGAGCATGTGGCAACAAAGATATCAGATTTGGCCTAAACCTATGACCAACAAGTTCATAGTCTGTCACTCGATTATAGCTAAATAAAAGTGGGTACATGCACTATCGATAGCCGATCGCTCTCGGTTCTATATGAAATCTGCAATTGAAGAAGTTTAAAATATTTATTTTCCAATGGAAGCCTTTCAGCAAGAAATTACCGTATCCTAAGCAAAAGCCTCTACTCTCCTTTGCAACACAGTTCTCGCATCATTGGCCGATAGGTTCGCCAACCCTAACCTCCCTAAGGTATCTCTGGCTTTGTCACCGCCCTGGAAAACGGACCCGGCCACCTCCTTAAGCCCAAGGCTTCCTTCAGCCGGAGAAGTTGGAAGTGTGAGCAAAACACAGGAATCTTTCAACTTCCTCATTGATGCCGTCGGCTCCTCTACATATCTAGAGCAAGTTTTCCATATTTCGTTAATGTCGCTGGAGAACTGGCTTCCCCCTGCGGAAGAGAATTGATTTCTCGTGATAACATAGTCCCACATCCAGTTCTGAATTCCAGCACCGAGCTTGCGAAAAACTCTCCTGAAAACTGCAGCAGCAACAGTTTTTGCCAGGAAGTCAAGGAAGGAGTTGAGTGTTGCTACGGCAGGAACGATTTCAGGGGAAATTGTAGAGTCGCCCCGATCCATATCAATAGATGACCAAAGTGTTCTATATCAGAAGGGTGAGCAAATATCTTGCAGAAATATGGGACAGGGAGCTGACATTCTTGAATAAGATTTCAATTCTTCCTTAA